CTCGGATGTCTTCTGCTTGTGTTCCCTTTATTTGTTTGAGCAGTATACTAAAGCTAGACCTTGGGCATGGGAGCTGAGACCTATCCTAAGGCAAGCTAATCTGGGTTTTTCTGGCTAGGGGGGAATTGCGAGAGAGGCTACACTCTCTCCCTTCAGGATGAACCACAGGGGCCATTCCAGGATTCATCTGGACGGCCTGCCTGCTTTCCAAGCTCTTCTCTGCTGAACTCTTTAATGTTCTCTTGGAAGAGATGAATTGGAAATGCTTCTGATTTGGAGCTTCTCCACCCCACCCCACCCCCTTCCCTCCATAAATCTGAGATTTCAGAGACCATGTTCTGGGGTGAGGCACAGGAAGATGATGAACTGAAGGGTTGAAGCTCAGAAGCTGGAATATGTGGAGTACGTCAAGGACCATTAATGCCAGGATTTCTATTGTGATAACAATCGGGCATCCTCTGAAGTCCTTTCTGGTGATGACTTTCACATCAGTAGTTTGCTAGTTTTTCTCCATGGGCTGGAACTCTGCGATGAGGGTGGATTGTTTCATACTGAGCTGCGGGAGGGAAATGGCTGCACCATGAAGTAGGGGAGAGGGAGATGTGTGAATTGGCCATCTTTGACAGACCACAAGTTGTGTTGCTATAATTCACTGAGTCTTTTGAGCTGTGAATTTCCACATTACGTGACTAAGGAGGATTGGTTTGTATGTTACATAGCCATAACCAAGAATGCTGGTGACGCAGTGGTTAGAATGCAGGCTGATTCTGTCCATAGTCCAGCAGTTCGATTCTGATCAGCTCAAGGTTGACTCAGCCTTCCATCCTTCCGAGGTCAGTAAAAGAAGGACCCAGTGTCAGCCCTGGAACCATTTTGGAAATCTTCAGGGTTGCCACAGCAAAGCTGGTTGCTGCTGTGGGAGCATAAAAGGGGAGATAGAGATAACTGGGGGAATTGTAGCCAAAATAACATTCTTTCCCATGGGAGCCAAGGACGTCCCTACAAGGTGTTTGGAAGGTGTGGGCCAAAGGCAGCTGAAGGAGGACTGTGACCAGTGGTGAAATTCAATTTTTTTTACTACTGGTTCTGTGGGCATGGCTTGGTAGGTGTGGCTTGGTGGGCATGGCAGGGGAGAGATACTGCAAAATCCCAATTTCCACCCCACTCCAGGGGGAAGGATACTGTAAAATCTCCATTCCCACTCTACTCCAGGGGAAGGCTATTGTAAAATCTCTATTTCCACCCCACTCCAGGGAGAAAGCTACTGTAAAATCTCCATTTCCACCCCACTCCAGGGGAAGGTTACTGTAAAATCTCCATTTCTACCCCACTCCAGGGAGAAGGATACTGTAAAATCTCCATTTCCATCCCACCCCACTCCAGGGGAAGGGAAGGCTACTGTAAAATCTCTATTCCCTCTCCAGCCCACTAACCTGCTTTCCAGCTCCATGTGCAGGGCAACAAAATAAGACCCAGCCGATCAGCTGGGACTCGATCAGCTGGGACTCGGGAGGCAGAGAATAGACGGGAGCGGAGCCAGTCAGAGGTGGTATTTACCGAATCTCTGAACTACTCAAAATTTCCACTACCGGTTCTCCAGAACTGGTCAGAACCTGCTGAAACCCACCTCTGACCTGATTGGACCATGTGATGGACATGTGAAGTAGGGGCAAGAACTTTGGGTTTTGATTTGGGTGAGGAAAACCTTGGGTCCTTCAGCGTCGGGTTTTCTCTAGCTGGGCCAATATGGCCCAATAAATAAATAATAAATTCTTACTTTGAGGAAACTCCAGGCCTCAAGAGTTTTGATTTTGTTGGGACTGTTACTTGGAACCCTGACATTAATCCGACTCTCTCACCCAGATTGTTGGGGAAAATATGCTAAATCACTTAGAGCAGAGGTCTTCAAACTTGGCAGCTTTAAGACTTGTGGACTTCAATCCCCAGAATTCTCCAGCCAGCATAGCTGGGAGTTGAAGTCCACAAGTCTTAAAGCTGCCAAGTTTGAAGACCTCTGACTTAGAGAGTGCTGTAAAGCACTGTGAAGCGGTATTTAAGTTTAAAGGATATTGCTATTGCTCAGTGCTTTAATGTGATTAGTTGGTTGGTTGGCTGGTTTGGCAATTAGCATGATGCTTCTTCCTTGCCATGAGTTTTCCCATCCTGCTAAATTGAGCACAAACATAGATTGGGGGGGGGGGGTTCATGAAACTTGAGGATGACAGGATTGATTGACAGTGCAGCAGACTGCTTGAGAAAACGAGGGCTTCCTTTTTTTTGAGATGTTAACACAAGACTTGATGGTTGGGTGCTGTGCTAGAGGATATTTGACATTAAGGACAGCTTCTGGGAAGATCTTCAATTGTGCAGTTCCCTAAACTATCATACCTTGCTCATCCACAGGTTTCTTCCCCAGAGAGAGATTAAAAATGGAGAAGTGCAAATCTGTTTACTCCACCCACCCAAGTTTGTTATTGTGCATGATACTTTTTCCAAGTTTTAAAAGTTTGTATACATACGGTCTCAAATCCACTCTTAATGATAGGAATCTGAGCTTCTGTTTGAGGCAAATGCTGATTATTTCTTTCCCATTACAGTTATTGACTCTTTAGCACCACCATGTGCCCGAAACCAGTTATTGAGTATTAGAAATAAAATGTGATATATAGCACAATAGCAAGCAAGACTATTCTATTGAAAAATGTGCAGGCTTGTGCAGGGGTGAAATCCAACATTTTTCCCTACCGGTTCTGTGGGCGTGGCTTGGTGGGCATGGCAGGGGAAGGATATTGCAAAATCTCCATTCCCACCCCACTCCAGGGGAAGGATACTGCAAAATCCCCATCCCTCCCCACTTCTGGGAAAAGGATATTGCAAAATCTCCATTCCCACCCCACTCCAGGGGAAGGATACTGCAAAATCCCCATTCCCTCCCCATTCCTGGGGGAAGGATACTACAAAATCCCCATTCCCACCCCACTCTGGGGCCAGTCAGTGGTGGTATTTGCCGGTTCTCCAAACTACTCAAAATTTCCGTTACCGGTTCTCCAGAACCTGTTAGAATTTGCTGGATTTCACCCCTGGGCTTGTGATAATAATAACAATAGAAACTTTAACAGCTTTAACAAACTTAACAAAAGGTATAGTTTTAATTGCACAAAATGCACATTTTGGTAAAAGATGAAGGAATGGGAATATTTGCATTGTAAGCTGCCCTGAGTCTCTGGAAAAGGGCGGCATATAAATTGAACCAATCAATCAATCAATAAATAAATAAATATGGCTGTGTTGGAAGAAATCTCCTTCTAGGTTCTGCTCCAAGTGGGGAAAACAGACACTGGAAACATGGAGACTGCTTGGAAAGATGGTTTAATGGTGGACAGGATCACATGGCTTGAGTTCCTGAACAGAAAAGGGGAGATACAGAAAATCCTCGGGTTTTTATGCTCTCCCTGGCTCTGCATTTCTTGGGGCCCCGAAAGAGTATCCTGATTGGTTGTCAGACTCCCAGGGGGTGGGGGCCTTGCTGGCTGATGGTCACATGTGCTTCCCAGGTCACATGTGGTGAGTTTCTACTGCTATTGTGTAGAGGGCTAATCCTATCTTTCGCAATTCCTACTATGGCTCTGCCTGAAGGAGGCAGATCTTTGTTATGTAGAGTAGACTGGCCCAGGCCTTAATGGCCCATTGACAAAGGGTGGGGGGCAGGAAGGTGGGAGCTGCTTTGTCTGTAAAATATGCTTCTCATATTTCTCATCCAGGGAAATATAATATTCTGCCTTTTTCATATTTCCTAAAATATTTCACTCTTCCAGGAGAGGGGTGGGTGCTAACTTCCTACAACATGATGACTCACTTAACGACCACATTGCTTAGCGACTGAAATCCTGCTTCCAATTGTGGTTGTTACCTGTCTTAACAAACATAGACTGCAGAGACCAGGAGAGCTTTTCCTGTTTAATGAGTTCTGGGAATATCTGTCAGGTCCCTAAGATCCTTATCGGGATGCTGCCATTCTGGCGTGGTGGGGGTGGGGGGGCTTGGATGCTCCTTTACAACTTCTTCCCTATTTCAGTTCTTCCTGTCAGTTTGATGTACCTGCTTGGGAAAGGGAGGGGGAGGGAATTGCCTAGGGCCGTGATGGCGAACCTATGGCACGCGTGCTACAGGTGGCACACAGAGCCATATCTGTGGGCACACGAGCGTTGCCCTAGCTCAGCTCCAGCATGCGTGCGTGTGCCAGCCAGCTAATTTTCAGGCCTTCTGGGCCCACCGGAAGTCAGGAAACGGGCCATTTCCGGCCTCCAGGGGGGGGAGGTAGTTTTTGCCCTCCCCAGGCTCCAAGAAAGCCTCTGGAGCCTGGGGAGGGTGAAAAATGGGCCTACAGGGCGCACCGGTAACCTTTTTGCCATCGTGTGCCAAAAGCGGGGAGAGCGGGTCACAATTTTCCTGCAAATTGCTTCTGGGCATTCTGCCAACCACAGTAAGATTACGGTTATCTGAAATACTGTGCCTCAGAATTGAGTTATTATTCTTTGGATTCTTGTCGGCTGTTAATGAAGTTAAATGAACAGCCCTTGTTCAGAAAAGACTGATTTAAACTGTACTTGTGTTCGAACAACTACTAAGAAAGCTCATTAGTAGTCCTTAATTAGTAAACTAAAGTTTGTACGGACTTTGTGTGTGCTGCGTTCTTTGGGGTCCGTAGCTGGGGCAGAACAATTGGCTCCACTCAGACTGGACATAGGGGAGGGGTTTTCTGCAACGTTCAACCTAACGTTTTTTGAGTGAGAACTTCAGATCCTGCCTTGCTTTCCTTGCTATCACTTTCTCCCAAGTTTCCTTTTGAAATAATGCCTGCTTCAAGAGTTCTGTTTTCTTGAGGAGAGAGGAGAGGCAAGTCCTTACAATAGCTCCGGAAATAATAAATTTTGGAAAATATCTCGGTATCTTTCAAATGTTGCTCCTGTGATCTCTGATTGTCTTGTGTTCCTTTCTAGGCTTGGCTGACAGAAATCCACGAATATGCAAAGCAAGACGTGGTCCTTATGTTGCTGGGAAACAAGGTGAGTCCTTGACTTACGGCCTTGACGTTAGGCTGGGTCTGTTTGGGACATAGAAGCTGTTTAAGAAGGGAAGAGGGCAGAGGAAGCTAGATATGGTTTTGCACAGGAAGAAATAAAACCTCCAAACACTCATCCACCTCATACTTCTGCCTCGTATCCTTACCTGCTGCAGGAAGGGTGGCTTGGCCCTGGTTTGATCCATCCAAGCTCCTGGGTGATGGGGCCGATGTTATCCGAGCAGTCTCACTACTCCTGCTGCAAACGTTGACACTTTCTTATTGTGCTTAGGTGGATTCAACCCAGGACCGAGTGGTGAAAAGAGAAGATGGGGAGAAATTAGCAAAGGTACGTTGGGCGCCCTCGTTATTAAAATGAAGGGCAATTTGGCTCCAGGAGAGCTTCAAAAAGTTGCATCTGCTTCCACAAGCTAATAGAGCCTAATCTCTTCGGCTTCACCTTGTTATAGGGAATTACAGGAAAGGGTGCCAAGCAAAATTACCCACTATGCTATGCAGACATGTCCACCTGGAAAAGATCAAAACGTTACAAGAAATTGGAGATAATTATTCAGGTTTTGTTTGTTCTGCATTGGCAGCGGGTGGCAGGCTGCATTCGGTCCTGCCTCGGTCTTTGTTTATAGAACCAAGGATTGTATTCGCTTTTTTGGCTGCTGCCGCACGTTGCTGGCTCATGTTTAAGTGATCGTCTTAAATATGACAGTCTGTTTTCGAGCAGCCAAGAGACAAAAATCACAGGATGACTTCCATTGAAATAATTAGCTCTGTTCAGTGGAACTGCTTGCCTCTCAGAGTTGTGGATGCTTCATCACTGGAGGCTTTCAAGAAAAGATTGGACCACAATTTGTCTGAGATGGTGTGAGGACCAAAGGCAGGGGGCTGGGCTAGAAGACCTCCAGGGTCCCTCCCAACCCTAGGATTGTAGGATTCAATTTTTCCACCCGAGGGACATCTTGAGGCAGCCTGTCTAGGATAACATACATGCAGAGGGCAGCTCTGACATGGAACCACAGAATCCGTGTAGGATTGTACACATCCAACCTGAGGAGAGGAAAACAATGAGCCCCAAATGCCTTATTTCTTTGGTGCAGGAATACGGGGTGCCCTTTATGGAGACCAGTGCCAAGAGCGGATTGAATGTGGACTTAGCGTTCATGGCCATCGCCAAGTAAGCTCCTTCATTTCCATTTTCCCACCAAAAGTATGCATATCCATCACCAACATGCAGATCCCAAGAACACTGTTTGCCAACGTTTGGCTGAATAAGAAGTAGAAAAGGAGTGCAGGGTCTCTTAAGATGCCCTTAGGATAGGATAAGCTTTATTGTCACTTTTTTCTGTGAACACACCGGTGCACATTAAAAAATGAAATTCTGATGCCCACCCTCAGAAAGATAGATGACAGAGATAGAGAGCTAGAGCTAGAAATGCTCCTGGTTCGGACCAGATCACCCGGTCCAGTAGCGATGGCAGTGGGTGGTTCGGAGAACTGGTAGCAAAAATCCCTGCGGGGGGGGGGCATGCCCAGCTGAGCCGCAGGATCATCGGAGGCCTTTTTTTTTTTTACTTTTAAAAGCATTTTTTCTACAACCTCTTCAGACGAAAAAATGCTTTTAAAAGTTGAAAAAAAAAGCTTCTGATGATCGTATGGCTCAGCTGGGATCGTCAGAGGCTTTTCAAAGCATTTTTTCTGTAACCTCTTGGCCAAAGAGGTGGTAAAAAATGCTTTGAAAAGTCTCTGACGATCCCAGCTGAGTTGCCTGAGCGGCAGAGGCTTTTCAAAGCATTAGAAAAAATGCTTTGAAAAGTTAAAAAAAAAAAAGTTGGCCACGCCCACCCAGTCACATTACCCCCCCCAGCCATGTCCACAGAACCATAGTAACAAATTTTACATTTCACCCGATATATATATATATATATATAGAGAGAGAGAGAGAGACAGACAGACAGACAGACAGACAGACAGACAGACAGACAGACAGACAGACATAGAGATAGAGATACATAGACATAGACACATAGACATAGACATACATACATATATACATACACCAAGGGTGGGTTCTACTTACCTTTACTACTGGTTCGCAGCAGGGCCGCATGCGCGCTCTTCTGTGCATGGCATTTTGGTGACATCGGGGTCCCGCCGGTTTTACTATAGAACCGGTGCAAACCAGGGGCAACCCACCATATACACATCAGTGGTGGATTGCTCCCGGTTCAGTCTGGTTCTTGCGAACCGGTAGTAACAATGACAGGAGGCTCCGCCCACCCGCCCAGACATCATCACGAACGATCTGCACATGCATAGAAGCTTCTGCGTGCGTGCTCCCATTGTGAACCGGTAGTGGTGAGTAGAACCCACCCGTTACACATGTATATATGTATATACCTATATACCTATATATCACGGTCTATTTTGAATAAATAGTGGAAAGGTCTTGAGAGTTAACAAGGCTGATGCTAGATGGTATAAAGCTATTTCAGAAACACCCTTGAGAGGCAAAGCAGCCATAACTAAGCATGGTGTCACCATTTTGGGGTGGGTGGGGGTCAGAGGTGGGTTTCAACAGGTTCTGACCAGTTCTGGAGAACCGGTAGAGGAAATTTTGAGTAGTTTGGAGAACCGGTAAATACCACCTCTGACTGGCCCCACCCCCATCTATTCTCCGCCTCCCGAGTCCCAGCTGATGGGGAGGAAATGGGGATTTTGCAGTAACCTTCCCCTGCCATGCCCACTAAACCACACCCACAGAACCGGTAGTAAAAAAATTTGAATCCCACTAAGTGGGGGGTGGTAAATTCTATCAGAAATTCTGGGAGATGAAGAGACACGTGGAGCAATTTATTTATTTATTTGTTTAAATTTCTATACCGCCCTTCTCCAAATAGGACTCAGGGCGGTGCACAGCCTAAGTAAAAACAAAGCATACAAAATTTAAAAAACAGTATTAAAATAATTAGATATTCTGGCCGTAAATTAAAACAACCCAATTTAAAACCAATTTAAAATTTAGCTCAAGCCAGCCCAGCTAGTTGAAATAAATAAGTTTTCAGGGCCCGACGAAAAATCCGGAGGTCTGTTATTGTACGTATCTCTGGGGGGAAGTTGTTCCAGACGGTGGGCGCCGTCACAGAGAAGGCTCTCCCCCTGGGGGTCGCCAGCCGACATTGTCTGGCGGACGGCACCCTGAGGAGGCCCACTCTGTGCGAGCGTACTGGCCGGTGGGAGGCTATTGGTGGCAGTAGGCGGTCTCGTAAGTACCCCGGCCCTAAGCCATGGAGCGCTTTAAAGGTGGTCACCAACACCTTGAAGCGCACCCGGAAGACTACCGGGAGCCAGTGCAGCTCGCGCAGGAGAGGTGTCACATGGGAGCGCCTCGTCGCCCCCATAATCCCCCGCGCGGCCGCATTCTGGACCAGCTGGAGCCTCCGGGTGCACCCCAGGGGGAGCCCCATGTAGAGAGCGTTGCAGTAGTCCAGGCGGGAAGTGACGAGTGCCTGAGTGACTGTGCGTAGAGAGTCCCGATCTAGAAAGGGGCGCAACTGGCGTATCAGGCGAACCTGATAAAAAGCCCCCCTGGCCACGGCCGTCAAATGGTCTTCTAAAGACAGCCGTGCGTCCAGGAGGACGCCCAAGTTGCGAGCCCTCTCCGTGGGGGCGAGTGATTCGCCCCCAATAGCCAGCGATGGCGTCAGCTGGCTATATCGGGACGCTGGAAGCCACAGCCACTCGGTCTTGGAGGGGTTGAGTCGGAGCCTGTTTCTCCCCATCCAGGCCCGCACGGCCTCCAGGCACTGGGACATCACTTCAAGGGCATCGTTGGGGTGGCCTGGGGTGGAGATGTACAGCTGGGTGTCATCAGCGTACTGATGGAACTCCACCCCGAAGCCACGGATGATCTCACCCAGTGGCTTTACATAAATGTTGAACAGAAGGGGCGAGAGGATCGACCCTTGTGGCACCCCACAAGCAAGGTGCCTCGGGGTCGACCGCTGCCCCCCCGTCAACACAGATTGCGACCGGTCAGAGAGGTAGGAGGAGAACCACCGCAGAACGGTGCCCCCCACCCCCAACCCCGCCAACCGGTGCAACATGATACCATGGTCGATGGTATCAAAAGCCGCTGAGAGGTCTAACAGGACCAGGATAGAGGAGCAACCCCTATCCCGAGCCCTCCAGAGATCATCCACCAACGCGACCAATGCCGTTTCCGTGCTGTGCCCAGGTCGGAAGCCGGACTGGAGCGGGTCTAGATAGACAGTTTCATCCAGGTACCGGGGAAGCTGTTGTGCTACCACACTCTCAACAACCTTCGCAACAAAGCGAAGGTTGGAGACTGGACGATAGTTAGCCAAAACAGCCGGATCCAGAGAGGGCTTCTTGAGGAGGGGCCTCACAACCGCTTCTTTCAAAGCGGCCGGCAGGACCCCCTCACTCAAAGAAGCGTTAACAATCTTCTGGAGCCAGCCTCGTGTCACCTCCCGGGAAGCCAGTACCAACCAGGAGGGACACAGGTGCAATGCAGACAAAAGACATCAAATCTGGCTGGATGAGGGTAACTGCAGCCTATGGGATGAGTTTGGCCTAGTGGTTACGGCACCAGGCTAGAAACCAGGAGACTAGGAATTCTAGTCCTACTTTAGGCATGAAAGAGCTGTCTGGGTGGCTTTGGGCCAGTCTCTCTCCTCAGCCCAATTCACCTGATTGTTGTTGTGGAGAATGTCGGAGGAAGAAATATTAGTTATGGGGGCTTTATCACTGGAAGCTTTCAAGAAAAGAGACTGGACTGCCATCTGTCAGAAATGGTGTAGGGTCTCCTGCTTGGGTGGGGGGTTGGACTAGATGACCTACAAGGTCCCTTCCAACTCTGTTAATCTGTTTATGTGTTCACTGCCTTTAATGATTTATAAAAATAATAAAAGGAGGAAATTTGCTACTGCTATTGCACCCATGGCATAACATCCAGCAACCCTTTTTAAAGTGACCTGAAGCCTTTGGGGGAAGGATGTGGGAGAAGCACCATCCCTAGCTGCTATGATGCCCAAGCTGAGCCCGTTAGGGAAATTCTCAGGGAATGCTCCCTCTGCTTAGAGTTGCCAGTTGGACAGAATATGAGGGTTCTTGTAGACTTGCTGATCATGGGCAAGTGGATGGAATCTTCTGCTATTGTGGGCTACATTTCCTTGACTTCCTTGTGCAACCACAGAGGGATACCTCATGGCAGGAGGACATGTCAGTGGCCTCAAAAATGGCGTTGGGGCACACATTGTAGGGATTACCAAGGGTTTGGAGGAAGACATCGTCTGAACCTGTGTTGCTCAAACTTAGTGACTTCAAACTGCATCACTGTTTGGTTTGGTGGCAGCAGCACCTCAGATAGAAAGTCCATACAGAGAGTGTTGAGGACAATGGAGATTATAGAAAGTTAGTTCCCTGTTATTCGGGATGCTTCTTATCAGCGCTATGTGCTCAGAGCTCTAAGCATTGTTAGAGGCCCCACACACCCACTTTACAGTCTGTTTCTGTTGCTCCCCTCTGGGAGGAGGGTTAGGTTAGAGGAGGAGATGCCTGGCTGTGCATGGGAGAACTGACGAAGCCTTGTGTTCAATTGCCAGGGAGCTGAAGCACCGGTCCATGAAGCTGCCCAATGAGCCCCGGTTCAGACTGCACGACTACGTCCGGAAGGAGGTGAAAGGCGCTGGCTGCTGCCGCTCATAGACTCTCTCTTGGGGGTCCTGTCCAGACCCCCCACCGCCCCCTTCAGCAGTCCACCCTGCCTGCTGCATCCGTGTCTGCCACTCTCGTTCTCCTCCTTCCTGCTGCACAAGCTCTACAAATCTCTTCCTTGTGTCTTGTTGTCTTTGTCAAGGTGAAACTTGGAAGGATAAATGGTGGGGGATGGGCAGCTTCATTTCCTTCCCCGGGGCAGGCAGGTGGTTTTCCAAAAGAGAGCCGGGTTAGAGGCAGCAACAGACAATCTGAATTATGGACAGGGCCTTTGGGGGTGGGGGGAGGGAGGGGGAGGTATGGTTTGCGGAGTCTCAGTGTGATATCCTGCATGAGTGCCCCCAAAGGGAGTGGGGTCACAGGGGAGCCTCCCCTAAGTCAGAGGTCTTCAAACTTGGCAGCTTTAAGACTTAGCTGGCTGGAGAATTCTGGGAGTTGAAGTCCACAAGTATTAAAGCTGCCAAGTGTGGGGACCCCTGCCCTAAGTCCTTGCCAGGGAGGGTCCAGTTGCCATGGGTTGACCTAATATAGCGACTGTTTATGTGGGACTTCAGCTCCACTTTCATCATTACTGCCTCAATGAGTACCCAAACATGGGGATTTCATTCTTTTTTTTTTTTTTAATAGATCGAACTTAAATGTTTGGTGTGTGCTATTGCCGATAAGTTTTTCGAACACGTTTTTTTCAAAACACCCAAACTCGATGACTATTCTTGGCTGTCTCGCAGGGCAGAATAAAATGTTCCCTCTGCTTTGGTGGTTGTGCTGCAGCTCTGGCAATTTTCCTGCGCAGTAGGGTGTGCCTTTTTTTTTTTTTGTAAACGCGCAACACAAAATGATGGGAATAAATTGGGTCCTTCATTTCCTTATTGCATCTCCAGTGGTTGATCCCAAGTACGGTTGATCTCCTTCCAGGAATTCTATCCCCGTTTCTCTCTTTTCATCAAGAAGGCCCTCTGCTCGGACATATGCACCCACCCAAAGAAGGGGAGTGTGACCCAGAGCCCCAATGGCAAGTGGGGAAAACATCTCTCCAGATCAAGGCTGGCAAGTAATTCTTGGGTCAGGCTGATGGGACAGAGACGTAGCAGGTAGGAGCTGTGGTGGTGCAGTGGTTAGAATGGAGCATTGCAGGCTGACTCTGCCCACCACCAGTTCGATCCTGATCAACTCAAGGTTGACTTCCATCCTTCCAAAGTCAGTAAAATGAGGACCCAGATTGTTAGGGGCAATATATTGACTCTGTAAACTGTTTAAGAGAGGGCTATAAAGCACTATGGAGTGATATATAAGTCTTAAATACTATTGTTATCTCTCCATCATCTATCTCCTTCTCTCATTGTAGTGGTTCAGTGGTTAGGCTGACTGTCCACCGCCAGGAGTTCCATCCTGACCGGCTCAAAGTTGGCTCAGCCTTCCGTCCTTCCGAGTTTGGCAAGATGAGGACCCAGATTGTTGGGGGAAATAAGCTGACTCTGTAAAATCACTTGAAGAGTGCTGCAAAGAACTATGAAGTGGTAATAGAAGACGAAGTGCTATTGCTAAGTCTTCCAGCGGAAGGCAGGAAGCATGTAGACCCCCCCCCCGGGATTCTGATGGCCATTCTCTCCCCACCCCGACTGAGGTGATCCTGTCCAGCTGTGGAATAGGCTCTACTCCTCCATGCAATCATCTTTCCTTCAACATTTTTACTTGGCCCTGTGACTTGCTAGCAGTCTTCTCAACCTTTGAGCTTCTCCAACCTATGGCCCTCCAGATGCATAGGTCTGTCAACTCCTACAATCCCACTAGCTGTCAAGTTTCCAAAAGATACCCTAATTAATTCATGAGCCATGATCCAAACTTCAAAGGAAATAGTCATTAGGAGCACCATTCCGGCAATACTGGGATGCAGTTAGGACTAATCCTACGTAGATTTACGTTCCCCTATGACCCTGTCTCTCCCCTCCTCTCTGGCCATGTCATAAATCACATTCTCCAATTAACCACTTTGGCTGGCTGTGAAACCCAACGCCCTCCTTCTGATTGCGGTCAGGAGAATGTATGGAATTCACTTCAGTTTTCCCTCCCTCCTGCTCATGGCAACTTGAAAGCTTTGCAAGTTGACACTAGCGCAGCCACGGTGGAAGTCCAACAGACCTGGGGGAGCATCTACTGGTGTAGAGCTCTTTCAAGGAAGCTTCTGGCTCGATTGTGCAATCCAGGCAAGCCAGCAGCTCAACTTTAGCAGGGGACAAGCGTATCTTATCAGCCAGTTTATTTCAGGGCATTGGGCAATGTGGATTAGGTGCTTTGTGATACTTTGTGTGCTAAAATTGCCATTGGGCTTTCCTTGTTAAATGTCGTTTTCCTTGTACCCAGCAGATGTGTTTTAAGTTAAAGAGTCCTTTACACAAGCCCTAAATTGGATTATTGTTACCATTCTCCAAGGAAGAAATCTTATCAAAGGCAGCTTGCATGTCGCATGTCTGCAGTTCTTAGTGGCTTGTTACGTTCACAAGCCAGGAGGAAACTGCGTGCAATGCAGAACTGCAGGAGTTGGGCCAGTCTTGCCTTAACTTCGAAGGCCCTGCATTTGTGGCTTGGCTTTGGCAATCCCCATCCGGCAGGCCAGCCCGTTTCCTACCTGGCTTTGGTGCCATGTAGCTGGAGGGGCATCTTGAAAGTGTTATTTATGTACCAAGGTAACTGTTGGCTCTTGTTTATAGGCTTTTTGGGGTTTCTCATAATAAACGATTTTTTAACGATGCTTGCTTTAAGGTCTAAAAGCAGGCCTCCTTCCTAAAAAGATCTGTGTTTTCTTCTTTGCCGGTACTGCCGCATCCGTTCATTTTTCATTCTGCCTGATTTAAGATCCCAAAGGCTCCCTTCCTACTAGGAATTTTAGCATAAAGGTTAATTTTACACTTAGTTTGGCTGAAAGAGCTGTCCACAGGGACATCAGACTGGAAACAGAAGGTGGGTGGGAAGAACCATAGCGTGCTCTGTTGGGAAGGAAAAACCACTTTGGGCTAGCCAATCGAAAGATGGAAAGTCTTTTCCTAACTGGCTAGACAGAGCATCGCTTAGGAGTAATGGCTCTGCTTAGAATACCAAGTATTTTTTCCAGGGGTGAAATCTAAAAATTTTTGCTACCGGTTCTGTGGGCATGGTTTAATTAGTGGGCGTGGCTTGGTGGTAAGGTGACTGGGAGGGCGTGGCTTGGTGGTAAGGTGGGCGTGGCCAAGTCAATGTCACTTCTTTGCCCTTTTTTAACCTACAAAACACAACACAACAGGCTCACCCACAATGTAAAAGCAGCTGTGCTAGACCCAAAATGGCCCCTGCAACAAGCAGGAACCTCACAGCCACAAAAAGCCCAAAAAACCAACTTTCACACTTCACACACACAAAATTCCACATACAGCTTTGTGAGATTTTGTATTTGTGTAGTTAGAAACATTACAGAAACACACTAAATCTCAGAAAGCTGCACAAATATTATTTTATTTTTATTTTTATATAAAAGCAGCTAAATTTAAAACTTCCTAAACTTTAAATGGCTAGGTCTAAAAAAACAACTAAAAAAATCCCAATTAACTATTTTTTTAAAGCTCCCAATAGAACAGGGGTCTCCAATCTTGGCAACTTTAAGAGTTGTAGATTTCAACTCCCTGCCTGCTTGATTGCAGGCAGGGAGATTCAGTTGCTTGTTGATGCAATGGATTGCAGGAATTACAGCAAGGCGTTGCGACCAGTAGCTAAGGTAAGCAAGCTGAGGGGAGGAGGGATTTTTGCTACCTATGAGCAGGCAACTCAGTTGGGATCGTCAGAGCCGTTTAAAAGGCTGGGCATGGGGGGCGGGGGCAGGGATTTTTGCTACCGGTTCTTCAAACTGCCTGCCGCCATTGCTACCTACTCGCCCAAGCCAAGAGCATTTCACCCGATTTTTTCTAAAGGACTTTGTTTTTCCTTGAACATGTTTTGCTTCTGAAAAAGCTTCTTCAGTTCTGATTGAATGGTGAATGGAAGGACTTATATTCCTTGCAATCATCCGATTGTTATTGTATTTTCTGAGTTGTTGAGGCCAATTGGGGGTTTATCTGTGCCCTCAGGGTCATCTGAATAGTGAAAATAAAGCAAGGTCCGTCGGTAAAATAAGGACCGATTGTTGGGGACCGATAGGCTGACTCTAAACCACTTACCTAGAGAGGGCTGTAAAGCACTGTGAAGCGGTATATAAACCTAAGTGCTATTGCTAAGGAACCTTCTTGGAACTGCTAAAACCCATTTCAAGCATTTCGAAGTAGATTCCACACCCGTTCGCACTATTCAGGGAAAACAAAGTCCATCTGTCTTTTAAAAAATCACCTTTAGGGCAACCATAACTGGGAATCTCCATAGACCACTCTACTTAGAATGCATTGAGGTTTAAACTAGATAAAAAAACTTAAGGAACACCCTGGAGATGATGCAGTTATACTTTCCAGTCCTTATTTCATCATTATTCAATTGAAATCTGGCAACTTGGAGATTAAGGCCCTTCTGCATTTGTCAAGCGTTTGACAGAAGCATTAGCGGACCCAACCCAGCAAGGGAAGGGGGAAAATGATTTTTGTCTTTGGCTTTCAAAGCACTTGCACACTTCAAAATAGCGACTTAGTAATTTTGGGTTTACCAGCAAATGGAGTTTGACCCAGTCAACTCTGAAAACTCATTGTGTTTTAGATTGTAGGGTCATTAGAAAGTTCAAACAACATTCCAAATTGTTAAGCATTGTTTCTTCTCAAAGAATCAAATTAAGAGTTTATGTGCCACAACAGACTGGGTTTATAAATGATGTACAATAGGTATTTCACAAGAAAATGGTAACAATTGGCAGTAAAGGACTTCCAAAATTCAGTGATTTTTCATTTTACTTTAAAAAATTTTCATTAGCGGCAAAGGATTAAGTATATTGGAATGGTTCATATCCAGCGGCGGGTTTTAAAACCTGTTGCTACTGGTTAGCTTGTGGGCATGCACGTGCATGCATATTTTTGTGCATGTGCAGAAGCATCTGGGCGGAGCCTCCCGCTGCCACCGGTTCACCCAATCTGGGGCAAACTGGTAGCAACCCAACACTTCATACCAAAGGCAGCAAAAATGAAATGACTGAAAATTAAGCCTTCAAAAATAGTCTTTTTAAACTGGCCAAAATTATTCAGCATTCACCGAAACACTGCAAGGTTTTGATGCATTATAACTATTCTAAAAAATCATCACTGCCAGACTAAATACCATTTATTTCCAATGTTGGATTCCCCGTTTATTTATTTAATTTCTCTAATTTTTATACGGCCCTTCTCCCGAAGGACTCAGGGCGGTGCACAGCCAAAGATAAAACATGTATCCATATAAAATTTAAAAACAATTTAAGAACACATTAAATAATTTGGCCCCAACGTCATTATAACAAAAAACAACCCATTAAAATTAATGTTTAGGCCAACCCAGCTTGTTGGAACAATAACATCTTGAGGGCACGGCGAAAGGTGCGCAATCAGGGATCATCCGTATCTCCGGGGGCAATCCATTCCAGAGGGCGAGTGCCCCCAGAGAAGGCTCTCCCCCTGGATGTCGCCAGTCGACATTGTTTGATGGTACCCTGAGGAGTCCCTCTCTGCGGGAGCACACTGGCCGGTGGGAGGCTACCGGTGGCAGAAGGCGATCTCGTACATACCCAGGTCCTAAGCCATGGAGCACTCTGAAGATAGTAACCAACACCTTGAAATCGCACCTGGAAGACCACCGGGAGCCAGTGTAGCTCACTGACCGGTGGGAGGCTATCTAGTTTCAATCTGTTTGGAATCTTTGTCCCAAGCAACACTCAGTTGTCACCAGGAGGCGTTCCTGGATTTTTGTAACTGTTGCAGAGAAGCAAGTCTCACCCATCTCTCTTCTGTCCTGCCTGCAGCATTTGAGCTGTTTAGTGGAAAGGGCAGGGATTCTGCCTGCAGCACTCAATTGATGCAGGTAGTTCTCCAGATACAAGGGAGCCTTGCATGCTGAGGTTGCTTGCCACAGCAGGTGAACGGCATCACTTAACACCCTCCATCTCTGCTCTTCCCAATGTTAAATGAACATCTGGGTCATTAAGCAGAGCGTGGGGGAGGCCTTTGGAGATCTATAGCACAGGAGGCCCAGGCCTGCCTACCATGGTGTTAGACCCACTGCCACTTAAACCCCTAAATAGAAACAATCCTTGGCTCCATTTGTTGAGAAAAGTATTAAGAGAATTTGCACTTCTCCTTTGTCACCATTTCCATGACTGAGAACTTCAAGACAAAGCAGTTTTTGTTAACTTCAAGTTCAGTCGAGGGACACTTCATCCCTGTCAGATCTGCCACCACTTAAACCTTTACATAGAAACGATCCTTGGCTCCATTTGTTGAGAAAGGTAGTTCAGTCGAAGGACATAAGACCACCTGCAAAAAAAACAATACACGGGATTAATTGAATAGCTTTTAACCATTATTTGGCTCTTCATAACCTCCCTGCCCAACATCGATTGTTAACACTGTCCTGGTATTCAAGAATTTTAATGTCTTAAAAGTGACTTTTATTACCTGTGCTGCAATACCTGTCCTCTTCTATTTCCATCTGCTTCTAAAAAGAAAAAACACAAATGCCATTGATTTTCTAAACCAGCAACCACAAAACTCTATCAATATTCTAGGAGTCGGGCCAGACAATTTAGACATTGTATAAAATTGAAGACCTGCCCAATTGGGAGGCCCGTGTTTTAGAACTGTTCTAAAATAACGGTTTTTTCCTATCTCAATTCAGACCCAATACCCTATTATATGAATGCCAAGCCTCAGATCATGCTTAAAATCACCAACTGCAAGCAGTTTTCATACGAGGTGTCAGAAAATTAAAGAGTTCATCATCATTGGCTGGTATTTAGGTTAGCAAAATACTTGATCTTACAATTTGTAAGACCCGCCTTTCCCATTTTGATCTGAAGTTACCCAGCTGGAAACATACCTGAAAAAAGGTAATCTAGTTGTGCAGAAAAAGGAAAGCAGAATCTTTAAAAGCTCCACCTCTCTGCCAATTTATATAAGGGTTCCATTTCTGGAGCCAAGATAGTCCAAGCAGGAGAGACCTCTCCATCCCCAGCGCCACTATGAAACTCAAAGGCTCTATGCTTTCCCATTCTCATCTCCACTACCCTGTTATAAAATGAGCTGGGGGTCCCCTCAGCTACTCTCCCCATCCAATTGGCAGAAAGCTACTGGCACCCTCAGCCCAGTGGTGTAATTCAAATTGGCTACCTGTTTTTAAATGTTCACAGTCCAATTTGTTATGATGCTTTCTAAAAAACTTTCCCTAGGAAGTCCAACAAATCGATGATTTTCAAAAGCAGTTCAAATGCTTTCATTTTTCAGCCTTTATGATGTACGTATTACTTGCTTGCAGTCCAGTTGTTTGAAAGTGAGATTTCTTCCAGAATATCGATCATGCCCCGGGAGAGGTTTGCACTGCTAACAAAGCAAGTGACCAGGGTCATAATGCTCCTGTTTATAGAGATCTACAAGGGCATCTTGAACCTTGGCACCAGGCAAGGAAAATACTTCTCAAATCAGCATTCGGGAAGACCCAAGACTGTGGGTCTCACAGCGAGTGTCATGTCAAGTGCATAGGAAAATACTGGAAAAAATTAAAACAGAGATCTGTGAATATCTGCAGAGAAATGCTATGAACATAATAAATTTCAGACTCCAGCAAGGCATTCCATAAAGTAGACCACAACCTCTTTCTTGGTAAGCTAGAAACGTGTGAGATAGACAGCATCACCAAGAGATGGCTGGCAAACCATACTAACAAGTAATCCTTAATGGTACTATATCTACATGGAGGGAAGTAAGGTTACTGCAAAGTTCCGCCTTGGGCCCAATACTCTTCAATAAATAAATGACTTAGATGAGGGAATAGAAGGGGAACTCATCAAATTTGCAGATGACACTAAGCTGGCAGAAATAACCAATAGCCCAGAAGACAAGCTCAGGATCCAAAAAGGTCTTGACAGATTGGAACAATGGGCTCTGTCCAACAAAAATGAAATTGTTAAGAAAAGCAAGGTTTTGCACCTGGGCAGGAAAAACCAAAAGTAAAAGTACAGGTTAGGCGAAACCTGGCTAAAAAACAGTAACTGAGAGGGACCTTGGAGTCCTAAAGGACGATCACTTAATCATGAGCCAACAGTGTGTGGCAGCAGCCCAAAAAGCGAATATAATCCTTAGCTGTATAAACAGATGCATAGAATCAAAATCATGTGAAGTATTAGTACCGCTTTATAAAGCCTTAGTAAGACTGGAATACTGCATCCAGTTTTGGTCACATTGCAAAAAAGATGTTGAGACTTTGAAAAAAGTGCAAAGAGGAATTGAGATGATTAAAGACCTGGAGACAAAAACATATGAAGAATGATTGCAGGAACCGAGTATGGCTAGTCTAGAGAAAAATGGGGAGGGGGGGCACACAATAGCAGTGTTCCAGTATTTGAAGTTCTCCTCAAATACCTATCCCAAGTAAACCTTATCCCAAAGAAGAGGGGTCAACTTGTTTCAAAACTCCAGAAGGCAGGACAAGAAACAATGGATGGAAACTAATCAAAGAGAGAAGCAACCTGGAATTAAACAGAAACTTAACAGTGAGGACAATTAACAAGTGGAACAGCTGGCCTTCAGATGTTGTGGGTGCTCCATCAATTGAGCTTAAGTAGGGGATCAAACTAGAAGACCTCAAAGATACCTTCCAGCTTTAATACCTTGCCCTTGCTAGGCTACACAGCAAGAAAGCTTTTATTTCACAAAACAGCAGAGCTAAATTTATCATTTCAACTAGCTAATCTTTCTTTCTCCTGTAAGGCCTATTATTCTCCCCTCCCAGGTGGTCACACCCAAAGTTGCCCCCATCTTTCTCTCCTCCTCCCCTGCTCCCATTTCCTGGCCCCTCCCTCCCTCCCCCAAACAGCATTGCAAGGTTACCTTCTGGCCTCCAGCAGATGTGGGGCTCCCCTTCCCCATCTTCTGGCTAAAAAGCCGCTTCAGACCCCAGAGCTGAAACAAAAAACAAAAGCCTGTAAGGGAAGGGGGCGGGGAGCAGGGCATGTGCAAACAGTGTGCAGGAAACAGGGTCGATTTCAGCAGCTGCTGAAGGGCGATAGAGAGGCAGAGCCCAGGCTCCTCCAGGTGCCCGCCCAACTAGGAGGCTGCGAGTTCTAGTTCCTCTTTAGGCACCAAAGCCACTGGGGGTAGCATTTCGGGCCAGTCTCTGTCTTCTCACTCCAACCCACCTCACAGGGTCATGTTGTTGTCCATCATGACCTCATGGACAACATTCCTCCAGGCCTTCCTGTCCTCTACCATCCCCTGGAGACCATTTAAGTTCACGCCGATTGCTTCAGTGACTCCATCCAGCCGCCTCGTTCTCTATCGTCTCCTTCTTCTTTTGCCCTCCATCATTCCCAGCATTAGGCTCTTCTCCAGGGAGTCCTTCCTTCTCATTAGGTGGCCAAAGCATTTGAGTTTCATCTTCAGGATCTGGCCTTCTAAAGAGCAGTCAGGGTTGATCTCCTCTAGGACTGACCGGTTGGATCTCCTTGCAGTCCAAGGGACTCACAGAAGTCTTCTCCAGCACCAGAGTTCAAAGGCCTCCATTCTTTGGCCTTCTCAGCCTTCCTTATGGTCCAACTTTCACAGCCGAACATTGCAACTGGGAAAACCATAGCCTTGACTATACACAACTTTTGTTGGCAGGGTGATGTCTCTGCTTTTTAGTACGCTCTCTAGATTTGCCATAGCTTTCTTCCCCAGGAGCAAGCGTCTTTTAATTTCTAGACTGCAGTTTTTCCCCATCTGCGGTGATCTTGGAGCCCAGGAAAATAAAATCTGTCACTACCTCCATTTCTTCCCTATCTATTTGGCAGGAATTGAGAGGGTCGTCGTTGGGGGGGAATAGGAGGGAGGAGTGTTAGCAATTGCACCTTCGCTGCCCTGAAAAGGGAGGCTGGCCTATTGAAATGAAAACGGGTATTAAAGAGGCAGCCATGACAGACTTAAGACGTGAAAGAAAGGCTGCCTTTCTCATCGTCCAGGCCTACATTAGGGCGGAGGTGCCCCCCCTCTTCACAACCGAGGGCTATAAACGCAGCTGCAGGAGGCCCAAAGAGGCGCCAACTCACCAAAAGCCCCCGCGGGGTTCTAAGGCCTTGGGATAAAAGCAGGCGCCGCGGCCGCGTGTTCCTCCGGCCATAAGGCGAGCCGAAGGCACAACCAGCCAGAAGAACCATCACCACAGCGGAGCAAAGGCACGAAAGAACGAAACACCCACGCGCGCGCCTTTTATACAGCTCGCCGCTTTCCGATTGGCTAGCATTTCTGCGCCAAAACAGCCAATCCCATTGCTCCTTTTCTCTGCTCTCTTCGTAGCCAATGAACGTTCGCTTCTTTCTTAAATCGGCCGCGTCCATTCGCCATCCGCTTTAGAACCTCCTCTTCGACCTCTTGTAGAGGAGTGGCGGGGGGGGGTTGTCATTGGATTGGATGAGGCGAAGCGACTTCCGGAGCCGGAATGGGCGGGAAACGCTGCTCGAAATCCTAAAGGCTTGGGGGAGAAGAACTCTCATCACGCGAGACGTCGGGCCCGGAAGGGGGCGGGCGAGTCGACTGCCCCGCGGTCCCTGATGGGAGTTGTAGGCGAGCCGCAAGTTAACGGGACCCGGTTCTGTGTAAACGCTACGCTTTCCAGGACTACGAATCCCGTCGACTCGGGAGGGGAGGGGAGGGGGGAAGAGAGAGATTCAAGGAAGCGGCACTTCCGGCCCGGCTGGTGTGAGGGAAAGAGGACGAGACGGGCGGCTGTGCGCTTTGCGGCAGCGGCGGGGAAACCGGCGGAGAGGCGCCATGCGGTGGGCGGCCGCGCGCAGGCTGGCCCCGCCGCCCCGGCTGCCCACAGGTGAGGCGTGAGGGAGGGCGGGGCGCACGCAGCTCCTCCTCAGGCCGCGCGGACGAGGCCCGGGCTCTGGTGCGGGTGACTCCAGATCCCATCAGCCCCGACAGTGCAGCCATTGAGGGGGGGGGAATGATGGGAGACCTCCCCGGCCTGTCACACGTGCGGGGGGGTGTCCTGAGGGAGGAGCAGCGCCGCCCTCGGACTGGCCTCCCGGATGGCGAGTATCGCTTGGCCGTGGCTTCTGGCCTCTGTAGTCCCACAGGACCTCTGGAAGGAGAAAGGTCGGAAATTCTTTGGGTGTTTCCCCCCCCCCCAATAAATAAATAAATAAAAGATCTCCGTTCTACCTTTGGGCTGCTTTGCCTGCCTGCCTGCCAAGGACCGGCTTGGAAAGGATGGAGGAGGATCTGATGCGCTTTCTTGGTCCTCTGTAATCAGTTGCAGGGTGGATAAAAATCGATGATTATTTTTTTAAAAAAATAAATAAATCGGATTTTTTTACAAAAATTAAAATCGGATTATTTTTTAAAATTTTTATCAAATTCATTTTAATAAAAAGCTTTTGGAGTAAAAAAAATCTATCCAAAGATAAGTTTTCTATTTAAGTAGAAAAAAATAGTTTATTTATACTGTAGTTTATTCCGCATGAAATGGGAGGAGGCTGTATATTCTGCAATATTTACATTTTTTGATAAACCCATTCAATGAATCCCAAGCTCTGCAAGCTAAATAGGAAACCTTCATTTTGTTGGCAAATAATAATATTAAAGAGTCTAACCACCAGCAAGAATGAGTCCTTACATTTAAAGAGCAATTGTCATTTCAGATCCATCATGGCAGCGCCTGTTAGCGGGCATCCACTCACCTGCTGCCTGTCACATCCCTCACCTTGTTGTGTCACTGCCGCATCACCAGCCATCCCATTAAAGTGAATGGGATGGTTGGTGAGTCAACAGTGGGTCAGAGGAGGAGCCGCTGCGGGACTGAGATGACGGTTGCTCATTAAAAATTATGATTTAAATCGAGTTGATTTCAATCAACCCTTTTTCCTAGTGATTTAAATTGTGATTTAAATCAACTTGATTTAAATCAAATCCACAATGATCAGTTGGCTAGAACATGGGCAGTTATATAAATGTTAAAAAATAAATGCAGCTAGTCCTTAGCTTACGACCACAATGGAGCCCAACATTTATCTTGTTAACAGGCATTTGCTAAGGGTGTTTTGCCCCATTTTACAACCTTTTCTCGCCGCAGTTGTTAACTGAATCACTGCAGTGGATAGGCTAGTATAGCCTGGTTGTTAAGTGAATTTGGCTTTCCCTGTTGACTTGGCTTGTCAGAAGGTCGGAAAAGGGGATCATGTGGCCTTGGCACACAGCAACGGTCATAAATATGAACCAGTTGCCGGGCATCTTAATTTGGATCACATGACCATGGGGATATTGCAAAGGTCGTAACTATGAAAAACGGTCATAAGTCACATTTTTTCAGTGCTGTTGTAACTCCAAACAGTCACTAAATGAACGGTTGTAATTCAAGGACTACCTGTAACTGAAAAAGTATTGCTTAGAACAGGGGTGTCATACTCAAGGCCCGGGGGCCGGATCCAGCCCGCAAGGCATTAGATCTGGCCGGTGGGGCTTCCCTGGAAACAATGAAAACGGAGCTCGGTAGGGCGACGGGCAGCATTCTCAAGCTCCATTTTCACTGGCAGACGGTTGCAGGAGGCCGTTGTAGCTGAAAACAGAGCTCAGGAACTCACTGGCAGAGTGCTTGGGCCCCCACAGATGCCCCCCAACACGACATACCCAGACCCCAACGTCAAACACAACTCTGATGTGGCTGTCAATGAAATTGAGTTTGACACCCCTGTCTTAGAAGCTTTTAGAAAGCAGCCCATTCATCCCCCTCTCTATTTAACCAAGTATGTTAGCAATAAAGGGCCACTCAGGAATGCCATTCTTACCCCTTCAAGTTCAGGGAAATGTCAGGCCAAGGTAAACAGATTGAACTTTGACCTGGGACACGTATATTTGCCTTCATTCGAGACTGAACTTCGGCAGTTTTCTGAATCTCTAAAATGATCTGCCTCAGATCCATTTGGAATGTATCTCGAAGAAGGCCAACCTTTTACACAAGCAGGGTCATCAATAAGGCTTCTCTGAAAGCTCTCAGATTGCAGTCTGGTCTGTACCAGATTGGACAGCATTACCTTTCATTCCTTAGGTCTTTGTACAAGGTCCACTCCCTCCAGAATAAATAAAGGCTAGAATGACTCTAAAGGTCAGTTGAAGTAACTTAAGCAAAGTTCTTTCCTTCTCAAAGGTGAAGCAAAGATTTCACATAAGTGCGCCAGGTAAGTTTAGGTACAAAGTTCAAGAGGTTTTCTTGGTCCTGTGCTCCTGTGAGTTGTAAGCAGAATAGCTCTCTTCCGCTTAGTGTATCCTGAAAGAAATGGATCATTGAACAGGTCAACCCAGAGTTCTCCCCAGGGCACCAATGACCAGGTGTCAATTATCCTACTTCAGACACATTAAGTGAAGACCCAGCTCTTTGGAAAAGGCTGTAATGTTGGGAAAGGTAGAAGGAAAAAGAGGATGACCAGCAGCAAGGTGGATGGACTCAGTTACAGAGGTGATGAATCCACCATTGGGAGATATGAAAGAACGGATGATGGATTGTCTTAGAGAAAATCCATCCATGTAGTCATTTTTTTTTCTTTTAATGAAAAGAAGGACTAGGGATGACATGATAACAGTGTTCCAATATCTCAGGGGTTGCCACAAAGAAGAGGAAGTCATGCATGTGAAGGCATGACAAAGAAGCAGTGGATGGAAACTGATCAGGGAGAGAAGCAACCTAGAACTAAGGAGAAATTTCCTGACAGAACAATTAATCAGTGGAACGATTTGCCTTCAGAAGTTGTGGGTGCTCCAACACTGGAAGTTTTTAAGATGAGATTGAACGACCATTTGTCTGCAATGGTATAGAACTTCCTGCCTGAGCAGGGGGTTGAACTAAAAGACCTCCAAGGTCCCTTCCAACTCTGTTATTCTGACCCTTTAATCCCTTTGTTTTGGGGTGGAGTCGGGGCAACTGAGTGGGGCTGAGCATTTACCGTCCAGATGCCCTTCCTGACGCCTATGTGGAGTTCACAGCAGATATTTTATCTTCTACATAGGATCGAACTCTCAACCTTCTGAGCAGGAGGTGAGTATCTTCACCTCTAGGCCACCATGCTGCTCATCTATGTAGTCATTAAAAGTTGAAAATGACTTGATAGCATATAATGTTAAAGTCTTTTTTAAGTGCCAAGTGTATGTTATCTGAATGCGGGCTGCTCCTAGCTTTCAGGTGCCAATTTAAGACACATTAAGCTTTCCATGATCTGTGGTTTGGGTGTATGCACATATAAATCTAGGCAGTACAGGCATGTCCCTAAGACAGAAATGGACATCTGAGCTAAACTTTTACATCAATGAGACGTATACACCAATTTCAAAGATATTGGTTGTGCCATTGACAAGTTATACATTTGGAATAAACTGCAACAGGATAACCAGGTTCCTGCACCATTAATCATTGTGTGGGGAGGGTTTCAGCCAAACGATTCAGGGAGACAAGCATTTGGGTGCTACTCAAGGAATGTGTAAGTAACTTGGCCTTAGAAGCTATGCAGTTTGAGGCCTGGGCTTTGAAGAAAGCTCACTGGGGAATTCAAAAGTTTCTTAAGGCTTGGATGTGGAGCAGAAAATATTCTGAAAGAGGGCTTTGGCGAATAATTTATGTGCTGTTGCCCTTTCAGCCTGGGTTTTTAACATAATGAAATATTTTTAAGGATTTGGGCGTCTTATCTTTATTGCTGGTATTTAAATTCTCTGGTCCTGGGAACAAATATTTTTTGTAAAATAAACAAGCTTGTATTTAGGGATCTAAATTTCCATGCAATTTCTTTTAACCCAGGAAATTCCAAGGTCCTCTCAGCAGTTAAAATCTTTTATTTGAGAGAGTGTGTGTGTATGTGTGTTATGGACGTGAAGGTGAAAAGTTGATGTTTTTAGCATCATGTGTCATAAAGACTATTTACTCCCGAGGGCCTCAAGTGGGCTCATTTTTTCTCATGCAAAATTAGTGCAAGGATTAAGACACTCATTTTACTTTTGCCGCTGAAACATGCAAAAAAAGCAAAATTGAACATTTTCAGTCCACTTTTATTATTCCTTGTCCCCTGAGGTCCTAGATAAGGCATAGGGGACGCATAAAAGGGTTACACGCTCAGATTTGGTAAAAACTAATTTACTGTTCTTTGTGATCTTGGTGAAATCACATGAGTAATCTCTGTGCAGGCCATAATTTCAGATTACAGTAGGATTTCCCTGCCTAACTACGCCTCCAGAGTGCTGCTTGAATTCTGAAGGGAGTGGATCTTGTGGTTTTCCTCAATCCTCTTCCTGGCAGCTGAGCACAAAAGTCCTTCCCCTGCCATTATCCTTCCACTTTCCCACCCCTCCCTTACTTACTTCCTTCTTTCATCTATCCTGTTCCTGCATGTCCCCATCATTCTTGTCAGCAGAGTGACTTCCTCCTTCTTCTATATAAACGCCTCCCACAGAGATGGTTTCACTTCTTCCTGTAGGCAGATGCTGTCCCCAAACATAGTGGAGTTACTTCCTTGCGCAGCTTCTTCCTGTATTACTGTGATAGAACAGAAGCGACTTCTCAGCTGGTTTGGCCCAGGCTCAGGTCTTGTTATTATTTATTGGCCGAGTGTGATTGGACACACAAGGTACTGTATTTTTTGGAGTATAAAATGCACCTTTTCCCCCCAAAAAAGAGGGTGAAATACTCCGAATGTAGCCTCGCTCACTTCTCAAACGGAGGTTTCAGAGGCTGAAAAAAGCATCAGAAATGAAGCTTCAGAAAAGATGCCCCCAAACAGAGCTTCAGAGGCTTTTTTCCTGAACCTGTTTTGGAGGTTTTCAGAGGCAGAAAAAAAAGCAAGGCACAGAACTCACAACCTTTAGCAACCCTGTTGCTAAAATTCACTTCTGGGAACAGCTGATTGGGGGTATTCCAGGAGGCCGATCCACCCGCCAATCAGCTTTTTTCTTTTTTTCCTCCCCAAAAACTAAGGTGTGTCTTATACTCCAGTGCGTCTTATACTCCGAAAAATACGGTAATTGGACTCCAGTGCATAAACTCGCAGTGTACATACAAACAACAAAGTGATAAATCCTAAAGCATAAGATATAACCAACAAGATACTAAGATCCTAAGATACCAATGGGAGCAGGTAATAGGAAAGGTGAGAAGGATAATAGTAACTACTACATAGTTTGACATCCCATGGCATAAGACTGGTGTGGGGGGGAAATTATCTTTGTGTCTAGTTGTTTTGACATGCAATGCCCAATAGTGGCGTTCCAAGGGTAGGAGTTGAAACAGTTTATGTCCAGGATGATGAGGGATCTGTAGATATTTTCTCAGCCCTCTTTCTGGCTCATGCAATATACAGGTCCTCAATGGAAGGCAGGCTGGTTGTGATGGTTTTTTCTGCAGAGCTAACTATCCGTTGAAGTCTGTGCCTGTCCTGTTTAGTTGCTGTACCAAATCAGAGAGTTATAGAAAAACAAATAACAGACTTAATCATTCCTCTGTAGAACTGTTATCAACAGCTCCTGGGGCAGTCTGAACTTTCTGAGTTGAAGTAGGAAGAACATTCTTTGTTGTGCCTTTTTAATGACAGTTCTAATGTTAGGTGTCCATTTCAAGTCCTGGGAGGTCATAGAAACCTGAAGGTCTCTGCTGTTGATCCTTGTGTTGTCTAATATTGTAAGAGGTGACAAAATAGGAGGGCTCCTCCTAAAATCTACTACCATCTCTACAGTTTTAAGTGTGTTCAGCTCCAGATTGTTCCTGCTCCACCATAGGACCAGTTGTTCAATTTCCCACCTGCATCACCATCTTGATTGAGACCAATGACCCTTGTATTATCTGCAAACTTCAGTACTTAAACAGAGGGATCCTTCGAGATGCAGGCTACCACCCCAACCAAATCCCATGCATGCCCTAGTAAAGTAGAAAATTGGGGAAGATTGGAAGGAATGCTCTTTTCTATTGCATGAAGTTTAGCTATAGTTTTTGATGTTGAAAAGTGCTCAGGCATGCATTCTGATCACCTCTGCAAGCGGGAAATATTTGAAGGGCTAGCTTTGCTTGGCATTCTGCTCACATCAGCCTCTCTCTTTCTTGCTGTCTGATTGTGTGTCCTGAATGCCTTCTCAAACAAGGGGGTTTATAGCCTCTGATGCCATGAAGCATGTTGCGATTTAATGGGAGTTTTAGTAGTTGCTTAAAATACCGTATTTTTTGGAGTATAAGATGTACCTTCCCCCTCCCAAAAAAAGGGTGAAAATCTGGGTGCCTCTTATACTCCGAATGTAGCCCTGCCCAGCTTCTCAAATGGAGGTTTCAGAGGCTGAAAAAAGCATCAGAAACAAAAAGCCTCCAAACAGCTTCAGAGGCTTTTTTTCTGAAGCTCTCTTTTGGAGGCTTTCAAAGGCAGGAAAAAAACTTTTTTCTAAAACAGAGTTTCAGACGTTTCAGAGGCGGGGAAAAAAAAAGCAAGGCACAGAGCTCACAACCAAGGAACCTGTTGCTAAAATTCCCCTCTGGGAACAGCTGATTGGGGGTATTCCGGGAGGCGGATCCACCTGCCAAACAGCTTTTTTCTTATTTTCCTCCCCAAAAACCAAGGTGCATCTTATACTCCAAAAAATACGGTAACTCCTTTAAACCCACTAAAATATATTTAAAAATTGCCCCACCTCTTCCAGGGAATGGCTGTCCTCCTTTATAGCTCCCAGGCAGGGCTGATAACATAGTGTCTTCTACAGACTAAAAAGAGTGCATGGAGAGCATGGTTTTGTCATCAGGTTGTGTATCCACCTGTGTGCAAGACAGCCAGGTTTCTGCCTTCCGTTTTACTTTATCCAGACAATAGATGGAAATCGTCTTGATTTTTCCCAAGGAATGAAAGTCTCAGCATTACCTTATCTTGTCACGCTTTTCCTTTCTTCAAAATGTTTTCACTCTCCCCTATCTTGGCTTTGATAACTCCAGAAAGCTTGAGTTGGAGAGGAAGGCTTTCTAAGCATTGAGAAGAAAGCATGTCAAGGATTAAACAAGTGGTGAAAAATAAAAAATAAAATAAAAGACCAATTTGGTCTTCACGACTGAGGCTTTCTCAATTGTGGTGCCCCTGATGTGGGATTTGTCACTGGAAGGGCAGTATTAAACTAATATAGTTGTGGTATCACATATTGATAACATTCTGTATTTAACATGCTGTTAAAATATATGCCAGGAAGTGTAGCCCTGTTCTAGTTCACTTGAAAAGCTGATTCTTTCCCTCTTTCCTCTGTTTCATTGTTGGTTTTGGTTTTAGCCCTCAACAAAGGGGGGGGGGGGAAGGAATAAGAAAAATATTATAAGGACTCTTTGTATATAACATATAAGACTATCAGTAAAATATGACCATTTTCATTATAATCTATGTACGATGCGTGCCTGTAAGCAATTAACATCAGGTCTTCAGTGAAGAACAAGAGCCATAAATTTATACTTCCATTGTTGAAGGATGTAGAAAATCTATTTCTGTTAACACAGCCATCCGTTTCCATGTTATAAGGATATACAGGAAGTCCTTGAATTACGACCATAGTTGAGCCCAAAATTTTAGTTGTTAAGTGAGACATTTGTTAAGTGAGTTTGATCTCATTTTTTACGACCTGTCTTTCCACAGTCGTTAAGTGAATCATCGCAGTTAAGTTCCACATGGACTTTGCTTGTCAGAAGGTTGCAAAAAGGGATCATATGACCCCAGGATACTGCAACCGTCGTAAATTTGAGTCAGTTGCCAAGGGTCTGAATTTTGATTATGTGATCCTGGGGATGGTGCAACGTGAAAAATGTAAGTCACTTTTTCCAGTGCCATTGTAACTTCAAACGGTCACTAAACGAACGATTGTAATTCGAGAACTACCTGTATCTCAAAAGAATGCAGACATCTAAAATGTTACTCCTTGTTCTTGTTTCTTAAACGAATGCATATAATTATTTCTTTCTATGACATGATTTCTGGCCACTGCAAAAAATGTTTTATAAAGCATTATTCTCATGACACCCTGAACACAACACGACGAGATCCAGTGAATTTTTAATATCATGTTTTCTTGAAACAAGCCATAATTTCAGACTTACTGGATTTTTTTTTTTTACCATTGCAGTTTTCCTTCATTTGGTTCTAAGCTGTAGATACATTTTAGGAATTGAGGAACGTCTCTTCTTTCCTTCAAAAACTGCTTTCATCTCTTTGGGATATTATAAAAATGGTGTTGGACTGGTGGGGGGGAGCGGGGGGGATTTGCAGATGTTGTTTTGGGTGTTTATGAATGAAACTTCTTTTTTGTTTGTTACCAGAAGCAGCTTTTATGATGTTCCATTGTGGGACTAGATTATGAGTGCCAACAAGAATACCCGCTACAATCGTTTCTCCAGCAGTAACACTCCAACAGTAACACTCCCAGAAAACACAAACGGGGTAAGACAGTGCAGTGTGATGGCCATCTCACCTGGCATCCTGGAGTTTCCTCAACTCTCATCCTTGCCATTCTTGTTTTCAACCCATGTAAGATGGAAAGTAACATGTTCTCTCTTTGTCTGTTGCAGACAAGAATGGAAACTACTTTTGGACCTACGTATTCTGCTGTGACTACCATCACCAAAGGTTGGGACTGAATAATTCTTGCTCTGTCTAATCTGTGTAAAATTATAAAGTAGTTTACAGAATAAATAAATCTTGGCTTGGCCTCCTCTGAAAATCCAGTAACTTGTTTGTCAGGTGAAAGCTCCAGTCCGAGTTTCATAAAATTCAGAGTTGAATTTCATAAAAGCTTCGTGATCGCCCAACATACGTAGGAACCAAAAATAGATTGCACATTACTATAGCAAGTAAGAGTTCCCCTCTAATCAGCCTACATGTAGAGTACTGAATAGTTGTTGGGATCATATTTAAGGACATCAATAATTACTTTAGATCTCAATAATGAACATGATAGACCAGTTGAAAACTGAAGTTGATTTCTGGTAATAGGATTAGGGGAAAACAGGATTGTGATTGACAAGTACCGTACCTAAAAGCATGGCTGTCGAAAGATGTTGCCAGTTTGTTTGTGACAGAACTGGAAACAATAGGTGGAATTCTATGAGAGACAAATTTGGGTTAAACATCAGAAGAAACTTCTTTTTTCATGTAATACATTTCTATTAGTTTATCAAAATATAAAATACAAAGAATTTTTTAAAAGTAATAGAAAAAAAGAGAAAATATGGTGTAAAGAGAGAAAGGAAAGAAAAAAGCACCAACTTCCAACTTTCTTTAGCACAGTAGAAAATAATAACATTATAACCTCAACTTTTTACTTTTACATAACAGAATATGCTAGCCATTCCTATAGCCATAAGACTTTCTAATCAGCAAAAACAAAATCAAAGTTTCATTTTTTTTTATTGCAAGCACAAAATCCAGAAGCAATTTCCAAATAGAAACAAAATTAAATATATCCTCTTCTTTGGATAAAAGAGTCAGTTTGACCCTCTCTGCTTCTCTTTGCTGTGGGAAATAGTATATGCTTCTGTTTCCTCATTAATCTTTACAAACTGTTATAATTTATATTAATTTTTTTTAACCCTAAAGGGAGAAAACACTTTTTCTAATTTTAATATTTTAAACTTTAAAATTACTCAAATATTATATGTAAAGGGGGGAAAAAGCCTTCATTTTAAACCCAAAATTACATTAAAGCTTTTATTCAATTATCTATCTATCTATCTATCTATCTATCTATCTATCTATCTATCTATCTATCTATCTATCTATTTATCTATCTATATCACACCAATTAATTCCAATTAGCTCATTAGATTTAAATCTCCCTCAAGTTTAACCTCATGGAGTAAACTCTTTTTCTTCTCTTATTTTCAAATTTGATCAATAATATTTTACAAAATTTGGAAATTATTCAACATTACATAGAAGGACAGAAAACATGCATTTACAAACTCATTTTATAAATACAAAACTACTTTAGAGCTTTTTTTCAATACATATATCAAACCTATAAAAATCCATCCTAACTAATTAAGTCATTAAATTTAAGTCATTCCCTCCAGCTTATCTTCATAAAATAAAGTCTTTTTTTTTCTCCTAAGGAGTGTCTAGCAAATCTGTTTTCTTCAAGAACTTCTCAGCCTTATTAATATCTATGAAAAAAGAGTCCCAAAGTTGTTCGGTTAAAAGTTGTAGATTAACTTGGAACATTTCCTCATAGAAGTCTTCTTCTCTGAGATGTCTATCATATCTTTTTTTTCTCCAAAAATTCTCAACCTTGTTAGTATCCATGAAGAAAAAATCCCAAACTTGACCTCTTAAAAATTCTGAATTTGCTTGGCACTCTTGTTTCAATTACACTGGGAGCAGGGGTGCGTTCTACTTACCTTTACTACTGGTTCATAACGGGATCGCACAGATCGTTGATGATGACATCCGGGGCAGTGGGTGGAGCCTCCCACTGGTTTTACTACCGGTTCTTGTGAACTGGTCCAAACTGGAGGCAACCCACCACAGACTGGGAGTGTTATATTCAAATCATCATAATAAAAGCTGGTGTCAGATTTATATTCCATAGTTACAGTTATTTGCATTGTCCAGTGTTTGTGGAGTTGTCACAGTGGGTTGATAATTTTCTATACCTAATTGTGTCTCTTGTTCATTTTAAATATCATCTGCATCATCTGTGTGGAAGCAGATAAATTGACCAAGAAATTAAAAGATAGAGACCAAACACAAACATGTTTATCCTGGGAAAAATTATATACTTGGCTAGAGAAGAGAAAATCATAACCCAAACCAAAAGAGGAAAGGTTGTTTTGGAGAAAACTATATTATACAAGGAAAGTGAGGTCGGTTAGACCTAATTGATATATAAAGAGATATAAGTTGTTCTATCTCCCCTAGATTGTAATACTGTATTGAATAGTTAGTTGCACCTATTACTTGTTTGTTATTTGTGATGTTTTTTGTGTTGTATGTTATTTATATGGTGTGTTGTTATTTTTTGTTTGTTTTTAATGGAAAATGTAAATAAAGATTATTTTTTTAAAATAAATAAATAAATAAATATCATCTGCATGATTTGTATCTTTAGCCCTTAGCAGATTTATGGTATAAATAGTAGTAACAGTAAAATTAAAAAAGAAAGCTATACAAAGAAGTGACCTCCAATCTTCTTTACAGTAGTTACAAATGAATTTATTATCCGGCCTCCCTCTTTCAGGTGACATTATGTGGTTCCTTTTTCCCCATATTCAACGTTTTTAAATCAGCAAATTGAGAAATCACCAATTCGTATTTTTTCCAAGTTAAGCAAAGAGTCCATAAGAGTTTTCCAGTCTTTTATAAAAGTACTTATTCTTTTATTCCTCATTGAACAAATTAGTTTTGCCATTTCTATGAGTTCTGCCATCTTCGCAATCTACTCCTCTTGTAAACATTTTCCATCTTTATGCAATCTTGTTATGTTGCAGAATGTCTCACCTCTCTCTTCTGATTCTCCTTTTAGCAGATGGAAGTAGTTCATACAAACAACATCGCCCGACACCCTCCTCCTCAAGTACACTCCCCTTTGCCTCCCGAGATGAGGATGACAGCATGGTAGGTGCTTTGAGGAGAAAAGAGATAGCAAGGTTGGGAATGGAGCCCTCGGCACTTTCTCTGACTCAGTTGCAGGTCACAAATTCCAGTCTGCTCCCCCCCACATCATAGAATGTGCAGTTTAATATAGGAATAAATCTATGTGAACATTCTGTTAAAGGTTCTTAATTCTCCCAATTATTAACGCTGCTAAATGAATTGTTGTAAATTGGGGACTACATCTACTGTCGTATTTTGAGCTTTTTCACCAGTTCAACTAGTCGTTTTCAGAAATTTCACATTCAGAAGCACAATATAATATTGGTGAAAATTATAAAATGTTTTGTGTGGTTGGTGCTTTTGGGAAGCTGAATAATAGCAATCACTGAATTAATGAGGGTTAAAGTACATGTTGAACTTGAGCTAATTGAAAAAACAATGGCTTATTTGCTAGGGCTTCACTCCGTAAATCTTAATTTGGGGCCTAAATATATTCCATTATACTATCCTTGGAGATGTTGTTGAAGAAAAAATGGTTTAAAATGAAAATGAATTTATGAATAAAGAAAGAAAGCTTCACAGTGCCTTTCATCTGCCCTCTTTTTATTAAGTCCTGCTATTTGCCTTTAAAGGGAGGGCTGGGTAGGATAGGATATTCTTTATTGGCCAAGTGTCATTGGACACACAAGGAATTTGTCTCTGGTGTGGAAGCTGTCAGTATACATGCAAAAGTGATATTATTATGATATCAATAGGAGAAGGTAATAGGAAAGATGAGAAGGATAACACTAATACAGTCCTGTTACATGGATAAATATTCTTAGACATAAAACAGTACTATGGTATTTAGGTGTTCAACAGAGTAGCGTCATGGGGGAATAAATTGTCTTTGTGTGTTATTATTTTGGCATACAATGTCCTATAGTGATGTCTTGATGGGAGGAGTTGAAACAGTTTATGTCCAGGAAGTGAGGGCTCTGTAGATATTTTCTCAGCCCTCTTTCTGGTTCCTGTATTGTACAGGTCCTCAATGGAAGGCAGGCTGGCTGGCTGCAATTGTTTTTTCTGCTGTCCTAACTATCTGTTGAAGTCAGTGCCCGTCCTGTTTGGTTTTTGTACCAAACCAGACAGACAAGCAGAAAGAAAGCAAGAAATCAAAGCTACCAGGGCTATGAGGCTGATCCCGGGTCTTGATTTCTGCTTTTGATTCTCTGCCAGCTGGCTGGAAAGCCAGAGGAGTGCTTACTAGGGCAGGGCCTTCTTGGTTGCAGCCCAGTTCCCTTCCAGGAGACCCCAGGGCCAAGTACAGGCTTAGCATTTTAGAGAAGTTACTGTTTCAATGTATTTATTTTCATTTTGATGTGCATGTGCATATCATATGGTAGATGGGGCAGTTATAAAAAATTGATAAATGAGTAAAAATAATTTTTTAAAAAACAATTCATATGCCACCTCTCTACTCAAATGATGTTCAAGTAAGCTAATGATTTCTCTTAAAATTGAAAAACTAACGTGTTTCAAAGTTAATGCTAAAATTGATCAACAATAGCAGTAGCACTTAGACTTATATACCCCTTTCACAGTGCTTTACAGCTCTCTCTAAGTGGTTTACAGAGTCAGCCTCTTGCCCCCAACAATCTGGGTCCCCATTTTATCCACCTCGGAAGGATGGAAGACTGAGTCAACCTTGAGTCAATCAGGATCGAACTGCTGGCAATCAGCAGAGTTAGCCTGCAATACTGCATTCTAACCCCTGCACACCATGGAAGGAAGGAAGGGGAAAGGAAAAAGGGAGAGCAATAGCAGTAGCCCTTAGACTTCTATACCACTTCACAGTGCTTTACAGCTCTCTCTAAGCAGTTTACAGAGTCAGCCTCTTGCCCCCAACAATCTGGGTCCTCATTTTACCCACCTTGAAAGGAAAGCTGGGTCAATTTGAACTGTTCAGAATCAAACTGCTTGCAGTTGGCAGAGTCAGCCTGCAACACTGCATTCTAACCATTGCACCCACATGGCTCATAATAATAATAACAATAGGGTGGATTAAAGAGATGCATCTTTACAAATGTTCTAAATGCGAGAGCGTGGGGATCAAAGAGAGCATCTTCTCTCAGTATCTAGGAGGGACCTTCTAGAAAGACCTTCGCAGCTGGTACCTGAGCTATCAAACTCTGGGAGAGCCTGCCTGGAGATTTGTAGATTCCTGGAGTAATTAAACGACCGAGGGCTTTGAAGGCCAATATTAGCACCTTCAGTCATGACATTTGAGCCACTGGGAACCCCTGTGTCAAGGTTCCAACTAATGCAGGGGTCTCCAGCCTTGGCAACTTTAAGACTTGTGGACCTCAACTCCCAGAATTCTGTGAAATCTGGGAGTTGAAGTCCACAAGTCTTAACGTTGCCAAGTTTGGAGACCCCTGGACTAATAAATCCAACCAATTCAGCACTCCAAGACTTTCAGTTTCTTCAAAGAACTGCTTTATTGAGTACATCATTTTGGCATGAATGAATTTAAACCCAGCTCTAACTATTTCCCACGTTTTCAGTACAGTTTAATGTTAGATATCCTCCTCCCTCCAGTGTCCCAAGTCACCTTGTCCAGTTAGGTGCTCTGGCATCTCCTCTGGCCACCCACCTGTTGGGATGACCTTGGTTCCCACGAGATAGTAGGTTGTTTTGTATAGTCCATTCATTTCCCCTGTCCCCGGGGATTGTGTGGCAACTTGGGAAATGGAAGATGGCTGTGACGGGCTTGATCCATTTCAAAAGTAACCCCTGCAGAACTTCAGCACAGGAATCTGGGGATCCCCGCCCCTTGCGCTAAATCACAGCCAGTTACGGTCTCCCAGCACCGCCTCCTGGACACAGGCAAATAGAAAAGGCCGGAAGCATCGCAGAACCGTGGTTTGAGAGCCTCTCCCTGCTTTGAAGATCCCAAAGGGGTTCCAGCAGCCTCAGTACAGGTAGTCCTCAAACTTACAAGCGTTGTTTGAAGTTACAACGGCACTGGAAAAAACGACCACTTTTCACGCTTACGGCCATTGCAGCATCTCCATGATCATGTGATCCAAATTTGGAAGCTCCGCAACTGGCTCATATTTATGACAGTCGCAGTATCCCGGGGTCCCATGATCCTCTTTTTCGGCTTTCTGATGAAGCAAAGTCAATGGAGAACGAGATTCACTGAACAGCCGGGTTACTAACTTAACAACTGCCGTGATTCTCTTAACAAATCTGGCAAAAAAGGTTGTAAAATGAGGCAAAAGAAATGTTTTGCTTAGCAACAGAAATTTTGGGCTCAAACGTGGTCATAAGTTGAGAACTACCTGTCTTGGCTCTAATTCACAATTCTTGCAAGCCATTGAAACTTTTAAGTTTTAACTTTTAACATCCAGAGGACTTTGGAACTTGCCAGGCCTTCCTGATCGCTTTTGTGACTTTTTGAGAGTGACCTATAATGACCCGGCCCTCAGGTCAAGAAGAGACTTCTTAGTAGATTTCCTAGAACTGCCTTTTGCAGTGCGTGGGATGTAAATACATCTCATCTATGAGGAAGCATTCCTTAACTGTCAGGCTGGTCCTATCCTGCCCGATTTAATCATTGCAAGAACAGCAAATCCAGATCAGCTACTTAAACAATAAAATGAAACTTGTATCCAAAAGCAGGGGAATGCCCGGTACCTGTTATCGTTTGTGTTTGGCCTGGAATGTCACCAGGGTGAGACGCAGGAGAGCCTCTCTTGAGTTCCCTGCTGTAAGCTGCCTGATGAGAGGCTCCTTTCTCACCCTCAGCAAAGAGCCAGCATGTTCTGAACTTCCTTTTCCCCCTCTTCCTTTGGGAAAGTACATCATGGGAGCCATGAAGAGGACAGGACATGGACAACTCGCCTGTCTCTTCTGTTTAAAGGTTATGACTGCCAGATTCCCCCCCCCCCCTTTATAAACTTGGCTTTTTGTGGCTCCTTCTCTACGGCACAACTTTTATTGCTGCTCTTCTTATCCCGGGTCAGTCCCACGTTCGTACAGATGCAGTGGGTCTGCCTTGGCCTTCCTTCCCTGGATGAGAACCTGAGAGGTGGCCATTCTGTTAGCAGCTCCCTTGCTGAGCCGGTCCCAGAGAGCCTGCAGCCAGGACAAGCCGGGTGATTGGCGGGCATGGTGCCCAACTGGCTCTTCCACCCCCCCCAAACAGGAAGCCACAGAGCAGAACCCCGACTGAATTGAATAGGAGGAAGTCTCCAGCCATCTACGCAAAGCAAATTGGCAGAAGTGTGTGTGTGTGTGTGTGTGTGTGTGTGTGTGTGTGTGTGTGTGTGTGTGTGAAAGAGAGAGGCAGAAGCAGAGGCAGCCTAACCACAAGTGCTCTTAGGAACAGCAGAAGCCATGAGAGCGAAGCGTGGTAGGTTTTTGGTGAAGGATCATAGCCGAGAACCAGCATTTCTGGTCAGAAGCCTGGTTGAGCATCAGGAAGTTCCATGTTGGGAAGGTGAGCTTTTTATGTATCCGCCTCAGAGGCAAAAATCGGTCTGGGGTGCTTTTGCAATCACCTGTCAGATTTGTCAAGCTTTTCCCGATGATTTAACGGTTAAGTGAAGTGCTGGTATTGCCCAAGAAGTGAAAGGATTTCCGAGGGCTCAACTTTGCAGACCTCTGTGAAAAGCAAAAGTAACTTCTTTGCAGGGCAAGTAAATGTGCTTTGTCTGCCACTGAGGCCTCCCTCTGTTTAATCTGTGGTTTATTTCTTGTTTTGAAAAAAAAAATGCAGAGAGGCTTGCAAAAGGAATTTGGTAGTCACACTGTTCCTTTGTGTGCTGCTTGGCCCTTGCCCGTCACAGGTCAAACAGCCACTTAGGACAGAACCTCGCAGAAATATGTTGAATTTTGTTCAGAAAGGCTGCCATTAGCAAGGGCCTCCTGGAATCCCCCGTAAGCCTGGTTCTGAACACACATGTTGTAAATTGTTGGTTGTGGCTGCTGTGCTATTTTATCTTAAATAAGTGACCGATTCATATCTCCCTCCCTCCCTCTCTCCCTCTCTCTCTCCCTCTCTCTCTCTCTCTCTCTCTCTCCAGCCGCCAATCACCCGTCGGTCTGACTCTGCCATCTCCGTTCGTTCATTGCATTCAGAGTCCAACATGTCCCTCCGCTCAACGTTCTCTCTCCATGAGGAAGAGGAGGAGCCAGTAGGTATTTGGGGGTTGGGGGGGGCAGAGTTTCCCATAATACATGATGTGGAAGAGGTCTATACATTTTTTTTCTATTAACTACCAAAGTAGAAAGCTCCCTGTATTGCAAGAATTTCATTTTTTCTTTTCACAAAGGAACCTTTGGTGACAATTATTAAAACAATAAGCCTTCTGCCTCCTTCCCCCCCAAGCAACAGAATGAAAATTTCTTAATAAATTATTGCTGTGTTTAAAAGAAAAACCCAGAGGAACCTAAACCCAAGAGAGATGTGGCTCCCTGATGCAGAAGCTGATGAGCCTCCTGTCCAAGGCGTCCTTGGTCCGTATTAGACCTGTGGTTTTAGCTGCCCCCTGAAGCATGTAGTGTTGCAGCCAAAAAGGGCTCTGAGGAAGGAAATCTCTGGGTCTGCAGCCTAATTGGTCTTGCTTTTCACAGCCCTTATTCAGCTGATGGGGGTCTGGACTGTAGCTTCAGTTATTCCTTGCTGTTGCTGTAATCCTAGATGAAATTAAAAGAGCCACAAACTTGCCCATCCCTGGCATAAAGGAAGTGGCTGTTCTTTTCTGGCACAATTCTTTTAACTATAAATCAATGCTTTGCCACAACTCACAACCACTGCATAAAAGTTACTCTGTGCCTCTCTAGAGTTTACTGCCCATGGCCCCCGTTCAACTATTCTGCCTCAATCATGATGCATCATGCATGGAGTTCAGTTCTAGGTATTGAAACGCTGGGCCTTTGGAAGTTTGCAAGAACCCTTTTCTCTGAAGAAACAGCTGTATGTTGTTTTAATAAAAAAAAACAACGTTCCAAAGCTCTCCCCCCAAATTTGGCATAGGTAGTGATCAACGTGTGTGTAACCTGCATTATATCACATTTTCCTTCCCCAGTTAACTCTTGGCTCTTCCAAAAAGGAAAAGTGTCCTCTTTCCTGCCATCAAAAAGCATTACGACTTACGACCACAACTGAGCCAAAAGTTTTCGTTGCGAAATGAAACATTTGTTAAGTGAGTTTTGCCTCATTTTACAACATTTCTTGCCACAGTTGTTAAGTGAATCACTGCAGTTGTTAAATATGTCACACAGTCGTTAAGTGATTCTGGCTTTCCCATGGACTCGGCTTGCCAGAAGGTCACAAAAGGGGGTCATGTCAGGGGTGAAATGCTCCCGGTTCGGACCGGATCGCTTGATCCGGTAGCAATGGAGGCGGGTGGTTTGGAGAACCGGTAGCAAAAATCCCTGTGCCACACCCCACACACACCCCCACCCAGCTGAGCCGCACCATCATCAGAGGCTTTTTTTTTTTACTTTTAAAAGCATTTTTTCTACAACCTCTTAGGCTGAAAAAAGTAAAAAAAAAAAAAAGCCTCTGATGATCGTGCAGCTCAGCTGGGATCCTCAAAGGCTTTCAAAAGCATTTTTTCTACAACTTCTTCAGAGGTTGTAGAAAAAAATGCTTTAAAAGCCTCTGAGGATTCCAGTTGCCTGATTGGAAGAGGCTTTTTTTATTTTAAAAGCCTCTGACGATCCAAGCTGAGTTGCCTGATCGGCAGAGGCATTTAAAAGAAAAAAAGCCTCTGCCAATCAGGAAACTGGTAGTAATGAATTTTAGATTTCACCCCTGGATCACGTGACCCCGGGGCACTGCAACCGTCGTAAGCATGAATCAGCTGCCAAGTGTTTGAATGATGCTCACATGACCATGGGGATGCTGCAATGATCAAAAGAGTGAAGAAGGGTCGTAAGTCACTTTTTTTCAGTGCCGTTGTAACTTGGAACAGTCACTAAATGAACTGTTGTAAGTCAAGGACTACCCATATTTCCCCTGTGCAGATTGATGACTTTGGGGGGGCGAGTGGGGGGTTATCCTGAGCATGCAGCTGTGTCCCCAGTAGTTTAAAATCAGGGCTCTCCAAACTTGGCAACTTTAAGACAGCTGAACTTCGACTCTCAGAATTCCCCCAGCCAGCTATGAAGTTGAACTCCTCATGTCTGAAAGTTGCCAAGTTTGGAGAGCCCAGGTGGCAGCAGCTGCTTTGGATTCCCTAGACCAGTGACGGCTAACCTTTTTGTCGTGGCGTCATCAAAGTGCGCACACATATGACAGCGTGCTTGCACGCGTGCCCTCCCCCATGCGCCTTGCCCTCCTGTGCATGCTCCCCTGCCCCCCCCCCACATGTGCTTGCACCCCCTGTGCCCTGTTTTGGGCCTAGCAGGACTCTCTGCAGCCTCCTGGGACCAAAAACAGTCTCCTCCCTGCCCCCTGCACATGTGCGTGTGACCCCCCCATCTCCCGCATATGCGCACGTGTCTCCCACATGCACCCCGCCCCCACACATGCACAGCAGAGACCCAAAAATCAGCTGGCTGGCGGGAGGTGCACACATATGCGCAATGGAGCTGAGCTGGGGCGACGGCTCGCGTGCCCACAGAGAGGGCTTTGTGTGTCACCTGTGGCACATGTGCCATAGGTTCGCCATCATGGTCCTAGACGGATAATTCCCCTCCTCGCCCCCTTGCAAAGGGGATCCTTAGTCCTTCCGGTGCCTTAGCTGCTTTCAACCTGGGAACTGCCGAGAGTTAGTGAGGTGTTTTAAATGAATAAATAAAATTCTCTCCTTTCCCCCTCCCTGATTGTGAAGGAAGATGGCTTTTTGGTATCTGGATTCCAAACCTCTGGACCAGTGGTGAAATCTTCCCTGGTTTGCCACTGGTTTGCTGCCCCTGCATACGCATTGCGTGCCAAGCGCGTGCTTTGTGTGCGCATGTATGCACAGTGCACACCAAACGCAAGCTGTGTGCGTAGTGCACACCAAACCCATGCCAAACAAACGCTGCGTGCGGAAAAAGGAGGCTTGGGAAGGTAAGTAGAAGTAAGCGAGGGGGGGGAGAACAGCTGTGCCACGCGATTTAGATTCACTAGAAAGCACGATTTCTGGCTTTCTAGCGATTTTAAATCGCGCGGCACAGCTGATCATCGGAAATACCGGTTTGGACCAAGCAGTAGCTTTTTTTAAACTACCGGTTTGCCAAACTGGTAGCTTTTATCGCTACCGGTTTGCCCGAACCGGTGCGAACCAGTAGGATTTCACCACTGCTCTGGACTAATTCCAACTAGATGGCAGCAGAAAGTTAAAGCAGACACAATTCTTTAATAATGCCTTGTAGTTGTGCTCTGGATTTTTTGCGAATGAAAAGTTTTGCTTGGGCCCTAGAGAGTTCTGCTTATACCCCTGCCCGGCCCCCTCTTTAGAGATATTTAGCTGGGGGCCTGATGAGGAAGTGAATTCACGTTGGCTTGAATGTGAGGTGCTTCTTTTGCCCCCCTAAGAAAATGGAGCCCTAGTTTGCACAGATGTGCTCACATTGAAAAGGTGAGTTTTCTCTTGTGAACACCTAGAGATTGTGGGGTGGCCGACACATGCTCCTCCTCCTCCTCCTCAGGGCGAGCTCTCCAGCCATTCACAACCTGGAGCTTCGTTCTCTGCCATTATACAGGTGGTCCTCGGCTTACAACACTTCATTTAGTGACCGTTCAAAGTCACGACGGCACTGAAAAAGTGACGTATGGCCGTTTTTCACACTTATATGATTGTTTCAGCATCCTTGTGATCAGATGATCAAAATTCAGATGCTTGGCAACTGATTCGCATTTATGACGGTTGCACAGTGTCCTGGGGCCTTTTGTGACCTTCTGACAAGCCAAGTCAAGGGGGAAGCCAGATTTACTTAGTAACTGCAGCGATTCACTTAACATCTGCGGCAAGTCGTGAAATGGGGCAAAGCTCACTTAATATCTGTCTCTCTTAGCAACAGAAACGTTTGGCTCAGTTGTGGTTGTAAGCCCCAGGATTTACCTGTAAATTTTGTCTCCCAAACTCCCCAGCCTGGCAGAGCATTGCTGGGTTTGAGCCAAAGGGAGGCGCCATTTTCATTCTCACACGCGTGTGTTCTGGTTGGTTGCAGGAGCCTCTGGTGTTTGCTGAGCAGCCTTCTGTGAAACTCTGTTGCCAGTTGTGTTGCAGTGTGTTTAAAGATCCCGTGATCACGACCTGTGGGGTAAGGAGTCGAACTGGGCGGCAGTTTCAGTCGTGTGGAGAAAGAGGTCGGGGAGGACTGAATTGGAGCATCTTTGGTGGACTTGCTGGACTTGGCCGTCCAGTCCAACTTCCTGCACAGTGCAATAATCCCAAAATGCATCTTTCTTTGATTAGCTCTGGAATCCTCCCCGGTAGGGAGGTTAGACCGTGTAGGCCAGGGATGTCAAACTCGATTTCATTGAGGGCCACATCAGGGTTGTGTTTGATCTCGGGTGGGTGTGGCCGGCTCGACATCATTTGTGTTACGGGGGCCTGCGGTGGCCTGAGTCCTTTGCTAGCTAAAACGGGTTCCCAATCTCTGTTTTCGGCTGGGACGGCCTCCTGCAACCCTCTGCCAGCGAAAACGGAGCTCGGGAGGGCCGTGTGCGGCCCTCCCAAGCTCCATTTTCACTGGCAGAGGGCTGCAGGAGGCCGTCCCGGCCGAAAACAGAGATTGGGAACCCGTTTTCACTGGCAGAGGCACCACAGACTGGTCCTTCACTGTTTCCAGGGCGGCTCTGTGGGCCAGATCTAAGCACCGGATTCATCCTGTGGGCCTTGAGTTTGACACCCCTGGTGCAGGCTGAAATTCCCTCCCCCCCCCCCCCAACACACCTTTTCTGCCAGCCTCAAATGTCAGTCCTTCCCTTCTACTCGTCCTGATCCCCTGGAAGAAACAGAAGCAAAAATGGACTTAATTGATCTGCCCTTTCTTTGGCTGTCCTTTTCTCCCCCAATGGATCCTTTGCAGCTGTGCCTTCGACGTCTCCTTTGGTAGGAACTCCAACCCACAGTATAATGGAGCCTGCCCACCATGCTCGAGACTAACGGACGTAAAGCACCGACTCGATTTTATGACCTGTTTTGTGGCAGTCATTAAATCATTGTGCCGGTTAAACAAACACCGCAGTCATTAAATAAAGCTACGATTCACCTATTGGTGCATCTCAAGTCGGACCCTCGGCCACTCTGTGGGTCAGCCCTCTCCATGCCCCTCTGTCTCACATCGCCTCCTTCAGACCCGCCATGGTCATCCCGGTGTCATCCTTTATAGTCTCCAGCCAGCGGGTGCTCGAGCAGTCCCCTCTTCTTTTTCCAGTGATCACTCCCAGCATTTGACTTTTTTTTTCCTTTTTTGCCAGTTCAATGTTTTTATTGAGTTATAAAATATTATAAGATACGGAATACAAAAGTAAATAGAAAAGCAGTGGGGAGGAAGAGGGGGAAGAGAAGTGAGAAAGGATAAGAATAAAAGGAAGAAAAAGAAGCATTTGATTTACGACTGTTGCAGTAAAATAAGGCATTAAAAAAATACAGATAAATAGAGTTGGAAGGGACCAATGTAGGTCATCTAGTCCAACCCCCTGCCCAAGCAGGAGACCCCACACCATCTCTGGCAGATGGCAGTCCAGTCTCTTCTTGAAAGCTTCCAGGGATGAAGCTCCCACAACTTCCAAAGGCAACTTCTGTTCCACTGGTTGATTGCTCTCACTGTCAGAAAATTCCTCCTTATTTCTAGATTGAATCTTTCCTTGTTCAGTTTCCATCCATGATTCCTTATCTGGCCTTCGGGTGCCTTGGAAAATAGTTTGACCCCCTCCTCTCTGTGGCAGCCCCTCAAATATTGGAAGATGCTATCCTGTCGTCCCTAATTCTTCTTTTCACTAGACTAGCCAGGCCCAGTTCCTGCAACCGTTCTTCATATGTTTTAGCCTCCAGTCCATTGACATCAAATCACAAATCACTTTTGTTTTTTCATAATAATATGAACAAGCCATTCCTATAAGGATCTGTCAGTCTACTCTGAAAATCAAAGTTTCATTCTTTTCCACTTCAAGCCCGAAGTTCAGAAGTGGTCTAAATGACATTTTAAATGAGTCAGTTTTCATGACGTGACCGAAGTATGACAGCTTCTGTTTGGCAATCTTGGCTTCAAGGGATATTGTTGGTGAAGTTCGGTCTAGGACTTCTTGGTTATTTTTACAGTCCATGGGATGCGGTAATAATCACCTCCAGCCCCACAGTTCAAAGGCGTCCACCCTTCTCTTCTCTGAGCTGCCTTTTTCAGAATCTAAAGTTTCGCAGCCATAAATAGCAATTGGAAAAAAATTATTGCGTTAGCTAATCTGCATTGCATTGCGAGATTGATGTCTTTATACTTCCAGATGTCATTCATTCATGCCAGACATTGCAGCCCACAAAGATGGTTTGGACACGCAGAGCACACGAGCCCTTGTGGTTTCCTAAGCAAGGGTTAATGGCACGTGGAGAGACCCGACGGAGTCCATCCAGCCAGAACCCCCTTTCTATTGTGCAAGTTTCCTCACGGTTTTTCCAGCCAGCTGCTCTGACATGTTTTGGGGAATGTCGGAATGGAAATTGGGAGCAAGGCCCAGCTTGCTTTTTGCTCTGCTGCAGACTCTTTTGGCCTCCCTGGCGAGAGCGTTTTCCTGAATGGATAGAGCAGGAAAGGGAAGTGAGCAGCTGGGGAGGAATTACCCCTCAGTTGGGGGCTGCAGAGCCCCCAGTAGAGGAGAGTAAGGCCAACTTTGAGCAAAACACTTGTAGCCAATTCAAGTTTGGCAGCCCAAAGTTGGTGCTCGGTTTATCCTGGAGAATCTAGGAAGGAAGGTGAAGGTCTTGTGTCTCCTTCCCAGGGGTTCTGCTTGGCTGCCCAGGCTTCACTCCTTCCAGCTGTGGCTTATGGTTGCCTGGTGGCTGTGGCCCTTTTAGAGAGTGTTCCTGGCTGCCTCGACTGCCACAGAAGCACTTCCTTGTCACCAACACAAAGCCCAGGAGGATATTGTGAACCAAAAGAGGATAAAATGAACGAATTAGAAAGAAACAGTTCCAAATATAGTATCCCTTTTAAGAGCTCAATAGTATCCCTAGCCACTAAGCTCGGTAAATCATTGTGTATTTCTGAAAATAATCACTTCAGCAGAAAAAAAAACCCCAGTAGTGCAGGAGACTTAATCTTCAGTCACGGATGTGCCAACTCTCAGTCTCGCAAGAGTTGAGCAGCTGGCTCAGAAGGCCCTCTTGAACCCTATGGATCAGTTCTTGATCATCGCCATCTCTCCTAAATTCTCCTCTGGCTTTTCTGTGATTCCTAAGTAACAAAAATAGCCATAGATGATCAGTAGGAATGCAATTAAAACAGAACACTGTAATTTGGTAAAAATCCTGAGACAAGCACAAAAAATTTGGAGCACAGCTTTTCGTTCTAACTTGTTCCCTCCCTCTCAATTGTCTTGGAACTATTCCTCACAGTAAGACAGCAAGTTGCACCAACTCACTTCATAAATCTGAGCTTCACTTGTTCAGCCCAGTAGACTTCCCGCCAGGCATCAGTCAGTAGCTTTCCCCGTTTAACGCTTCTGCAGATACAGATTGAGAAAGTTGGAAGGGACCTTGTAGGTCATCTAGTCCAACCCCCCGCCCAAGCAGGAGACCCTACCCCATTTCTGACAGATGGCAGTCCAGTCTCTTCTTGAAAGCCTCCAGTGATGAAGCTCCCACAACTTCTGAAGGCAACTTCCGTTCCACTGGTTGATTGCTCTCACCATCAGAAAATTTCTCCTTATTTCCAGGTTGAATCTCTCCTTGTTCCATTTCCATCCATTATTCCTTGTCTGGCCTTCGGGTGCTTTGGAAAATAGCTTGACTCCTTCCTCTCTGTGGCAGCCCTCAAATATTGGAAGATGCTATCATGTCTCCCTTTCTCTTCACTAGACTAGATAGATAGAGGCAGCTGGCCTTCACTGCACAGGCCTTGTTCCAGGTAAAGCTCTAGGCCTCACCTGACTATTTCTGGAAGAGATTAAAAGGCACCGTACAAAATTGTACGGTTACAATACAGATAATCCTTGATTCAATGACCACAATTGAATCACTTGACGTTGTTAAGTTAGTAAGTGCATCCGGCTTCCCCATTGACTTACCTACATTCCATCAGCCAAACAGTGCAGGCTGGTGACCCCCAGGGGGAGGGCCTTCTCTGTGGGGGCACCTACCCTCTGGAATCAATTGCCTCCAGAGATAAGGAGAATCCAAGACCTCAGTGCCTTCCGCCGTGCCCTTGAAACCTTCCTTTTCCAGCAAGCCGGGCTGGCCTAATTTTTTAAGTGTTTTTAAGTGTTTTGTTTATTGTTTTTAATTAATGGGGCCAAATTTATATATGTATATTTTAACTGTATTTTAATATTTGTACTTGATGTTTTTACTTGGCTGTTCACCGCCCTGAGTCCTCAGGGAGAAGCGGTATACAAATTCAAAATAAAAATAAAAATAAAAAAATTCCTAGTGATGGATACCATATATCCCACAGTTCTTAATATGAAAGTTGAGCTCCATCTTCTGCTGTTGAATTTTAAGCTTTTCCGCACTTCATTCCCCTGCGAGAGTTTTAAATAGAAAGACTGAGGGTTCCGATCAGATGCTGTAACTTAACACACGCAAAGTGCCTAATTTTAAGTGGAGTTCTAAAACCTAAAATAAAACCAAAGTCCTGAATGAAACGAAGCTTTCGGTAAGATTGAGGCGAATGGCATCTGTCTGGAAGAAGAAATGCAATGGTCATAGGAAAAGGAAATGTGTCACCTTTTATAGTCCAGAATGCAGCCATCGAATAAAAAGAATTTTTTTTTCAAGATCTGAGTTCTTCTCTTTCCTGATACTGAATTCATTTTTTAAAACTTTCCCAGGCTGCATCTGAGGAAGAACGATGCAATTTGTCTTTGTTTAGCTTTCTTAGCATCAAATTGGACATGAGGCTGAATACAGGCTCTAGATTTTTTTCCCCACAAAGATCTGGAGAAAAGGAGCCCAATCCACCAGCTGTAGCTCCTGGAGCAAAGTGGATTAAAATGGGTGGGTCTCTAGGACAGGGCTCTCCAACCTTGGCAACTTTAAGACTTGTGGACTTCAACTCTCAGAATTCCTCAGCCAGCTTTGCTTTGCTGGCTGGGGAATTCTGGGAGTTGAAGTCCACAAGTCTTAAAAGTTGCCCAGGTTGGAATAGCTGGCTGAGGAATTCTGGGAGTTGAAGTCCAGCAGTCTTAAAGTTGCCAAGGTTGGAGACTCCTGCTCTAGGAAGCAAAGGCTACCTAGTAGGACCCACAGAGGCTGCCCCCTGTTGGTGAAAACAGGCATTGTGTGATACACACCCCGTTTCTTACCGCCTTCTGTTCTCTTTCTTCACAGCACACGTTTTGCAGGAGATGTGCCTTAACCTCTGGTAGGTACTGAAGCCCTTTTGAGCATTGTGTTTGAATGACAGGTAGTCCTCGACTTATGACCACAAAAATTTCAGTTGCTAAGTGAGACATTTGTTAAATGAGGTTTGCCCCGTTTTGCAAAATTTCCTGCCGCAGTTCTTAAGTGAATCACTGCTTAAGTTAGTCACCTGGTTGTTAAGTGAATCTGGCTTCCCCATTGACTTTGTTTGTCAGAAGGTCTCAAAAGGACCATGAGCCCAAGATACTGCAACCGTCATAAATCTGAGTCAGTTGCCAAGCGGCTGAATTTTGATCACATGATCATGGAGATGATGCAAAGGTCGTAAGTGTGAAAAACGGTCATAAGTCACTTTTTTCAATGCCGTTGTAGCTTTGGACGGTCACTAAATGAACTGTTGTAAATCCAGGACTACCTACATTGTTGGAAAGTGCAGGCATTCTTTTTTCTTTTGCTTATCTTTTGCTTCTTTGTCAAATACAAATTTTAAAAATGGCACCCAGGCTTTCCTTGTTGATTGGATTCTTGTACTTTTTATGACATCTGAGAAATTTCACTCTGCCAAGTGCAGCTCTGGATATTTCCTCTGACTACGAAGATCAGAGTAGTGGACTTTGGTGGACCAGGACTGTACAACTCTGGTGAGGTGCTCAGTCTCCAGGGCAATGATAACAAGTGGATCATCCTCTTTTAACGACCCCATAATCCCCTGAGAGGTGGAGTCTGGGCAACTGAATGGAGCTGAGTGTTTACTGGCCGGATGCCCTTCCTGTCGCCAATGCGGAGTTTTATTCAGCAGTCATATTCTCATTGCACCCAGAGAGAGAAATCTGCCTCTACCTAGGATCGAACTCACAGCCTCCTGATTGTGAGGCGAGAGCTCCACCTCTAGGCCACCGCACCACTCTTACAAGTAGATGGGGTTTGGATTTTCCAAATTCCTGATATTTTCCCCTTGTTTCCAGTAAGCGTATTTTAATGCAATGTTTCTGTGTTTCCTGTCTGAAACCATGGATGAAAAATAGTCTAGGGGAATTGCAGAAAAGTCACCTGGGAGATGCACACAATGACTGGTGATCTTGAGGAATGACCTCTCTAAAATAATACATGTGAAGATAATGTGAATTATTGAATTGATAAAATGCATGCCAGTTACCATATTTTTCCGAGTATAAGACACAACTTAGTTTTTGGGGAGGAAAATAGGGGGGAGAAAATCTGCCTACCAGGTATTCATCTGGCTAGCGTCCTTCGTCTGGTCAGCTTCAGCACATTAGTTTGCTGGTTTTTATTCCCTGCTTGGGGATAATAAACAGCTTCTAAAGCACAACTGATCTTTGGAGAGAGAAGCAATGAGAAAAGCAGGCAAACCACGGAGATCGCTTCACTCGCTAGCGCCTCCTTAGGGCTGAAAAAAAAGCTTCACAGCTGAGAGTTGGAGGGAACAGGCAAAGCAGGGAAGCTAAGATCGCTTCACTCGCTAGCACCTCATTAGGGCTGGGAAAAAAGCTTCGAAAAAAGTTTTTTTCAGAGTATACATTCAGAGTATAAGAGCGCCCAAATTTTCAGCCTCTTTTACGAGGGAAAAAAGTGCATCTTATACTCCAAAAAATACAGTAATTGATGATTTTATAATTTACGCATTTGAGGAAGTTATCTGCAATTAAGCGGACAACAGCTTCACTTAGAAATGGAGTTCAAATTTTCCCCTCAGAGTGTTTTTAAAGGGGATAAGCCTAGTGGATCCCAGCTCAGGATGGTGTCTGAATGAAGTCACGCTCACCAAGAGTTTCTCCCTGCAGACAAGTGCCCAGTGGACAATGCCAAACTGACAGTGGTGGTGAACAACATTGCAGTGGCCGAACAAATCGGGGAGCTCTTCATTCACTGCAAGTACGGCTGCCGGTCCAGCGTGAGTGGCAAGCCTTCAGCCTTCGAGGTGGACCCCCACGGGTGCCCCTTCACCATTAAACTGAGTGCCAGGAAGTAAGTAAGCTGTGTGAAGCCTCTTCCTGTGATTGCTGGTTTGTCTGGGCATGGCTGCTTATTTGAATTCAGCAGGATGGCATTCTCCCTCCCCTTGCTCTCTCCCCCCCCCCCCCAAAATGGCTTATACTTGTATGGCTTATACCTCGGCAGATTTGCTTGCGCTGCGAGATGCCCCCCTCTCGCGGCGATGGCCTTCCACTCTATCGAAGGCCTACCTTAAGGACGGGCTTTGGAGCCCCGAGAGGTGGCATGTTTTAAAGCTGGGATTGAGGGGTTTTTTAATTAGGGTTTTTAATAATCTTTTAAGGGGAACTGGGAGGGTGACCAAAGGGGATGGGGGGGGTAATCCACCTAGGTCAGGGCCCAGCCTGGCACAGGGTAACGGTCTGGAGGGCGCAGGACGAGGGATTGGGGATGTCATCAGCACGGTGGATGGGAGGGGCAGATATGGCGGGAGCAGAGGACCTTATCTTGTGCCGGGGGTGCACACTCGCTACTTGAGAGCGATTGCACGCCCCGGTCCTCAAGGCTCCCCTCAGATACTAGGTGGCTCAGATACTCAGGACCTGGGCCTCCGGCTGATGCTGTGCAACGCCAGGTCCGTGGTAAATAAGGCCCCCCTCATTTACGATCTTATTCAAGAGGGGGGAGCGGACCTGGCGGGTATTACGGAGACCTGGTTGGGCCCGGAGGGAGGGGTCCCTCTGGTTGAGATGTGTCCACCAGGCTTCAGAGCATTCCATCAGCCGAGGGCCCAGGGGAGGGGCGGGGGGTGGCGGTTATTATTAACGAAGGTCTGGGTCCGAGGGAGACCACTGTGCCACAGATTGCCGGATGTGAGTCCCTCTTTGTGAGGTGGGGTCAGGGGGTTCAGATGGGCTTGCTGCTAACGTACCTGGCTCCCTGCCGCGTGGCAACGGCCCTGCCCGAGCTACTCGACGTGATAGCCACGGTGGCAGTTGATACACCCAGGCTTATGGTCATGGGTGATTTCAATCTGCCGTCCGTTGGTGAAACGTCAGAGATGGCTCGGGAGTTCATGGCTTCCATGACGGCCATGGACCTGACCCAGTTAGTTCATGGCCCCACTCACAGGGGGGGACACACGCTGGACCTGATTTTTGTCTCTGGCCAGTGGTTGAGTGGTCTTATTATAGGGGATATAGACATGAAATCCTTGTCATGGTCAGATCACTCACTCCTTCGTCTGGACCTTCGAACCGCTACACCCCGCCGCAGGGAGGCGGACCCAATTAGATGGATCCGCCCCAGGCACCTGATGGATCCTGATAGGTTCCAGACGGAGCTTGGGCCAATTCCTGAAGATCTGGCACACGACTCGGCCGAGGACCTGGTAGCTGCCTGGGATCGGGCGGCTGGTGGGGCCTTGGATCGAGTCGTGCCTTTGCGGCCTCTGACCCGGTGTCGATCCCTCGCGGCTCCTTGGTTTACTGAGGAGCTGAGGGAGATGAAACGCCGGAAAAGACTCCTAGAGAGCGGTTGGAGGGCCAGTCTCGCTGAATCTGACTGAACACTGGTAAGGTCGCATATTAAGACCTACGTAGTGGCGATAAAGACGGCAAAGTTTAACTACTTTTCCGCCTCTATTGCGTCATCAGGGAATCGTCCGGCCGCCCTGTTCAGGGTAACCCGCTCCCTGCTCCATCCGGGAGCACGGGAGGATCCCTTGGAAGGCAGGGCGGAGGATTTCGGACAATACCTGTATGACAAAATCGCTCCGATCCAGGGGGATTTGGACTCTGACTGGGTAGATCAGGGCAGGGTGACGAGGAATAGTCTTGAGAATGTTACCTGGGAGGAATTTGATGCTGTGACTCCGGATGATGTGGACAGGATTTTGGGGAGACTTAGTGCGGCCACATGTTTACTGGACCCGTGTCCCTCCTGGTTGGTACTGGCCTCCCGGGAGGTTACACGAGGCTGGCTCCAGGGTGTTATCAACGCTTCGTTGAGTGAGGGTCACTTCCCCGCCGCCTTGAAAGAAGCGGTGGTGAGGCCTCTCCTCAAGAAGCCGTCCCTGGATCCGGCAATATTGGCCAACTATCGTCCTGTATCCAACCTTCGCTTCCTGGCGAAGGTTGTTGAGAGTGTGGTCGCGCGACAGTTTCCACAATTCTTGGAGGAAACATCCTATCTAGATCCGTTCCAGTCGGGTTTCAGGCCTGGACACAGCACGGAAACGGCATTGGTCGCGTTGGTTGATGATCTCTGGAGGGCTCGGGACAGGGGTTGTTCCTCTGTTCTGGTCCTGTTAGACCTCTCAGCGGCTTTTGATACCATCGACCATGGTATCATGCTGCACCGGTTGGAAGAGTTGGGGATGGGAGGCACCGTATTACGGTGGTTCTCCTCCTTTCTCTACGACCGGTCGCAGTTCGTGTTGGCAGGGGGGCAGAGGTCGACCTCAAGGCCTCTTATATGTGGAGTGCCTCAGGGGTCGGTCCTCTCGCCCCTCCTGTTCAACATTTATGTGAAGCGGCTGGGCGAGATCATCCGTGGCTTTGGGGTGAGATACCACCAGTACGCTGATGACACCCAGCTGTACATCTCCACCCCAGGCCACCCCAACGATGCCCTTGAAGTGATGTCCCAGTGCCTGGAGGCTGTGCGGATCTGGATGGGGAGGAACAGGCTCAAGCTCAACCCTTCCAAGACTGAGTGGCTGTGGCTCCCAGCATCCCGATATAGTCAGTTGACTCCATCACTGACTATTGGGGCGAGTCGTTGGCCCCCACAGAGAGGGCTCGCAATCTGGGAGTCCTCCTGGATAGGCAGCTGTCTTTGGAGGAACATCTGACGGCTGTAACCAGGGGGACCTTTTGTCAGGTTCGCCTGATCCGCCAGTTGCGGCCCTTTCTTGATCGGGATTCCCTGTGCACAGTCACTCATGCCCTCGTCACCTCTCGCCTTGACTACTGCAACGCTCTCTACATGGGGCTCCCCTTGAGGAGCACCCGGAGGCTCCAACTGGTCCAGAATGCAACAGCGCGGGTAGTGATGGGAGCAGCCTGGCGCTCCCATGTAACACCGCTCCTGCGCGAGCTGCACTGGCTCCCAGTGGTCTTCCGGGTGCGCTTCAAGGTGTTGGTTATCACCTTTAAAGAGCTCCATGGCATAGGGCCTAGCTATCTTCGAGACCGCTTGCTGCCACCGACGATCTCCCATCGACCCGTGCGCTCCCACAGAGAGGGCCTCCTCGGGGTGCCATCAGCCAAACAGTGCAGGCTGGTGACCCCCAGTGGGAGGGCCTTCTCTGTGGGGGCTCCCACCCTCTGGAATCAGCTGCCCCCAGAGATAAGGAGAATCCAAGACCTCCGTGCCTTCCGCCGTGCCCTTAAAACCTTCCTTTTCCAGCAAGCCGGGCTGGCCTAATTTTTTTAAGTGTTTTTAAGTGTTTTGTTTATTGTTTTTAATTAATGGGGCCAAATTTATATATGTATATTTTAACTGTATTTTAATATTTGTATTTAATGTTTTTACTTGGCTGTTCACCGCCCTGAGTCCTCAGGGAGAAGGGCGGTATACAAATTCAAAATAAAATAAAATAAAATAAAATAAAAATGTCTTTGACAGTACAATTGAGGATGGGCTGTGGAGAGATTTGGGAAGAGACATGACCTGGGAATAGTGCTGCAGACAAAGGGAAGACTTTTTCCCCAAGAAATCTAAGCTGGGAGGATGGAAGAGGAATGGTCAAACTTTTTAGGCCTTCGGGTGGTTTTCAAAGGTAGAAATAGGAGGAGCCCCTGCCCCCCCCCCCCAAATGGCTCCTTTGTCTTAAAACTATCCTAAATAATTAAACAACTGGCCGAAAAGCACAACTGAAATTTAGCCATTTTGTGACTGCCTTTTGATGGCCAAAGATCAAATTATTGGGGAGGGTCTTAAGTGGAGCTTATCCGTGTCTCTGGAAATTCTCAGTCCTCCAGGTAATGGTTGTCCCAAAGGTGCTTTTTCAAGAGGCAACTGGACTTCCTGGTTTTTCTTTGAAGACATTTCACAAACGTCTTCAAAGAAAAACCAGGAAGTCCAGTTGCCTCTTGAAAAAGCACCTTTGGGACAGCTTATCCATGGGTTGCTGCAGAAGAAGCTGCATAGGATGAAATAAAATCTCTGTAGATGTATTTCAGTCCCCTTTGTTGCAGAGCTGGCAAAACTGTGATAAATACTTTAGTGAATTAATGAAATCTTTTCTGGCTCAGATTGTTCATTCAGCTAATCCACAGCTCTATTTCCATAGCCAGAGCTCATAAGACTACAAAAACTGGATGGTTATAGCCCAGCATCATGGAACAATAGAGCGATTGAGGGGAGGGGGGGGTGGGAAGAATGATGATTCTTCCTCCATTTTGTGTGAGTGTTTGTAAAAATCTCATCAACTCAAAATATCGGTACTGGGGCTTTATGGCAACTCTGTGGAAATGGCCAGCTGCCCTCAAGTTATCTAAAGAGGGAGATGTCCAGAGAGCTTCCCTGGTGCCACTGCATAAAAATATCTGGTCCCTTTGCCAAAGAATAGTAATCCAGTGAAGGTGTGTGTGTACGTGTGTGAGAGAGAGAGAACGAGATACTCAGCTTCTGACATCCCCTCTTTTATATCTAGGGACCATGAAGGCAGCTGTGACTACCGGCCAGTGCGCTGCCCCAACAATCCCAGTTGCCCTCCGTTGCTCAAGATGAACCTGGAGGCACATCTGAAGGAGTGTGAGCACATCAAGTGCCCTCACTCCAAATATGGGTAAGCAGGGATCCATGACCTCCTAGGAGAGTCTTGCCTTCTTTGCCCAGCCCAAGGGTCGTTTCCCAGGCCTCAGCCCCCATCACATCAAACTTGTGATGACACGTCATCGACATGATGTATCTGAACTTTTTTTTTTAATTTTTAAATTGTTTAATTTTAATCTGAATCTTAATGGGGTATTTAAACTGCTAGGCCAAATTATTTAATTTATTTTAAATTGCTTTTAAGTTTTGTATTTTGTGTTTTTACCTTTGGCTGTTCACCGCCCTGAGTCCTTTGGGAGAAGGGCGGTATATAAATTTAAAAATAAAAGTAAAATAAAATAAACTTTTTCCCCCTTCGCTAAACTGGGAGTGGGCGTTGCCAGTGCCTGACGCATGTGGCCCGCGGGCTGCGAGTTTTGACACCCCTGCTGTAAGGCTGCTCTGCAATATCTAGTCTCAAGAACGATCCCTCAAATCAGAAGCCAGCTTCGTTGTAAACATAATAAATGTGACACATATCTGTTTAATGTCTTCCAATCTATCTCTAAATGTATGCAGTTCAGCAGCTGCAGCTCAGTTCAGTGAAAAGTGTCAGGGGACGTACAAGCAAGGCAGCTCCTAAGAGAGCAAGCTCATTGAACAAGTGAAAAGGAGAGTAAAAGAGGATTTTTTTTTTTTAATTTGATTTATATGCCACCCTTCTCCGGAGACTCAGGGCGGCTTACAATGCGTTAAGCAATAGGGTTATTGATTTGAGCTTGGAGGTTTGGTAGGGGAAGAGTGTGGGAGAGATTCCAACCAGCATGGTCAGTCAAGGAAGTTCAGGGTGATCCTAACCGTAACCGTGTCTAACAAGAACCCAAACTACCCAGATGGAAATGCAGACTAATAGGAAAAGGGACTTGAGGAAAAAAACACTGCCACACATCAGAAATGCCACACATTTACAGTCCTCTCTAAACGGTTTTACAGAGTCCGCCTATTGCCCCCAACAATCCTCATTTTATTTATTTATTTATTTATTTATTTATTCATTCATTCATTCATTCATTCATTTATTTATTTATTTATTTATTTATTTATTTGAATTTGTCAAACAAAAATGAGAGCAAGAATAAAAGAATTAAAATACAATGACAGGGACGATAGGCATGCTAGTGCACTTATGCACATCACCTCTACTGACCACTTAAGTATGATGTAAGGTCCACGGAAGTCAGGTAGAGCATTCCAGACTGACAACTCTATTACAGAAATCATATTTTTTACAGTCAAGTTTAGAACGATTTACATTGAGTTTAAAGCGGTAGTTAGAGCGCGTATTATTGCGATTAAAACAGAAAAAGTCATTTACAGGTAAAACATTACTGCCTATAATTTTGTATGCAATACTTAGGCCTGACCGCAAGCGACGCAGTTCTAAGTTATCCAAACTGAGAATTTCGAGCATGGTAGCCTAGGGAATTCTATTGTGTACAGAAGAGTGCAAGACTTTTCTTGTGAAGAACTTCTGGACCCCATTCAATTGTACTGATGTCAGATATATGGTGGGGATTCCAAACAGTTGAACAATACTCTCAGATTGGTCTAGCATACGTTTTATAAGCTGTAATTAGTAATACAATGTTTCCAGGAAAAAAATTGCGCAAAATTAAATTTACAACTCTTAATGCTTTTTTTAGCAATGCTGTTACAGTGAACTTTAGAATATAGATCATCAGAGATAAGTACACCTAGGTCAGTGATGGCTAACCTTTCTGCCATCGTGTGCCAAAAGCGGGGGGAGTGCAGAGGGTCACGCACGCGCGTGCCCACAACCATAATTCTATGCACCCTGCCCCCCCTCACATGCATGTGTGACCCACCCCGTGCTCCCCCACGCTTTTGGCATATGATGGCACAGTGGGCCAGTAGGTCCATTTTTCACTCTCCCCAGGCTCCAAAGCCTTTCTAGGAGCCTGGGGAGGACAAAAACGGCCTCCCTCCCCCCTCCGCCGGAGACCAGAAACGGCCCATTTGCTGACTCTGGTGGGCCCAGAAGGCCTGAAAATCAGCTGGCCAGTGCACGCATGTGTACCCAAGATGAGCTCGCGTGCCCACTGATATGGCTCTGTGTGCCACCTGTGGCACGTATGCCATAGGTTCGCCATCACGGACCTGGGTCCTTGACAAAGTGAGGGTCATCAGCTAGTTTAATGCCACCTACCTTGCACTTGACATTCTGATTACGTTTACCAATATGTAAGGCAGAGCATTTATTGATCGAAATTTGAAGTTGCCAAATAGATGACCATTTTTCCAACCTCAGAAGGCTGGGAGGCTGAGTCAACCTTGAGTCAGTCAGGATCGAACTGCTGGCAGTCGGCAGAATTAGCCTGCAATTCTGCATTCCAACCACTGCGCCACCACGAAGATGAGAGCTTCTTGGATACAACAAATAAACCTCCTCAGGAGAAAACAAAAAGAGGAATAGGAATGCCAGAGAACAGGAAGAAGAAGAAAGTGGAAGGATCCAAACACCCTTAGGGTTGACATTGATTTTCAGCAGGCTCATTCTGTGTGTCTATTGCTCCCTGACTCAATTTCATGGAAGCAAGCAGGAATCACTCAAGTCATCACAGCTCAAGGAAGCCCAAGAATCAGTTTTCGAAAGAAGCAGCATGTAGGATTCCCTGGGAAGGCTCCTCTGCAGGTATTTCTCGCATCTGGAGTCTCCGGACCGTTGGCCTTGAGCTGAGTGTAAACAACTCCACTCAGCAGCGCCATAATTCATGAGTGCAAACCTCCCTTCCAGTTCTCATGGGACTACCTCACACCAGTTCGCTTCCCCATCCCAAATGCCTGTGCCCTCCTCCCCGTTTCTATGGCAGCCGAGAGCAAGCATGCTGTAGAAACCCATGCTGGAGATCCGGCTGACAACCAGCGAAGAAGCTTAATAATGAGGAGGGTTTGGGTTCCTTGACTACTCTATCAACCTGAAGGATCTAAGTAAGAGTTGGGTATGTCTCACCCTGACTAGGAAGGATGTTGTTAGCAGCCACATTGCTAATCTCATCAGGAAAGCCTGAAGTGCAGAGAAAAAGAGAAGAGCCTCTTTGAGATAGAGGATAGAGGCAGGACTTAGAGACTGGCTGGAGTCTTCAAAGATGAAATCAAGAGGAGGTATAACTCACAGTCCCAGAAATATTTTACAGCGGTCACAGCATTCTCGTGAAACAAACAGAATTTGAAACCCTAACGAGAAAGGACAAAAATGAGCATCACTAAAACATATCGCAAAGGTGCTTTTTCAGGAGGCAACTGGACTTTCTTGTTTTTTTCTTTGAAGATGTTTTGTTTCTCATCCAAGAAGCTTCTTCAGCTCTGACAGGATAATGGAGAATGGAAGGATTTATATTCCTTGCAGACAGCTGGTCATTTGCATCCTTTTAGAGGGTTCTTGAAGCCCTTGGAAGTTTATCTGTGTCCTCAGGGTTGCCTGAGTAGGGCGAATGGTTCCTGTAGTCTGCAATTTTTCCTCTGGAAATCCATTCCTACTCCCACATCTGGAAATAGATTTCCAGAAGGAAAATTGCAGACTACAGGAACCAGGAGCACTAACTCAGGTGAGCCTGAGGACACAGATAAACCTCCAAGTGCTTCAACCACCCACTGAAAGGATGCAAATGACCAGCTATCTGCAAGGAATAGAAATCCTTCCATTCCCACCATTCTGTCAGAGCTGAAGAAGCTTCTTGGATGAGAAGCGAAACATCTTAAAAAGAAAAAACAAGGAAGTCCAGTTGCCTCCTGAAAAAGCACCTTTGGGACAACCAGGACCTGATGACGGAGAATCTCTACGGACTTTCACTGAAATGTGGTGACCAACAATGGAGCCCTACAAAACTACAACTTAACTCACAGGGAACAAAGTCAGCGGAAGGGGGGAGGGCATTGTGCCATAGATTAAAAAATGCCGGTGCATAAATTCACAATTGTATCATGTTGAGAGATTCTGGGTGGAAATAAAAATAGAGTCAAACTAAAATGATATCATTGTTATTACAAGCTTTTTGCCTGGACAGGCAAAAAAAATAGGGATGAGGATTTTTGTGTCAGATGATCAAAGCGACAATGGGACTTTTCAACAATTCTGACATCTGCTGGAAATCGTAACTCTGCCAAAAAGTTAGAGATAAAGTGAATCCCGAACCAATTTGCCAACGGCTTCATTTGTCAGAAAGTGAAAGAACAAGAGCTAAAGGTTAGGTCTGTAATCCTACACCAAGTCTTTAGCAACAGAGAAGAAGTTACAGAAGTGAAGAACCTTGGAAGAAAGTGACTTATGTTGCCCTTGGGAGACATTTAGAAAACAGGGTGGTTAGACACACAGTTTCTAACAGATGAAAAGAAAAAGAAATGTCTATAGGAACTGCAAGAGGAGCATAGAGCCCAAGGATACAAAAAGTATATTTGCTAGAAATTATAAGGATTGTACCAGAAATACTGAAGCTTGGAAGAAGCTGAGGCTTGTTGAGAAATAATGTATTTTTCGGAGTATAAAATGCAACTTAGTTTTGGGGGAGGAAAATAGGGGGAAAAAATTCTGCCTACCAGGTATTCATCTAGCTAGTGTCCTTAGTCTGGTCAGCTTCAGCACATTAGTTCACTGGTTTTGAGCATGCATGCACCAGGTTGGGGATAAAAAACAGCTTCTAAAGCACAGCTGATTGTTGGAGAGAGAAGCAATGAGAAAAGCAGGCAAAGCACGTAAGAACACTTCACTCGATAGCGCCTCGTTAGGGCTGAAAAAAAGCTTTGAAAAAGCTACATTCAGAGTATAAGACGCACCCAAATTTTCAGCCTCTTTTGGGGGGGGGAAGTGCATCTTATACTCCAAAAAATACGCTACCCAAAACAACAAAATGGCCTCTTGTGGGGGCGGTTATGTCAGAAACAAAAGGAAGGGCAAAAAGGTCAAGGAGAAAGGGATGGGATTGGTGATGCCAAGAAGGCACAATATCTTAATTCATATTTTATGTCTCTTGTGTCTCAGAGGTGAAACAAAATTCTTAACAAGCCATGGTTGCATCATTAGAGGAAAAAGGGAGGGACAGCTCAGGATGGACAAGAAGAGAATCAAAGACCAGTTAGCAAATGTAAAGCAATTCAAGTCTCTATGGCTGTGGACTTCTGTTGTAGGATATTAAAGGAAGTAGCAGCAATGATTGCAGAACTGTAATCCTTGGGAAATCCTGGAGCCCTAGCAAGGTCCCAAAAGACACCAATAATAAATGTTGTCTTTATTTTTTAAAAAAAATAGCACACCCCCCCCCCCCCCCCCCCAAGGCAGTGTGCTCTCCCCACTTCACTGCTCTCTTTATACCAATGACTGCATCTCAAACGATCCATCTGTTAAACTAATGAAGTTCGCAGATGACACAACAGTGATCGGTCTCATTCGAGACAATGATGAATCCGCATACAGAGGGGAGGTTGAACAACTAGCCTTGTGGTGCGATCAGAACAATCTGGAACTGAACACACTGAAAACCGTAGAAATGGTGGTAGATTTTAGGAGAAACCCTTCCATACTACCACCTCTTACAATACTAGACAACACAGTATCAACAGTAGAGACCTTCAAATTTCTAGGTTCTACCATATCTCACAACCTAAAATGGACACCCAACATCAAAAACGTCATCAAAAAACTACAATAAAGAATGTTCTTTCTGTGCCAACTCAGGAAGCTCAAACTGCCCAAAGAGCTGCTGATCCAGTTCTACAGAGGAATGATTGAGTCTGTCATCTGCACCTCTATAACTGTCTGGTTTGGCTCTGCAACCCAACAAGACAGACACAGACTTCAGAGGATAATTAGAACTGCAGAAAAAACCATGGCTACCAACCTGCCTTCCATTGAGGACCTGTATACTGCACGAGTCAAAAAGAGGGCTGTGAAAATATTTACAGACCCTTCGCATCCTGGACATAAACTGTTTCAACTTCTACCCTCAAAAAGACGCTATAGAGCACTGCACACCAGAACAAGTAGACACAAGAACAGTTTTTTCCCGAACGCCATCACTCTGCTAAACAAATAATTCCCTCAACACTCTTAAAATATTTACTAAGTCTGCATTACTATTAATCTTCTCATCATTCCTATCGCCCATCTCCTCCCACTTATGACTGTATGACTGTAACCTTGTTGCTGGTATCCTTAAGTTTTATATTGACTGTTTCCCTATGGCTATCATTAAGTGTTGTACCTTATGAATCCTGATGAATGTATCTTTTCTTTTATGTACACTGAGAACGTATGCATCAAGACAAATTCCTTGTGTGTCCAATCACACTTGGCCAATAAAGAATTCTATTCTATTCTAAAAAAAAAAAAGGAAACTACAGATTTATCCCCATGACCTTTATACCAATATTTGAGGGGATATTCTCAACCTATTCTCCAAATCACCAAAGGGCAGTACAAGAAACAATGGATGGAAACTAACCAAGGAGAAAAGCAACCTGGAATTAAGGAGAAATTTCCTCACAGTGAGAACAATCAACCAGTGGAAGAGCTTGCCTTTGGAAGTTGTGGGTGCTTCATCACTGGAGGCTTTTAAGAAGAGACTGACAGCCACTTGTCTGAAATGATATAGGGTCTCCTGCTTATGCAGGGGGTTGGACTAGAGGACCTCCAAGGTCCCTTCCAAATCTATTATTCTGCATTCTGTATATGCTAGAACAGTGATGGCGAACTTTTTCAGCACCGAGTGCCCAAATCAGAATGTGTGTGCATGTGCGCGCACCGGAGCGATAGAAACCCAAAGACCAGCTGAGCGGTGCGCATGTGTGCGCTGGCCAGCTAGTCTTCGGGTTTCCAGTACACACATACCTGCCAGCCAGCTGGTCATCACACGCACTGGAGCACTGGAAACCCAAAGACTAGCTGGGCGGCGTGTGCATTCCTGGTTTTTGGCTGTTTTTCAGGCCGCTGTTTTCCGGCGCCTGTGAAGACCAGCATGCCAAAAACCAGAAGACCAGCTGGCAACGGTGCGCGTGCCCACAGAGGGCTCTGCATGCCACCTCTGGCATGCTTGCCATAGGTTTGCCATCACGGTGCTAGAAGATGTAGCTCTTAGATGGATTCCCAAAATGACTAAATGATTGCATTTGTGGAATACTCATAAATGACACTTCATGCCCCTGGAAGGAAGTATTTAGTAAAGCACCACAGGATTCCTTCCTGCACCCAGGGCCGTTCAACGTTTTATTAAAAACCTGGGATGACACAAAACTAAGAGGAATGGCTAAGTTTTTAGAGAAGAAAGAGAAAATTCAAAAAAATTTAGACGAGCTTCAGCAGTAGTCCACAGAAAGCAGAATGAAATTGAAGAGGGAGGCTCAAACATTGACTGGGGGAAGCCTGGCTTGGCTGTAGGACACAAGAAAGGACTTCACTGACAGTAAGAACCTTGGAATGTCCTGTGAAGTCTTTCCTTTTATCAGAAGTCTTCAGACAGGCGTAGAAATCTAACATCCAAAATGCTTTCACATATTCTGCCACAAGCAGGAGCTTGGATTTCAGTGAACCCCAAATATTGACAGCAACAAATACTCATCTGAGAAATAATAAATTTAAGAGACTGCAGTGAAATAGAACAAGTGATTGTAATCTATTACACAGGCTGTAATTTAACAAGGCAACAAAACAAGTAACAAAAGCGCCTCTTCATAAAATTGGTTCAGTTTGTCCAAACCAGTCCCTTAGATCAAGAGTCTCCAACCTTGGCAACTTTAAGACTTGTGGACTTCAACTCCCAGAGTTCCTTAGCCAGCAAAGCTGGCTGAAGAACTCTGGGAATTGAAGTCCACAAGTCTTAAAGTTGCCAAGGTTGGAGACCCCTGCCTTAGATTTTGAAGCCATGATGTTCTTCTGCCTGGACCTCATTTGCCTTCAATTTTTCCTGGGAGGATTAAGTGAAGTAAGCCACATTTTTTCTGGGTGTCGCATTTCATGTCTAGTGCAGTATAACAAATTAAAGCTCGCTCTGATGTGGTCCTGGAGCACAGCTCATAATAAGTAAAATAACAGTTTTGAAAAGGAACTTCTCATCCTGAATACCTTGCTTCCTCTCCGCTAGGTGTACATTCATAGGAAACCAGGATACATACGAGACTCACCTGGAAATGTGCAAATTTGAGGGTCTGAAGGAGTTCCTGCAGCAAACGGATGACCGCTTCCATGAGATGCAAGTGGCAATGGCTCAGAAGGACCAGGAGATCGCCTTCCTGCGCTCCATGCTGGGCAAGCTTTCCGAGAAGATAGACCAGTTGGAGAAGAATTTGGAACTGAAGTTTGGTGAGTCTCTACAAGAAAGCAGGTCCCTCTGCCTAGGTGGCCCATCTAAAACCCACTCCACCTTCTAGAGCTGCTTTCTCCTGAGACATTTCTATAATATCTTGGGAGCGCGTTTGGCGCAGGGCTTAGGGCTAGAAACTAGGAGGCTAAGGAGGAGGAGGCAAGGGCAAATCATTTCCAAAAACCTTTCTAGGAAAACTGCAGGGACTCATCCAGACAGTGGCCAGGAGTCAAAAACCGACTTAAAGGAGCCATAAATAAACAAATACAATTCTGGAGCAGTCTATTTTGCTCTGAGTTGTGGTTTCTTTGGAGAATCAGTGTTCCGCTTTTTTAAAACATCCAGCTAATCCTACCTGCTGTAAAAAAAAAAATCTGACACAGCCAGCTCCCAGGTACCAAAAATTGTTCATACGCAATTCTAATTCAAAATTGAAAGAGGGAATTAATTAATTAACTATATACTAACTTACTTAACTGGGAGCTCCAGAATAGCCAAGAAAGTCAAATATGTATCCTGTTGCTGATCATCCTAGCTGGACCTTTTGGTCAGCTTCCTTTTCAGGAGGAACGTTGAGTGTTTTGACCTTCCAAGACTGGAGAGTTGTTCTCTCTCGCGGAGATGCTGCTTGCGGGTGGGCAGAGGGCCAGGCATCTTGGGGAGGTGAAATGAGAACAGGGGGCACAGAACTTGGGGCACAGCATTTCCTGAGAGATCCTTACATCCGTGTAAGGAACATCCAATCTTAACTCGGCTCGTTTAGATATTCTTGTACTTGCTTATAAAAAGACGTTGAGGCTCAAGGGAACAGAGACTGAGGCTCTCTAGAAAATAAAACTGCATGGTTGGATGGTTAGTCCAAGTACCATAACCGAATGATAATAAATGACCGAATTGGGACAGAAAATTATTTTTCTCCATAAAGAAATCTGTCATTTATTTATCTGCTACATTTATAGGCTGCCACTGAAACGGTGACTCTTAGCTATTTGCACTGCAAGAGCTTTCTGCAGAATAGCAGGAGACTAAAATGGATTGGGATTAGTTTAGGTGTGAGGCCTCAGGGGTTTCATGATTTATTTGCGTTTGCAACCAGAAATCATATGTCCCGTTTTCCTAACTGTCATCGTTCAGATGTGCTGGATGAGAACCAGAGCAAGCTGAGCGAAGATCTGATGGAGTTCCGGCGAGATGCCTCCATGCTCAACGTGAGTATCGACTATCCCTCTTGGTCATTTAGCAAAGAAAGATTCCTGGCCATTTGGTTTTGCCAAGAGTATTCTTTACTGAAGCTTAGGTGGTTACGGAGGTAGCATAAACTGAAACTGAGGTTTTCCCATGCAGACAATACAAAGTAATTGTTCTTCCCCCCCCCCCCCCCCCCCCCCCAATTGTCCAATTAGGTGCTTGCATATTGTTTAGGGAGAGACGCAGTGGCTCAGTGGCTAAGACGCTGAGTTTGTCAATCAAAAGGTCGGCAGTTCAGCGGTTCAAATCACCAGTGCCGTGTAATGGGGTGAACTCCTGTTACTTGTCCCAGCTTCTGACAACCTAGCAGTTCGAAAGCAGGTTAAAAATGCAAGTAGAGCAATAGGGACCACCTTTGGTGGGAAGGTAACAGCGTTCCGGGCGCCTTTGCCGTTGAGTCATGCCGTCCACATGACCACGGAGACGTCTTCGGACAGCGCTGGCTCTTCGGCTTTGAAACAGAGATGAGCACTGCCCCCTAGAGTGGGGAACGACTAGCACATATGTGCCAAGGGAACCTTTACCTTTACCTTATATTGTTTAGGAAAGCGGTTCTTGGTTCCCAGCTCTTCATATCAATAAATATCTATGGAGATTCTCAGTCATGTAGGTCACAGTTGTCCCAAAGGTGCTTTTTCAAGAGGCAACTGGACTTTCTGGTTTTTCTTTGAAGACGTTTCGCTTCTCATCCAAGAAGCTTCTTCAGCTCTGACAGGATGGCGGGGAATGGAAGGATTGATACTCCTTTTCAGACAGCTGGACATTTGCATCCTTTTAGAGGGTCGTTCAGGTCACCTGGAGGTTTATGTGTCATCAGGGTCACCTGAGTAGTACAAATTGGTGTGGAGGCTTCTTGGAACTGTTGAAATGACTGTGCTGTAGATTAGTCTTCAAAGAAAAACTAGAAAGTCCAGTTGCCTCTTGAAAAAAGCACCTTTGGGACTTCATATCAATAGTTGACTTGGCTGGCTGAAGCTTCTCACAAGGCTCAGCTGGGCTTCCACCACTCCTGTGAGATATACGACCCAAATATTTTAATCCTCACAATTCATAAACAAGTCTGGTTCACAAAATCAAAGGTTTGTTGGAGATAAAATGAAGAAAAATAAAAAGCGGTTGCAGACCCTTCCCAAATGAATTCAGTTCAAAGAGTGCAAGAAGCAATTTTCAAGCTACACATTTTTATTATTATTATTATTATTATTATTATTATTATTATTATTATTATTAATTCAATTTATATACCGCCCTTCTCCTATTGGACTCAGGGCGGTGCACAGCCAAGGATAAAAAACATACCAATACAAAATTTAAAATCAATTAAAAGAATTATACAGCTTTGGCCCACAATTTAAAACAATCCAATTAAAACCCAATTTACACTTAAAAAGCTAAAAAGAGCTAAAAGGGGGGGGGGGGTTTCACGCCAGCCCTGCTTGATGGAAAAGAAAAGTTTTAGGGCACGGTGAAAAGCCCGGAGATCTGGTATCCTTCGTATCTCCGGGGGAGGGCAGGTGCTGCCACAGAGAAGGCCCTCCCCCTGGGGGTCACCAGCCGACATTGCCTGGCTGATGGCAGCCTGAGGAGTCCCTCTCTGTGGGAGCGTACTGGTCAGTGGGAGACTATCGGCGGCAGAAGGCGGTCTCGCAAATACCCAGGTCCGATGCCACTCCTACACAATGCACGCCACACCTAAGAAGCCCTCCCAACTCTCCCCTTTATTCTCCTAAGTCATTCTTCCAAGTTGTTTTACACTTTAAAGGGTCATCTTGACATTTCCTGCCTAACAACAACTATCTTATCATGTTTACTTTTAATTTTCACCTTGAGCGGATGTTCCTTTCTTACTGATAGTGGTTTTGCCCAAGGCATACGTTCCTGTCTCCCAAGTCATTAGCAAGTCGTTACACATTGTCTCTACTGATTACCATTTGTGGTCAGTTTGCCACAGTAAGAACATCATAGCTTTTTAATACATTAAACACTTTTATAAAAGGGTAACTTATTATTCATTTCCTTCACTCCCCTTTCTTACAGTCCAACTTTTCCCTCCACCCCACAATTATTGGTTTATTATTATTGTTTATTGGTTCGATTTATATGCCGCCCTTCTCCGGAGAGAAGGGGTGGCTTACAATGCGTTAAGCAATAGCCGTCATACTTTTGTATATACCTGCTTAGTAGGGCTTTTGCCCCCCCCCCTCCAGCGATGTTCTTTTTTATACAAAGTCAGCTTATTGCCCCCACAATCCGGGTCCTCATTTTACCTACCTCGAAAGGATGGAAGGCTGAGTCAACCTTGAGCCTGGTGAGGTTTGAACTCACAGTAATTGCAGGCAGCTAGCAGCTAAGTGCTACTTTAACAGCACTTTAGTCCCCTGCACCACCAAGGCTCATTAATGTCAGGCTGTCAGCTCATGAAGCTTGGATAGGAAAGTTGCAGCCATGACAGTGAGTGCCGCTTCCTCCCCAGAGCTTGGTGTAGGTGGGCCTGGAACCTTTGGGAACGACTTTCCGCAGTATGTTAGGAGCTGGGTTCTCACTAGTTCTCCTACTGTGTGTGCATGTGGCAAAAACTGGGAATCTTGCCTCCATACTCCCTCCTGTGCATTGGCTGGAAGGCGCACCACAAAATGCCAGTTTCATGCAAAGGAAATTAATGCAGCCCAAGGAAAGATTCATTGGCATCCTTCAGTCTCAAGAGACTATGGTATCGTACTCTGGAAAGAGGTTCTAAAACAGCATCTAGTGTAACTAAAAAGGCCAATTTGAGAGTGGCAATCCCTTCCACACTGAGGACAGATACATTCTGTCCCCTGCCCAGCCCCCAGATTTCGAGGAAAAGCACAGAGATAAAACAAGACTTAATACAGGTAGTCCTCAACTTACAACCGCAATTGAGCCCCAGATTTCTGTTTTTAAGTGAGATAGTAGTTAAGTGAATTTTGCCCCATTTTGCGACTTTTCTTTTACAATGGTTAAATTAATAACACGGCTGTTAAGTGAATCTAGCTTCCTCATTGTCAGAAGGTTTCAAAAGGGGATCACGTGATCCTGGGACACAGCATAAATATGAATCTGTTGAGCATTGGAATTTTGATTATATGACCACGGAGATACTGCAACGGCCGTAAGTGCGAAAAACAGTTCTAAGTCACTTTTTTCAGCACCTTTGTAACTTTGAATAGTCACTAAACAAACTGTTGTAAGGCGAGGACTAACTGTACAAAGCCTCCAGGTTAGACTAATAGCCGACCAAAAAAAGTTCATTAAGAAAGGAAAAATACCGTTTCCTGCCTGCTGACACATGCCCACAAGTATTAACCAGAAAACTCACAAACCTATCAAATTCTCACCTCACAAAAAAGACATCCAATCAGAGTTAAAGTCTTTAAAAAGCCCAATAATCAGATAGGATGTATGCATCTGTTAATCTTCTTTATCTCGGAATAACACACACACACCTCACCAGAAGGGGAAAACCCACTTTACAAATACAAACCTACCCGGGGTCTCCTGAGTTTCTCTGCATCTCAGTTTGCCCGGAGAAGTTGAGGTGACATGCAGATGGTTGAATGCATGGATGGGCGGGCAGGCAGATGGATAAATAAATAAATGGTGATAAATGACAGAGTAAAAATGACGACTAAAACAAATGTGGAATTGTCTGAACAAGACCTGAATTCCTTCCTCTGGCATCTTTACAAACCAGTTAAAAGAAACCTTCATTTCAATCAATTCAATCAGAATAGAGCTGGAAGGGACCATAGAGGTCTTCTAGTCCAGCCCCCTGCTCAAGCAGGAGAACCTATACAATCTCAGACAAGTGACTGTCCAGTCTCTTCTTTAAAACCTTAGTGTTGGAGCACCCACAACTTCTGGTGGCAAGCTGTTCCACTGGTTAATTGTCCTCACTGTTAGGAAGTTTCTCCTCAATTCCAGGTTGCTTCTCTCCTTGCTTCTCCCATCCATTGTTTCTTGTCCTGCCCTCTGGTGCTTTGGAAGTTCATTTGCTGTGTGAATACAGCTGTTCACTAAATTATAGTTCAAACAGTGGGACACAGCATGGTTCCAGAAGCCAAGGCTTCAAATCCCAAGTGCTCCTTAGCCATTACCCCTGCCAGTCACTATTTGTGCTATGGGCATTCGCTGTCATCCCTCTTGGTCTGTTACAGTGGCTTGGGGCTCACAAAACCCAACTCTTCCATCTGTCAAGAGGACAGCACCCGTCTTTTCTACTCCTCTCTTGCCCCGGTGCCACAATTAGCATTTTTTCCCACTTGGCCTTTATCACGTGCCTTCTTTCTCTCTGCAGGATGAACTGTCTCATATCAATGCCCGGCTGAACATGGGGATTCTGGGCTGTGAGTATCTATCTTTTCTTTCTCCTTGAACAGAAAGGGACATTCTGGGTTTCTGTGGGTAGAGAAGCTTTTCTTCTTTATCATGTAAAACTTCTAATTACCATATTTTTCAGACTATAAGATGAACCAAGATTTCGAAGAGGTAAACAAGAAAAAAAAAGTTTTTGCCCTCCCCGGTCCCCAGGAGCACTCTGCAGGCCTCCCAAAGCCTCTGCGCGTCCTGTTTTTGTGAAAAATGGGCCTGTTTTTGGTAAAAACGGGATGCACAGGGGGTTTGGAAGGCCTGCAGAGTGCTCCTGGGGTAGGGGTGAAATGTAAAATTTGTTACTACCGGTTCTGTGGGCATGGCTTGGTGGGAGGGAGGGCTAATGTGACTGGGTGGGCGTGGCCACCTTTTTTGTTTTTTAACTTTTCAAAGTATTTTTTCTAATGCTTTGAAAAGCCTCTCTGCCGATTAGACAACTCAGCTGGGATCGTCAGAGACTTTTCAAAGCATTTTTTTACCACTTCTTCGGCCAAGAGGTTTCAGAAGAAGATGCTTTGAAAAACTCTGAGGATCCCAGCTGAGCCGCGCGATCATCAGAGGCTTTTTTAAAAAAAACTTTTAAAAGCATTTTTTGTCGGAAGAGGTTGTAGAAAAAAATGCTTTTAAAAGTAAAAAAAAAGCCTCTTATGATCCTGCGGCTCAGCTAGGCATTGGGGGGGGGGGCGTAGGGATTTTTTCTACCGGTTCTCCGAACCATCCGCCGCCATCGCTACTGGATCGGGCGATCCAGTCCGAACCGGGAGCATTTCACCCCTGTCCTGGGGGCTGGGGAGGAGAAAAACGCCCCCGTTTTTGCAGGAAATGGGCCTGTTTTTGGCCTCCCAAACCCCCCCATATGTTGCATTTTTGCCCTCCCCAGCCCCCAGGAGCAGTCTGCAGGCCTTCCAAACCATTTTGCAAAAAATGGGCCTGTTTTTGGCAAAAATAGGATGCGCAGGGTGGAGTTTCAGGAGGCCAAACATGGCTGTATTCAATGTATAAGACACACCAACATTTCCACCCTCTTTCAAGGGGGTGGGGGTGCATCTTATACTCCGAAAAGTACGGTACTGACTCAGAAGTTCTGCTTTCACAGTGAGAACTACTTTGGGTTTTGTTTTTTTTTCACTCTTCAGTAAGAACATCTTTGTGTCGGAAAATATAGCAAGCCAAATAAATAATTTCACTGGATCATCTGAGGCCGGAATAAGATTATGCAACTTTTTCCAGTTTTACAGTCTTTTCCTTCATCCGAAGGACTGGAAAATAATTCAAAGAATTATGGTTTCTGAGTGTATTATTGACCTTTTCCCCCTTATTTAACCATATGTTGACCGTATTTTTGTTTCTGATCACCTTTTCATTCGCTGGGGGGAGGGGTGTATGAGTCACTTGCTGAAACTGCTTGGCAGTAAATTCAAAGCAGCTTAAAAAGTGTTTTTCACACAAGCATTTTGTTTGAAAGTAGCATTTTCACTGACTCTGGGAACCTCCATTTTAAAAAAATCTGGATTACTGTGTCTGCCCTGTTCTTACTTCCTTTTCAAACAAAACAAGGCTTCCAGATCTGATTCATGGGCCACCTGGTTTAGGGTTATTTATTTATCTAGCATAGTCATATAGTCACCCATTTCACAAACACGTGACTCTGATGACATGCAACATAACAAGAGTCGAAAACTTCACAACATTAAAAGCCATCAAAGATAAATGAAATAAGCATAAAATAAACACAATCCCAAGAAAGAAAATAAATGTAATTCTGAGAAAGCAGAAAATCAAACATACATCACTTAACCTTATGCAGCAACGCTGGAATCACCAAGGCTGGTGAAAAAAGTATGTTTTAAAGGCTTTCCAAAAGGCTAACCACACCTGAAGAGGAGGGGCCGCAGCAGAAAATGCAGACCACCTGGATTGTACCAGATGGAGTTCCCCTTGGAGACAGACCTTCCATAGCCATATACAGGATCCCTCCTGCCTGACCTAGTGGGATGTAATTGAGAAGAGGCAGTTCCTCCGATATTAAGAGCCTTGGTGGTGCAGCGGACTAAAGTGCTATTAAGTGCTAGCACTTAGCTGCCAGCTGCCTGCAATTAGTGCAAGTTTGAATCTCATCAGGCTCAAGGTTGACTCAGCCTTCCATCCTTTTGAGGTAGGTAAATTGAGGACCCGGATTGTGGGGGCAATAAGCCAACTTTGTATAGAACAACACCACTTAGGGGGGCCCGAAAGCCCTAATAAGCAGGTATATACAAAAAAGTATGCAGGCTATTGCTATAACGCATTGTAAGCCACCCTGAGTCTACGGAGAAGGTTGGCATATAAATTGGACTAATAAATAAAATAAATAAATAAATTTGATCCCCTGCCAAGGAGCACCTGAAAGGGTCATCAACACTGCCTGGCCACAGGATCAGCAGTAGTGGTGAAATCTAAAATTTGTTATTACTGGTTCTGTGGGCATGGTTTGGTGGGGTGGGGGGTAATGTGACTGGGTGGGCGTGGCCATTTTAATTTTTTTTTACTTTTAAAACCATTTTTTCTACAACCTCTTTGGTGAAGAGGTTGTAAAAATATGTTTTCAAAAGGCACTGACAATCCCAGCTGAATTGCCTGATCGGCAGAGGCTTTTTTAAAAAGCCTCTGCGGATCAGACAACTCAGCTGGGATCGTCAGAGGCATTTAAAAGAAAAAAAAGGCTTTTTTTTTCTTTTAAAAGCCTTTGACGATCCCAGCTGAGCTGTGCCATCATCAGAGGCTTTTTTTTTTACTTTTAAAAGCATTTTTTTGCTGAAGAAGTTGTAGAAAAAATGCTTTTAAAAGTAAAAAAAAAGCTTCTGATGATTGTGCGGCTCAGCTGAGCAAGGGGTGGGGTGGGGTGGGGCGCAGGGATTTTTGCTACCGGTTCTCCGAACCACCCGCCATCATCGCTACCGGATCGGGCCAGGAACATTTCACCCCTAATCAGCAGCCCTTCTAGAGCAGGGGTGTCAAACTGGTAGCCCGCAAGCCAGATGCGTCACGGGCAGGCCACGTACACCCCAGCTCCGCGAATGGGGGAAACGTCACAAAATGTCACGTGACAGCAACTGACGCCGCAAGTTTGACACCCGTGTTGTAGAAGGATTTTTGTCTTCCTGTCCTGATGAGACTCTTGGATCTAATTGAATACAGGTAGTCCTCGATTTAACAACAGTGGATTTAGTGACTGTTCAAAGTTACAACGGCATCAAAAAAAGTGACTTATGTTATGATCTTTGCAGCATCCCCCGTGGTCACGTGATCAAAATCCAGATGCTTGGCAACTGGTTCATATTTATGACGGTTGCAGTGTCCCGGGAGTCACGTAATCTTTCCCTTTTGCGAACTTTGACAAGCATAATCAATGGGGAAACCAAGATTCACTTAACAATAGTGTTACTAACGTAACAACTGCAGTAAAGGTTGTAAAATGGGGCAAAATCCACTCTTAACAAATGTTTCACTGAACAACAACAAAATTGGAGGCTCAATGATGGTCGTAAGTCGAGGACTACCTGTATTCCTAAAGGCGTTGATAGATACGTAGAATACCTTTGTTTAATGGCTGAGCGTCTGGGAGTTAGAGTTGCAAGTTTGCCGCATCCTTTCTTGGAAAAAGGATGCTGGGCTGGTTAGCCCCTTGCTTTGAGCCACCCACCCTTGCCTGCTTCTCTCCCACCTGCAAGACCACATGCCCAAGGAACCAGATTCCACACCTTCTCCAAGACTCAGGGTTTGGCCTGTGGCTGCTTATACATTAACACACTTTCTTTTCTCCTCCTTTTCAGCCTATGATCCACAGCAGATTTTCAAGTGCAAAGGGACCTTCGTTGGCCACCAGGGCCCCGTCTGGTGCCTCTGTGTCTATTCCATTGGTGACTTGCTTTTCAGTGGCTCTTCTGACAAAACCATCAAGGCAAGACGCTTGTTCTTACTTTAACCTTTGCATGGGGTACACCACAGACTCAAGGGGAGCTCTGGAAAAGCGCATCTTGCTACCAACCAGGTGTCAGTCAGACCAGAGCTGAAATGCACTTACCTTCCCTACCAGTTCGGGAATGCGAGCGCGCGCACCTCTTCTGTGCATGCGGAGAGGGTCAAAAACGGGACGTAATGACGTCCCAGTGGGTGGGCAGAGGCTCCCACCGCAGGCACTACCGGTTCGCACGAGCCAGATAGATCCGGCCAGATTTCACCGCTGAGACAGACCTGCTCAACTTGGGCTTCTAAATAAAAACAATCCTTACCTCCATTTCTTGAGAAAGGTATATCTGCTGAGCCACGGTGACGCAGTTGTTAGAGTTCAGTACTGCAGGCTACTTCTGCTGACTGTCGGTTGCCTGAATTTCGGCTGTTCGAATCTCACCAGGCTCAGGATTGGCTCAGCCTTCCGTCTTTCCGAGGTGGGTCAAATGAGGACCCAGATTGTTGGAGGCAAGAGGCTGACTCTGTAAACCCTTTAGAGAGGGCTGTAAAGCACTGTGAAGCGGTAGATAAGTGCTATTGCTATAATTTAATAGAAGTCAAGTGAATTAAAGTAGTGCAAAGCCAGAAGTAAAGTTCGTGTATCAATCCTTCCCAGTTAACTCTCCTCCCTCAGTCCCTCCCCATTGTGTATCTCTCACTGGCCAATGGAGTTTAAAGAGATGTTTTAGAAACAGTCGCTCTGCCTGTCGTCATTCTTCTTCCAGGGAAACGACCTTGGAGGAATCCTTGGTTCTTGCAGAGAGCTGTTATCAAAGTTTACTTTCACTTTCCCCCCAAGCCTTCGCCCTCCCTTCAAGGCTGCCCTGAGGATTCATAGCAGGCTGACAGTGAGGTGGCAGTTCTGACATCTGGCTAGATTGCTGTTGCACATGTGATCCCACGCAGAGCACATATGGAAAAGTCTCCCAGAAGCCTTTGTTTGGTCCACAAGTATGGAGTCCTGGCAATCTTTGGGGTGGGGGGAGGAGGGGCGGAATACCCAGGCCCAGAATGGGTAAAAGCATTTCAGTGTTTGGGATGGGCTGCAGCTTAGATGATTCTGGCTGATCATGAAACATCTAAGTAGTGCTGATCATGGTTAGAACTTGGATAGGAGACCACTTAAAAATCCGAGGCTGTAGACAAAGCTGAAAAAAAGAATCCCAGGAAAAAAATAGCAGTAGCACTTAGACTTATATACTGCTTCAAAGTGCTTTACAGCTCTCTCTAAGCGGTTTACAGAGTCAGCCTCTTGCCCCCAACAATCCAGGCCCTCATTTTACCCACCTCGGAAGGATGGAAGGCTGAGTCAACCTTGAGTCAATCAGGATCGAACTCCTGGCAGTCGGCAGAGTCACCCTGTAATACTGCATTCTAACCACTGCGCCACCAGGGCCCTTAAGAGAATTTTTCTTCAGGCCACCAGTTGCCATTACCAAATGAGCGAGGGAGCAAGAGTCAGAGGAAGGGCCTTTTTTAACTTTTTCCTTTCTTTGTCGGAAAGGGGGGAAAGCAGGTGGACACGTGACAGGCCAGGTGCTTCCTGCCTTCCCAGCTCTGGCACACGCTCTGACTTCCTGCCCTGGGTCTGGTTGCCCTTGAGTCCAGTCATGTGATCTCTTATTTCCTGCTAGGTGTGGGATACGTGTACCACTTACAAGTGCCAAAAGACCCTGGAAGGTCACGATGGGATTGTCCTGGCACTCTGCATCCAGGGGTGAGTCAGCCGCCAGCCTCATTGCCTTCCGCTGCTCTACTGTATAAAGCAGTTTCTCTTCCTTGCCAGCTTGCTGATGGGTGGACTTCAAGTCCCAGAATTCCCCAGCCAGCCATGCTGGCTGGGGAATTCTGGGAGTTGAAGTCCACCCATCAGCAAGCTGCCAAGCAGAAAACACACTGATATAAAGTCAATGACTGGTAGGTAGATTTTAGTTCTGCTCCTTGTTTTGTTAAACTCAACAAGCCGCTTCTCATTAAAAAAATATGTCACGTGAAATACGTTGTTTTCAATAATGGGAGAAATGCCTTATTTTTTCAAATGACTGTGAATTAAATTTGAGCTGCAGGAAAACCTGATTATTTGAAAATTAGATTCAAACTGAACTCATGCATTTGGATTGTGTGGCTTTGCATATTTTTGGTTTAGCCAAGGCAGTCCTAAGCTGCATTAACGAGAGGGATAGAATCAAGATCACTTGAACTGTTTGTACCATTTCATAATGCCTTGGTAAGACCCACACTTGAAATACCGCAGCCAGTTTTGATCGCCACAATATAAAAAAAGACGTTGAGCTTCTAGAAAAAGTGCAGAAAAGAGCAACAAAGATGATTCAGGGGGCTGGAGGCGAAAACACGACGAAGAGCGGTTGCAGGAATTGGGTTTGTGTAGTGTAGCAAGAAGAAGGACTAGAGGAGACATGATAGCAGTCTTCCAATATTTGAGGGGCTGCCACAGAGAGGAAGAGGTCAACCTATTTTCCAAAGTACCTGAAGGCAGGACAAGAAACAATGGAGAGAAACTAAGGAGAGAAGTAAACTAGAACTAAGGAGAAATTTCCTGATAGTGAGAACAATCAACCAGTGGAACAGCTGGCCTTTAGAAATTGTGGGTTTTTTAAATTAGACTGACAGCCACTTGTCTGAAATGATATAGGGTCTCCTGCTTATGCAGGGGGTTGGACTAGAGGACCTCCAAGATCCCTTCCATCTTTGTTATTCTGGTTTTTCAAGGGATTTGGGATGTGTGCCATTAGTTGAATGATGGAAACTCTTCTAGTGGCTCAGTTTTACCACAGAAGTTGCAGTCTGCAATTTTCTGGGGGAAGTTTGCCTATACGTCCCCTATCTTTTTTCATCATCTTGAGAAAAAAAATTGTGCCAACGCATGTCTTCTGGCTCTCTGATTTCTTTTTGTTTCTTTTGCCCAGGAACAAACTGTATAGCGGCTCAGCTGATTGCACCATTATTGTAAGTGGCTGATTTTGGGAGGCGGGGCAGAGGGGACCTGCTTTGGCTTCCTCCAGGAGGGGGAGAGAAGGAAGTCACTGATCATTCTTTTGCACAGGGGTCTCCAAGCTTGGCAACTTTAAGACTTGTGGACTTCAACTCCCAGAATTCCTCAGCCAGCTATGCTGGGGAATTCTGGGAATTGAAGTCCACAAGTCTTAATGTTTCCAAGTTCGGATATCCCTGCTCTTGCGCTACATGCAGTAAAGCCACCTACCCCACTTGTCTATATCCTTTTTGACTTTTGACAGGTTTGGGATATTCAGACCTTGCAGAAGGTCAACACCATCCGTGCACACGACAATCCTGTGTGCACTCTTGTCTCCTCGCACAACATGCTTTTCAGCGGCTCCCTGAAAGCTATTAAGGTACAGTTTTCTGATGCAGAGGAGTGGGGAAAACAGAAACCATTTTGGTCCTTTCTTTCCATTCCCAGATCCTTTGTTTTTCCAGCCTAAGAGGTTTGTCCACTTAGATGTGCATCCTTCTCTCTGTTGATTATTCTCAGTTCATTTTGGATTTTTCTTGATCCCAGAGAGCTGGTCTTGCTTTTTCCTCTTCCCTTTTCCTTGCATATCCTGCTACTTTTATCTGGTATTCAGACCTGCTGCATTATTCATTCTCTTTGCTTGTTGAACCCTTCCCCATTTTCCCTAGTACCGTATTTTTTGGACTATAAGACGCATCTAAATTTCTAAACTTAGATGTGTCTTATAGTCCGAAAAATACGGTTGAGGAAACAACAACAACAACAAAATTTTGGCCTCCCTTTTTGGGGGCTTTTTCAAGTTTTTTTCGGCCTTTTTTTCGGCTCATTTTTGGGGGTTTTCTCAGCCCATTTTCGAGGCTTTTTTCAGGGCTTTTTTTAGCCCATTTTCGAGGCTTTTTTCGGGCCATTTTCTAGGCTTTTTCCGGGCCGCTTTTGAGGATTTTTGGGCTGTTTTCAAGGATTTTTTCAGCCCATTTTTTTCCAAAAAAAGGGCCAAAAAAGTCCCCGAAAAAAGCCCTGAAAACGGGCCAAAAAAAGCCTCAAAAAAAGGCAGAAAAAAGCCCCAAAACAGGCCGAAAAAAGCCTCAAAATGGGCCAAAAAAGGCCTGAAAAAGGCCCGAAAACAGGGCATGCAGAGGCCAAAAAAATGATTGGTGAGTGGGCGGGGCTTCAGCAATATTCGGTCTAAAAGATGCACAGACATTTTTGCCCCCTTCTGGGAGACAAAAAAGTGTGTCTTATAATCCGAAAAATATGGTAATTGATTTCTTCTCCTACTTGTCCAGAATTACCCACTGCAGGATCATTGCAAGGATAAAGATCTCCCCCCTGAGCTGGGAGGAAAGGAACATCTCAGCCTAATAATCCAGCTTTTCCCCACCTGTTCTCCAGAATTCCCCAGGCATCATGGCCACCGAAAGTTGCATTCTTGCACACGTGAAGAGCACAATTATTACATTAATATGTTCCTTTTGGTGGTGGTGTGGTGACCTAGAAGTAGAGCTCTCGCCCCACAATCAGGAGGTTATGAGTTCGATCCTAGGTAGCAACAGATATTTCTTTCTCTGAATTAAAGAGAAAATATCTGTTGCGAACTCCGCAGAGGTGTCAGGAAGGGCATCCGGCAAGTAAATGCTCAGCTCCATACAGTTGCCCTGACTCCACCCCAAAGCAAGGGATTACAAGAATCGTTAAAAGAAAAAAAATGTTCTCCTCTTCCAGGACCTGTGAGAAAAGACCTTCAGTCTTTTGATGCATGATTGGCTCAGCCTCCCTCACAGGGCTTGATGAAAAAGTGGAATAGCAATGTAGACCTGTGTAAAAACAGATGGGCTCTAACTACTGCCCAAGTATGGCTCATCTTTCTAGGCTTTCTCACTTGAGAGAACTGCGGGAACCCTTGAGGGTCTGGGCTTTAGTTTCCCACACCTTGTATGGAGCAGGCATAGGAAGCTGGTTGGTGGGTCCTGCGTTTGAGCAGGATGCCGGATTGGACGATCTCCCGTTATTGTTGGAAGGCCTGATTCTGGCTGCCCTTCTGCCCATCAGGTCTGGGACATTGTTGGCACTGAGCTGAAACTGAAGAAGGAGCTGACAGGCCTTAACCACTGGGTCCGGGCGCTTGTGGCATCCCAGAATCACCTGTATAGCGGCTCCTACCAAACCATTAAGGTAGGTGTGCTCTCAGATGCTCCACCTGCCGCAGCTTCTCTTGGCAGCCTGGGAAGAAGAGTCCATCAGCTCTTTTCTCTCCTCTGCTCCAGATCTGGGACATCCGGAACCTGGAATGTGTACATGTCCTGCAGACATCTGGGGGTAGCGTCTACTCCATTGCGGTCACCAACCATCACATTGTCTGTGGCACTTACGAAAATCTCATTCACGTAAGGATGACCGAAGCCTAGGATGCAGGAGGAAGGGGGCAGTGGGGCCATTTTGCAGCCTCTTTTAGCCCTCCCCAGAGCCTCCAGTCCTCTTTCTGGGATCTGGCAAGAAGACCGAATGGCCAGAGCCACCGGAATCAAAAGGGGGAAACGATGGGAAGGTAACGCTCGGCCTTTGCTCCCTTTTGAATCAGGTGTGGGATATTGAGTCGAAAGAGCAGGTTCGCACCCTCACAGGACACGTGGGCACTGTGTACGCTCTGGCAGTCATCTCTACGCCGGACCAAACCAAAGTCTTCAGCGCCTCGTATGATCGGTCATTGCGGGTACGTGGGGGCACAGCAAGTGGTTGGTTCAGGGCGAGGGGTGCAGAGGAAGACCATGGGGAAAAAGAGGCGGTGGCAGCCTAACAGATCTTTCAGTGTCTAGTATAATTTGATGGAGTTGAACTCTCTTAGGAAGCAGGCAGCTGGGCTCCCTGATCCCTGAATCCCAGGCCAAGGTCTCTTTAGCAGCCTGGCTCTACCAACAGCACTCTCTGCTGCTTGAGGAAGTTTGTGTGTGTGTGTCCTTGCTAATCTCATTTCTCCAAAACCTTCGGAATGAATTGTTATTGCAGGAGAACAGGGGGAGCTCTTTCCAGCCACTGTCCTGTGGGAACCGATTTCTCCAAAGTTAGGCTAGGCCCAAATAGTTTGTTCGTTTTTTTAAATAAGTGTATAGAGGCAAGCAGAAAAAGAACTAAAATTTATCTCATTTCAATTATTTGTATGATACGTGTGTGTACAATATGATTATTCTCCACCCCCCTGTATTCTAGTGGTTTCCCCTTGCAACATATTCCCCAATTACAATTTTGTAATAAGTTTTCGGGATCATGTGGGGCATTCCCACCATGAGAGGACTGTTCTGAGGGACAAAAATTCAACCTGAGTCTCTTTGCTCCAAACCCTGGGAGAGAGAAAGGCCAGTGGAGGCCGTGGTGTCTCCTCCTTTTTTTCTTTTTCATTTTACAGCCCTGGAATCCCTCACTTTGGGGTGGGGTCGAGGCAACAGAATGGAGCTGAGAGTTTACTGGCCAGATGCCCTTCCTGACTCCACACAAGAGTTTGCAGCAGACATTTTCTCTTTGCGCCCTGATAGAGAAACATCTGCAACTACCTAGGATTGAACTCTTAACCTTCCAAGTGGGAGGAGAGTGTCTTCACCTCTGCGCCACTCCCATGGCGTCTCCTCCTTACCTGTAATGCCTTATGCAGTTGCAGAACGTTAGCAGCCTATGCCCAATTGAGGGGGGGGGAGGGTGAGTTTTGGACGTCCTTCAGCTACATCTGTTGCACATCCTAACCCCACAAGAAACGTGGAAGTGCAAAAACTGTGTGTGGCCTGGATTTAGGCAGAGAATGGAATCCATAGATCAACATTATTATCTGCCTAAATCCAGGCCACATTCCATCCGCTATGGTGATCCACCACTGTCACTGTCTTGGTTTGTTCTCTGCCTCCAGGTATGGAGTATGGACAACATGATCTGTACCCAGACACTCCTGCGCCACCAGGGCAGCGTCACAGCACTGGCTGTCTCGAGAGGCCGCTTGTTCTCCGGGGCTGTCGACAGCACTGTCAAGGTATGTCTGGGAGAGGGGGAGGGGAAGAGAGCTCTCAACAAGAGGTAGAGCCCCCCCTCTAGTGAAGGGAAGGACCAGGGGAGACAGGATAGCAATCTTCCAATATTTGAGGGGCTGTCACAGAGAGGAGGGGGGTCAAGCTATTTTCCAAAGCACCTGAAGGCCAGAAAAGGAATAATGGATGGAAACTGATCAAGGAGAGATTCAACCTGGAAATAAGGAGAAACCCATGGAACAGAAGTTGCCTTTGGAAGTTGTGGGAGCTTCATCACTGGAAGCTTTCAAGAAGAGACTGGACTGCCATCTGTCAGAAATGGTGTAGGGTCTCCTGCTTGGGCGGGGGGTTGGACTAGATGACCTACAAGATCCCTTCCAACTCTGTTCATCTAATTTCTATTTGGCTCAGAGCAGCTTTTGCAGCTGGCTTCCTAATCTCCTCCTGCTGGGTTGACCCAACACCCAGCCCAGTCACTAATTTCCCTGGAAGCAACAGAGCAGGGAGAGCTAGCTTTCTTTCCAGGTAACACCTGGGAGCTCCACCTCAGCAGCCCTGGTGAGATGTGTTTATGCTGTACAAGGAGGCATGGAGGAGGAGGAAACAATAGAGTGGGCTTGTCACCCCTTTAGGAAGAGCTCCTTTTAGTTTGGGACAAAACGTGATCAAGTCACAAGTCTGTGCCTTCCAGGGGACTCTTGCAAGCCAAGATGCGCTTATGCAGGGCCTATTAAGCTGCCACAATTTAAGACATGGCAAGGAGCATAGCTGAATGTGTCGACTCTAGAAAGAGTGCAGAGAAGAGCAACAAAGATGGTTAGGGGACTGGAGGCTAAAACATGCAGAATGATTGCAAGAACTGGGTATGTCTAGTTTAATGAAAAGAAGGACAAGGGGAGACATGATAGCAGTGTTCCAATATCTCAGGGGCTGCCACAAAGAAGAAGGGCCCCACTCATGGATGGGAAGGGCCCCACTCATGGATGGGAGTTTAGACGAGATTTTGCTTCCCCCGTGCCACGTGTTACATACACAGATGTTTAACATTGAGCATTGAGAGAAAGAAGCCATTAGCAGAACCCTGAAGTTGCTTTGATCAGGATTGACAGCTGGTAGGAAGACCTGGTACTCAGGATGGCACCTGGGCTGGACCAGGTCATGTCAACAAGGATCGCCTCTGCGTTCTGCTCCATTGTTTCTCAACCTTGGCAACTTTAAGGCGCCTGGACTTCGACTCCCAGAATTCTGGGAGTGGAAGTCCAGGCGCCTTAAAGTTGCTAAGCACTGCTTCTAAAGTTAGAAGCACTGCCCTTTACTCAGTGATGGGAGTTTGGGCTCTGCTGACATTTCTCTCCCCGACAGGTTTGGACCTGCTAGAACCCGCTTTGGACGCCCCGCTGCCAAATACACTCCGGCTGACTCCCTACACTCCAAAACGCCCTCCCGATGTGCTGTGTTCCTTCTCGGCGGGCCTTCAACTCCCCAGCCAGCTGTGCAAGAGCTTTGGGCCACATACCTCAGCACCCTCTCCCTTCCGCAGCAGCAGAACTCACTGCTGCGCCATTCCAGCTGCGGTTCCTTGGTCTGGCTCTTCCTGGGAAAGAGAGAGGAGGTCGGTGGACGCCGGCCCAGCTGCAAGCGGTGGCCACAAAGGCTTTACTCCTCATCAGTAGATCGTCTTCAAGAGCAGATTTTCTACGAAGCTGGTTTGGATCGGTCTGCATGAGCAGCCAGAGCCGCCTCTCTCTCTCTCTCTCTCTCTCTCTCTCTCTGTCCTGGTATTTAAATTATTTGCTATGCTCCTTCATTCGTGGCCACAGCCGGGGATCAAACCCATTGTCCTGTCATGTAAACCCGGTACGATTTCTATGTCCCCAGTCCAGCCTTCTTATCAGGTATCCTAAACCTGCCCTCCCCTCCCCCGTCCCCTGCCGCCCCCCGCCCTCCCCTTCTTCAGAGCATCCCATCATCACGGCCTCCCTGGGAAAAGCAGGAGAGCCGACAGTTGTGTTTTTACGGACATTTTCTACTGTTTTTAAAATTGTGATATAGATTTGGATTATTTCTTCCTTACCAATAAAATTGGACCATTGTTTTAGGCCAGCATGACTCATTGACGAACCTGAAGCATTTCAGCTGATGGACAGAACTACTCAGGAGCAGGGCCCAACCTTGCCCCTCCCCCCCTCAAAAAAATCAAGGCTGACCTCCCATGGATTTTGCCACTCAAAAACTCCCTGGCCGATCTGTGATGAGCACGTCCTGGGTTGCCATTAATCAGTAAATATAACAATCCCACTGCCTGCAAAGATATTAGCATGTAGCACGAGGAGTTTATTGCAGCACCAAAAAGGCTGAATGCATTTGCCAGGCCTTACGTGTGATCACCTGCGGCCAGCTAAACTGGCAGCTATGACCTATTTGTTCAGTTTCTTAGGTTGAACTAATGATCATGTGTGACGTTCTTATCTCCCAGAATGCTGCTTTCTAAGGTTGCTCTTTGAAGCATGAAACTCGAATGGTCTTTGCATCCAACTTCAGAACTGCTGAGACAATGTTTAGAGGTAGGAATTGAGGGGACAATGACAGGGCAACATCTGCCCACAAGCTGGGCACTGACCAGTTTCTTTGGAGGGGAGGAAAGGCCTCCCTTAGTTGCATTTGGCCACCACTGCATTGCCCCCCCCCCAAAAAAATCCGAATAACGGTGGGAGATTTGTAGTGACACAAATAATTGGAAACGGTTTGTTTTGGGGTTTTTCTCTGTGCAAATATTCTTGCTCAGTACGATGTAAAAAGTGGGAGATGTAGAAGAATCGGCTTCACAAATTGTTGCACGTTCCAGCTTCTGGTTGTGTTACATAAAGATGTGCAGCTTTCACAATGGCTCCAGCTGGCACCCAGCAGCCCTTTCCCATCATGCAGCAGAAGCTTTTTCTCACCTCTGGCTGGAGCCAAAACACGAGTTGAGCGGGCCAAGATAATCTGGACGTTTTATTAAGCACCAATGGTTATAAATGCTGTTTGCCTGGACTGTGAGCTGCAGCACGAAGCCGTCACTCCCTCAGCACCAAAGCAGCCAGACTCCACGTCCTCCCCCCAAAGTTAGTGCCTCCGAGGTGGGATTTTTTTTTTCTGACCTCAACAATAAAAGTATTCTTTAACAGTGAATGTCATGTATCTGTATTAGAGACGAGCAGGGGCTTCTTCCCCGTTTTTGTCTTTAAATATTGATAGCCAGATAACTTCTTTTTTAAAAAGAAGCAGCAAAAAAAAAAAAAAAAAAAAATTACACCACCACAAAGCTATTAATATAAGTAATACTGGTGGAATGTGTGCAGCAAGAAAAGAAGGTTAGAAGCAGAAAATGCATAGCTTTGACAGAAGGGGAATACAATACAGTATCCGTAACTTAATAATAAAAATATAATGTGTATATATATATATATAGTATGTATATATCCAGCATTAGAATCTTGGAATAGTTTCTTATACATTTTGTATCTCTTTACAACAGCTATTGTTATGTTGCCTTTTTATTTTTGTTTTTAATTAAGAAATTTCAAAGTTGTGCCAGACACATTTTGGATATCAGCAAAGACTATCCATACTCAAGAAAAGAAACAGGAACAGCATTCACACGGCAATTCTAGCTCTCCATAACCAAAGCTCAAGGGAACCAGATAGGGTGTTTCAGGCTTAACAGCCGTATTTAAACTGGACGTGACCCCCATTTGTATATTTGTATACAGCTGGGCATACGTTAGTGATTTCCACACGCATGCACTTCAACACACACTCGCATACTTACACAGGCGCATATAAACGTACATCCAACTTAAAAAAGACACAAAAGAATGCACACTTTTCAGGTAAGATTAAACAAAACTTCTTAAAACAAGGCACATCCTTTGATTTTCAATAAAACTGTAAAAAGAAAATGGCAAAAAAAAATCCATATAACATAATGTTTTGCACGCTTTGAAAAAAAAAAAGATAAACTACCTTTTTAAACATTGTGCTACTTTTTTTAAAATGACCTCACAAGACAAAACAGCTTATTATAAGTCTAATAGTCAAGCTAAACTCCAGTTCTTTCAATCTTATATTTTAAAACTGTTCAATATACAATTGATAATATTTTAAAATCTTTTTTTATATATATATTAAACTCCTTTCCTTCTTTTGTTATTTATCTCTGGGGGAAACTCCACTTAAATAGTTTTTTTTTTTCCAATAAATACTTTTTTTATATAGCTTTTTTTTTCTTCATCCCTTTCATCACCTTCCAAAGGAAAAGCTGTGTGATTCTCTGCACACATCAGAACATTCCTAACACGACTGTCTCAAGAGGAGAGTTCTACCAGTGAAATAATAAAAGAAACAGCACCACAACTCAACGCTACTCTTTTAAGGTGAAAAAAAAGCTCCATGACGTCTCTCAAAAAAGGTAGCTCTACCAGAAGATGACAAAGAGTTCTCCTGAGATCTTACTCCAAGCCCATGGGTTGAAATCCATGAGTGGGAAGTGTAGCAAGCCGAAGGGAGATGGCCTCCGTTTCTTTTGGCTGCTTTGTTCTGGATTCCTTTGCCAGATGGAGAGACAAGAATAGACAAAACAGGAAGGAACCCAGCATGTCATGATCACATGAGTGAAGAACCAGGGGTCCCATGTTGGAGGTTGGGCTGCCGGTCAAGAAGATGGAACTGATATTAGAAGAGGAAGCTGTGGTAGCCCCACACATAAGTGTTGTTCCTATCACTGGTATTTTTCCGTTTGGCTGAAAACAGCCCTAAGAGCATGAGATGCCACCTGCTCAAGAACCCCACCCCACCCCATGTTGTCTGAGAAGAGTCTGCAGGACAAAGCTCCAAGTTCTCACTGAAAATGGTAGCTCTTGTTTTTGTTTTCCTTTATTGCCAGGTGATTTGATAAAGCAAAAACCAAAACACCGTGAAGTGAAATGTACAGGAAACCGAGAAGCCAGCAGCAAGGGAGAGTTGAGAGCTACACCAGATAAGAGGAAGGAGAGATGAAAAGTGAGGGCTCCATCCCATGAGCAAAACAGATGCCCTATGAATCAGACGGCAGCAGAGAGTGAAGAGAGGTGGTCAGGGCATTTTCCCAGCCCTCTCATCTCCCGAAGAACCTCAGTTGATTCCCAGCTGGAGATTGTCACCCTGTAAATTCTCCATTCCCGGAAGATAGAAATTCAGGGAAAAGAGCCTTAAACTAGCTAGCACCCCGGTACTTTCATCCGTGGGAAAGGAAGATGATTCAAGTGACTCTGGTTTCGGACCTATGCATGATTTATGAAATATGGCCACAGTTATTCTGAAGTACAAAAACAGCATGAGGGAGAGAAATATAACCAGCTGAAAACATTTAAAAGCCAGTTTAGGCTAGAGATTAAGAAACGCATTCTAAGAGTCAAAAAATAAGTAGGCACTGGCAAAATTCCTTCTGAGTACTTAGGGGAATTTCCTTCCATGGAGCTTCGTAGGCAAAGGAGTCATTTGGAAATAGCAATCAGAGGTTGAAGAATGCTCCCACTGACCTTGGACAAAGGACAACATATCTTGGACACTTGCCCCAAAGCCTTAAAAAACCGAGAATGCTCCTGTGGGCACAAGGTTTAGAGAACCCAGTAAATTGTTCAAGTAAAACGATCTACCTTTCCTTGTAAAATGCTGTTTCTTGCCATTGCAACGCAACAAAAAAATTACTTCAGGACGTTTTAGAAATTCCACAAGAAGGAAGACCAAGGGAAACTGATGTGGAGCAACTCACTGAGAACATGGCTGGAGGGCGATCCAAGCCTTCCCGTGCGACTTGAAGAAGCCAGGAGATCCCGAGAAGCTCATCCGTCAGAAGTAGGAGCCAGTCCTTCCCTAACTGCAACATTCAAGCATTCCTCTTGCAGCCGAGGGTCTTCCCTATTTCCCTATCGAGACCCTTCCAATTTGCAAGTGGAATAAAGCAAAGGAAACCTGAGGGCAGTAGACAGTTCTGAATTGACAGAACACTTTGTTCCTCCCGTCACTACGGTGTTTCCTCATTCTAAGAATCCTCAAGTCGGTGGATGAAAATAGAAAATGAATTGGCCACGATACCAAGTGGTGGTGCTTACACTGCCTGGGGAGTAACGAAAGCAGTAGTTCTGGCCCCAACATACCTGGAAGATGGAGAAGGCTCCTAAGAATAAACTTTGGCGCACATTGTACAGTTGCAGACTAGCAACCCTTGGGTGTGCAAACATTGTGATCCTCTTGGAAGATGCCCCTTTCTGGAGAGAAAGAAACAGTGCTGCACTCGGCAGCATTCTCCTCCCAAGGAAGCCGTTTCCTAACTGATTGCTGGAAGATCCCTCCCGTACCCAGGATCAATCAGGGCAACAAGAGCTGCAGCTCGAGTGTCAGCCATGAGTCAGGAGCACAAGACATTCTAGCCAATGGTTGCAATGGTCTTGGCTGAGCCTCCTTTGATTGCCACTTCCGAAACTGTGTGTGTATAATACCAAGAGAGGACGCCTTTCTTCCATTAAACCTCCACTGGAATACAGAACCACCCTCGCCCTCGGTTTCCTGAACATGGATATGGTTTATCGCTCCTTTGTCTGGTCAATGATGTCTTCTCCTAGCCGTGCTCCCAACGGTCGTGGCAGGTTAAGAAGGCTAAACGGTTCAATCAGTGGCGAACTCTTTGGGACAGAAGTGCCTTAGAGCAATAGAAAGTGCAGGACAAGTCCCTGTGCTCAGAACTGCCTCGAGAGAGGGGTTAAAAAAAAATAAAGAGAGAGAGAGAGATTTGCCATCCATCTTTGGCAGCCACAGAAGCCACCTGTAGGCTTATGTACAAGGAGATTTTGGCCAGGATGCTTTTACCCCCACCCACCCGCCACCCAAGTTTTTTTTTTCTTTTCGTATTTCAACACTTTTATCGATCATGCAAACATACCAAAGCTTTTGCACAGCTTTTGCCAGGAACGATGCTTTCCAAGGCAAACCAACAGAAAAAAGAGCTTGTATCTCAAAGGGGAACGTGTTAACAAAACAAAACTTCTTACAGTCACAGCTTCATCATCACCAGGAGAAGACAAACACCTTCAGGACAAAGAAACGAAGCATGCAGCTTGCTGAAGGTTCCCCCACCCCTCCCCCTCCCCCAACTCACAGGTTCCCTCAGGCCTTCCATGGCTGCCTCTACCAGCATCTCCAGCAGTGGCAGATGGGCGCATGAGCTGGGCATAGAAGGAAACACGGTGTGCAGTCCAGAAACACCCAACACAGAAGGCAATAGTCATTGCTAAGACGAGATTTCACCCCAAACGGAAAACATGAAGAACCGGAGAAGACTAATACTTATTTTGTGCCACATACTTTGATAGTGTATTGGGACAGTAACAACTCAGGACTGATCTGGAGAGAGGGGAAAGAAATTCGTACTTATATATGAGGGGCAAGCCACTTTGGAGTGGATGGAGTAGCTTCGCCTGGAAAGCTGTGCTGAAGAAAGTGCGAAGCTCACTTTCTCCCATTGCCATGGAAGCTCTGCCCATCCCAGGCCGCCCTGACCTCCAACTCCGCTGCAGGAGGAGAACTGCAGTCATGCTGTCATCTCTAAGGTCAAACGGGTGTTTGGAAGGGATGGGAGAAGAAACCCAAATGTGGTTCCTCTCTTCACTTTGCAAAACAGGTCCCGAGGAAAGCCTTTCTCAAGCATCTCAGTTTGTTTCAACACAATCCTGAGGTAACCTTGTCTTCTTTGTGCAAACCTCAAAAAATGGAGGAGGGAAGATCTTCATGGAGGTGATTGTGCCCTTGTGCCCATGGCAGATCCTGAGGTTGGCCCGGACTGTTCTCCAGCTCTCATTCCAACATGGCATCTAGCTGGTCAGCAAGATCATCAAACATGCTGCCGATGTCGTCCAGGATGCTGACGGTACTCTTGGATTCTGCAGTGGAACTGAAGGCAAGAGATATCAGTGAGGTTAAGCCAATCCCAATTCCTTTACAACAGGGATGTCAAACTCAAGGCCAAGCCTGCGGGGTGCTTAGATGTGGCCACGGGATGCTTAGAACTGGCCCATGGGGCCACCCTGGAAACAGCGAAGGACTGGACAGTGGTGCCTCTGCCAGCGAAAATGGAGCTTGGGAGGGCTGTGCGCGGCTGTTCCAGGCTTCGTTTTTGGCCACGACGGCCTCCTGCAGCCCTCTGCCAACAAAAATGGAGACACGCCCCCCCCCCCCCAAGCTCTGTTTTCGTTGGCAGAGTGTTGCAGGAGGCCGTCGCGGTCAAAAACGCAGCCCAGGAGCCCATTTTTCCTGATGCGGCCCTCAATGAAATCGAGTTTGACACCCCTGCTGTACAAAACCCTTGCCTTTAATACAGCTTCCTAATACTTCTGTCCTCTGGTTACTTAAATCTGAGCACATATGACAGCAGTAATCTCACCCTGCCTTTCTCCTGTTTTGCTCTTTCACCTTTTTACTAAATACTTTTGTTCCCAAGAGTGGACAACTCATAGAAGACAGCAGATGGCTGCACCTCCTCATGATAAAGAACCAGCAGTGGCTGTTTCACCCAGCCTGTCTGGTCTGCTGGACTTTCTGCAGGCTTTCTGGCTCCTCAACCATCTCTGGTCCTTCCCCACCCCTTCCCATCCTCAGGAGTGCCTTACTCGGCTGCTTGTCCGTCCTCTTGCTTGATCTTCTCCTCCACAGCTTGCAGAGCAGCAGCCAAAGAAGCACTGGTCTCCTCCAATTTCTGATGCACGCTCTCGGTGCTCTCCACTGAGGGCCCAGCCATGGAGGAGCGAGGTGGCTTGACTGGCACTGTCTGAGGCGACTGCCCTCCAGGGGACAAAGGCTTAGCTGGGCTGGAGCAGAGGGAAGGAGGTGTGCTTGAAGGCTTGATGGTGGGGGTGAGCTGCTTGGCCGGTGAAGGTGCTGGTGTGCAGCTGGCACTCACTGACTGGAGGACTGGGTGGACCTTCGGCTTCGGAGCAGTTGGCGGTGGTGTAGGCTTTGGAGATGTGGGTGGTGGGGTCCCATGGACACGTTTCACCTCTGCAAGAGACAAACAGGATATGCCATGACCTCTGTTAGAGGAAGCGGCCATAACATGGAGATTCCACTTGGCAGGGCTGGTTCTAATGTCTTCTATCATTAGGAAGACAGTCCAGCTGTTACTAGAACTGGATTCAATGGATATTAAAGGTGATAACAAAAAGGATCCCTGCTTCCATTCAGCCACTAGGAAACATTAGCACTCAAGCTTGCAGTTTCAGGCACACAACTCCACTCTCCAGCCTGATTCCCAGAGTACCCCACACATAAATACACACACAATCTCCCCATGTGCTGCCCAACATTTCTTTGTAAGCAGTTTATTGGTACCTAGATTTGTACATGCATAAAGAAGCCTCTTGGCAGCCTCGGAGCACAGAGAAGTAGCTGTGAAGCCCCCCACTAAAAACCATGCTGTGGGTTCCCCAGGAAGTGGCTTTACCTGGGCTGCCAGGGCCGGGAATCGGAGCCCTTTTGGTGGTTGGCGTGGAAGGCCCCGAGGTTTTTGGTGGCAAGATGGGCTTGGGAGAGACAGGAGGCTTGATGGGCTTCTTGGCTTCTTCGCGCGGGATCTGACCTAAAGCCCCTCCCCCTCTCTCTTGCTGCTCTGTGGGGGCTACAGCCTCCAGGCTGCTCATCTCAGAGGTCGGCCGGCGCTTGACGGTGCCCATGCCATTGTGATACACTGACAGCTGGGCCAGCTCCTGCTCCTTGTCTTTCGACTTTGGCCGCCTCTTCACAGTATCTGATTCTGTGAGAATGAACTTGACATTGTCCTGTTGATACTGCTTTGCCCGGATCCTCCGCTTGAGAGTGGCGCTGGCCTCTACTCTGGAAAGGTCGCTGTGCCGATGGCCCAGGGACAAGCCTTCCCCACCTTCAGCCTTGGCCAGGCTCATCTGCCGGGGACGCTGCTTGATAGTCAGGCTCCCCTCCTCAGCAAAGGGGATATTTTCTCCTGAACCATTCTGCGGGGCACTCCCGCTGTGCTCTGCCCGCAGCCGTTCCATGGGTCCGCTGTCTTTGACCATGTCAGACTTGATGCTGTCCAAGCGTTCACGGCGAGCGGCTGCCACAAGACCAGTCACAGGGCCACTGATGGTACGTCGGCGATTCACCACCTCTCCGTCTGGTCCAATGGCCTCTTTATGCTTGACTGTGGCCAGAACAGTTGCAACACGGGCATGTTCCGGACTGGCTGAGCGTACAACCACACCAGGCTGCAAATAGTACCCGTCAGCCCCCTTTTGCAGGACAAGACCCCGCCCCCCTCCACCGATAGACGACATTTCTAACATGGCAGCAATGCTCTTCACGCTCCCAGCACTGCCTGTCTCCACAGTGCCCCCGTCACTCGGTTGCTTCTGGTCCAGGTCTTCTCCCTCCTCTCCCTCTTTGCTAAAATCGTCTGTCATGTTGCTGCTGGAGATGGCAGAGCTGGAACGCTTGGGCGGTGGTGGAGGAGGACCCTTCTTCTTGGGCCGCACAGCAAAGGACTGGCTGCGGTTCACGTTCTTGTCAGCACCCGACTGTGCCCGGACAGAATGGCTGCGGCCGACCCTCCGCTGCACAGTGGCGTAGGGCCCGGCATCTGGCACCAGCAGCTCGTCCCGCTCCTGCTCGCTGTCAGACATTGCATAGCGATTCAGACTGTGGGCTCTCTTCTTGGGCCGACCTGCCTCCTCCTCACTCTCTGCAGTCTGGGGTGGCAGGCACAGCACCGGGATGGAAATGGGCAAGACCGGCACAGCTTGAGCCAAGGGGCCCGCAGCTTGAGCCTCTCCCTCCACAGGTTGTGGCAAGACATAGGCAAAGCCCCGGTGCGTTGGAGACTGAGGCAGTGAGCGAGGGGACATAGGTCGGTCGGTCTGCGGCAGCAACTGTGGCGTGGGTTTTACTTTGGCCGTGGCATGGGGCACCCCGAAAGCCTGAGGAGAGGATGGGCGGGGCTTAGTGGGAGTTTGTGGAGGGGTGTAGTGGCCTGCAGCTGGAGGGAAGGATTGCCGGGGTTTTCCAGGCACTGGTGGGACGCTTGCCCTCTTGATACTGTGGCCATGTCGGAGGCTCCGCACCTCCTTGGGCAGGGTGGCCGGAGGCTCCTTACCCTCTTCTGCTAGGTGCTCCTGGCTTTTGGATGCTGCAGGGCCAGGAGATTTGGGTCCATCTCCCAGCAGCTCCTGGGAGCTACTAATCAGCTTAGCTCTCCCACTCAGGCTGTTCTCGTGGACGAGGCGGGAGGAGTGCCGGTAGACAGTTCCATCCCGGAAGTGCGTCACATGATTGGCCTGTTTCTCGGGGCCCTCTTCGCTGGTACCTGTCATGGCCACCTGCAGTTCATTGCTCAGCTCACTGTCCTGGAAAGTGGACATCTTGGGGGACTGGCATTCGGCCGTTTCCTGCGGAGGAGACTCTATGGCCACCGTGTCCTGTGACTGTGGTGCCCCCTTTTTCTTCAGTGTTCCAGATTCATACTTGATGTATTCAGCTTTCTGGATCTCTGCCAACTTTTTCACAGCTAGCATCAGTTTCTTCTGGTGGCCTAAGCAGATATGAGAGATCAAAACTGGTTAAAATTCTAGCACAGTCTTTATAAATAAACCTCCAAACTAGTACAATTGTGTCTCACTCAGTCTACTGAGCGAGAGCCAGTTTGATGTAGTGGTTAATGCATGATTCTAGTCCTGCCTCAAGCACGAAGCTAGCAGAATGACCTTGGGCCAGACACTTTATCACAGCCCTAGGAAGGAGGCAATGGCAAACCACTTCTGTAAAAGAAACATTGCCAAGAAACATGCAGGGACTTTCTGAGGCAGACTCCAAGAATCAGACAGGAATGAAGAGAAAAGGGAAAAAAAGATCTATCACAGATCTTAGTTCAGCCATTTCACCTGCCAGGTGTCCCTTTAGTTCCCCCTAAAATCAACATTTCAGCTTAATACAGCAGCCCTGAGCTAGAATTCGCTTTGTCTTGTCCTGGTAGGGCACTCATTTTTCTTGAACCCTATTTTTCCTGCTCCTTGCTGTTCAATACCCACAAGATGGGCTGTTTGGTTGGATGGCCAGCTGATGCCCAACCTTGCCCAGTTTCAGTGATCTCTCCTCTGGCATGTAGATTAGATATAAGGAATGGAAACCCTAACCCTAACCTCTTCCTTCCTTGCTGCTTCCTCCTCTTCAGAGCTCAGAATTTGTATCCTTTCCAACGTTTGGAAGAACCCCACGGAATCTGTAATTCCTAAAGATTAGTGCTCTACTCTTAAAGATGCAGAAATCTTCATGAATCCCCCCCCCCCCCCGCTCAGGGAACCTCAGCAAAGATACTTTATCTCTTGTCTAGTTAGGTCTGGGGTGTCAGGCTCGATTTCATTGAGGGCCGCATTATGGTTGGGCTTGACCTTGCAGACCAGGGTGAACGTGCCCAGGGTGTGTATGGCCAGCTCGATGTCACTTGTGTCAGGGGCGCCTGAGGTGGCCCGAGCGTTCTGCCAGTGAAAATGGGCTCCCGGGCTCCGTTTTCAGCTGTGACAGCTTGCTGCAACCCTCTGCCACCGAAAACAGAACTCGGGAGGGCCTCCTGCAGCCCTCGCAAGATGTTTTCAGCAACGACAGCCTCCTGCAACCCTCTGCCAGCAAAAACTGAGCTCGGGAGGGCCACACGCAGCCCTCCCGAGCTCCGTTTTTGCTGGCAGAGGCACTACGGACTGGTCCGCTGTTTCCAGGGCAGCCCTGCGGGCCAGATCTAAGCACCCCACAGGCTGAATCCAGCCCTCGGGCCTTGAGTTTGACATCCCTGTTAGATCATAGGTGTTCAGCATTTGGGAGATAATTAACTGCCCGAAACGTGGCCTCTTGTAAACCAATACATTACATTGCGTTATATCCCTGCCGTAGAACGGCTTCTTTTAAGTGCCTCTTCCCAGGTAATCTGGAAAGTGGACATCTTTTCTATATGCACCTTCTCCCATCCAACACCAGCTCCGTTGCAAAGATATTTGAGGCCCAGTCACAGTATAGGCTGGGCTTTCCCAGCCTGGCATCCTCCAGAATAATAGAAGTTGTAACTTCAAGACATCCTGAAGGCACGAGATTGGAGAAACTGAGGCAGACTGAAACGCCCTACACTGCCCTCCATCTTAACTCGGAACCAAAACACGCCATTCACGCATAGAGGTACACAAAGTTTTAAGTTTCCAGTTGAGAATGGAGATGCCTCCACGCTTCCCTCACCCAGTTTGATGATGCCGATCTCCTGCAGATCCTCCCAAGTGATATCGGTAATAAAATCGATGTTCTCGTAGCCATTTTCTACCAAGACTTTGTAATACTGTGCCAGACCAATCATGGAGAGCCAGAGAGCCAGATTTGCCTGGGAGGGACAGAGGATATATATATATATATATATATATACACACACCGTGTTTCCCCGAAAATAAGACCTCCCTGGATAATAAGCCCTTCCCGAAAATATTTAACCGCATGCGCAGCCGGTCCCCGCCATTTCCTCTGATTAGGGTTAGGGAGACAGAGCTGGAAATCAGGTAAGACGGCAAGAGGAGCCCCGTCTTGCTCCACACGCCCCAAAATAATAAGACCTCCCTGAAAATAAGGCCAAGCACCTATTTTGGGGTTCAAAAAAATATAAGACAGTCTTATTTTAGGTGAAACATGGGAATATGCCAGGGTTTCTCAACCTTGGCAACTTGATGTGGTATGGACTTCAACTCCCAGAATTCCGATGCTGGCTGGGGAATTCTGGGAGTTGAAGTCCACACCTCTTCAAGCCACCAAAGTTGCGGAAGAGTGTAACGAGCCATTTCACAGAGCAAGAGGCTGCAGCCCCAGAACCCCCAGTGGGGTCCACCTCCCATCCTAACCAATCGGTGTCCAATCAGTGCCTTCCGTGTTTTCTGCCTAGTTCATCTTTTTTTCCCACATTAAACACGTAGTTGTAATTTGAAAAGTCGCGGGGGAATTTCTGACCTCTTCCCCATAATTAAAAACAGCCTTGAAATGCTACTCTACCCATTGTTGATTAGCAGAGCTCCTTGGAGAGTTTTCAAATTATGTCTGCTAATTAAGAGCTGCTGCTGGACTCTTGGAGCCTATTTATCGCTTCCTGCCAGCTAGGAGGAGATCCAGCTTCTTTTGCTGCCAGGTTCTGTTCCAGGAAGGAGGGAAGAAAGTTTGGGTTTCTCCTCATCCAGGGTAGTCCTCGATTTATGACCATAACTGAGCCACAAAGTTACGTTGCTAAGCGAGAAATTGGTTTTGTTTCCCATTTTACGACCTTTCTGGCTCAGGGACACTGCAGCCGTCGTAAATATGAACCAGTTGGCAAGCATCCAAGTGTAAATCACATGACCTTGAGGATGCTGCAGAGGTCATAAGTGTGAAAAATGGTCATAAGTCACTTTTTTCAGTGCCGTTGTTACTTCCGTCACTAAATGAACTTTGTAAGTCAAGGACTACCTGTATTTAAAGGAAGACAGTTCTATGCCACTTTAAAAGAAAAGGAAAGTCAAGTATACAGCTGTCCTTGACTTACGGCTGGTCACTTAATGACCATTTGAAGTTATGACGCACCTCTGGGAATTGTTATGATTCGAATCCAAAGTTCCAATGGTCACTCCGCTCCTCCCTGGGTCACATGACCTCATTTTGGGACACTTGGCAACCAGCCTGCATTTTCGGCCATTTGCAGCATCCTGTGGTCATATGACCACATTTTAGAACGGTTTTGCTTAAAAAACAGCATTCCAGTTTGCAGCAAAACCAGCCCATAGTCAACCATTGGTTCGCTTAACGGCAGTCGCTTAACGACTGCCACCAAAAAAAGGGGGGTTGCAAAATCAGGCCAGTCACATGGGTGACCAAGTTTACCAACTGTCATGGCTTGCAAGTGTCGGGCTGGCTCCATTTCGGTGGTAAGGCAAGGTCTACCTGAAAGCCATTCAAGCTTTTCTCCCCTACGGAGGGAATCAGGGTCTTAAAACGAGGCTCTCTGCTGAAGGAGGCTGCTTGTCATTTGTACAGGTGGTCCTCGACTTATGACCATAACTGAGCCCAAAATTTCTGTTGTTCAGTGAGACATTGGTTCAGTAAGTTTTCTCCCATTTTATGACCCTTCTTGCTACAATTCTTAAAGTGAATCACTGCACTTCTTTGCAATACGGTTTTTAAGTGACTCTGACTCAGGGGTGAAATGCTCCCGATTCGGACCGGATCGCCCATGCCGGTAGCGATGGAGGCGGGTGGTTTGGAGAACCGGTAGCGCCCCCCCCCCATACCCAGCTGAGCCACACAATCATCAGAGGCTTTTCTTTTACTTTTAAAAGCATTTTTTCTACAACCTCTTTGGCCAAAAAAATGCTTTTAAAAGTTAAAAAAAGGCCTCTGATGATCGCGCGGCTCAGCTGGGATTCTCAAAGGCTTTTAAAAGCATTTTTTCTACAACCTCTTCAGAGGTTTTAAAAAATGCTTTTAAAAGCCTCTGAGGATCCCAGCTGAGTTGCCTGATTGGCAGAGGCTTTTTTTCTTTTAAATCCCTCTGACGATCCAAGCTGAGTTGCCTGATCGGCAGAGGCTTTTTTAAAAAGGCTGAGGCAACTCAGCTTGGATCGTCAGAGCCATGTAAAAAAAAAAAAAAGCCTTTCCCGAAGAGGTTGTAGAAAAAATGGTTTTAAAAGTTAAAAAAAAATTGGCCACACCCACCCAGTCATATTACCCCCACCACCAAGCCACACCCACAGAACCAGTAGTAACAAATTTTAGATTTCACCACTGCTCTGACTCCCCTATTGACTTTGCTTGTCAGAAGGTCACAAAAGGGGATCACGGACCCCGGGACACTGCAACCGTCATAAATAAGAGCCAGTTGCCAAGCATCTGAATTTTGATCATGTGACTGTGGGGATGCTGCAATGTTCTAAGTGCCAAAAACTTATAAGTCATTTTTCATAGCACCGTTATAACTTTTGAACAGTCACTAAATGAACTGTTGTAAGTCGAGGACTAACTCTATTTGTTAAATGGAAGAGATTTCTGCATGATCCTGATGGAAGAATTCTAGCAGTGAAGGAAAGTCTGAATCATAATGTCGCCTCTCCCCGAGTTGAACCACGGTATGAATTCAGATGGTCTGCAGAAAAGCAAAATCTCTGCCGTGCTTCAGAGACCATGCCAGGAGCAGATGCAAAATTGTGCAAGACACCAGCAAACCAACAGCTGCTGCTGACATAGTCTGGGAATTCTGGACATTTTAGGTCAGTGCCAACCCTGAAACTGACCTGACCGAAGCCATTTTGAAACTTCAGTGTTGCCACACTGGAGCCGAGGGATACCGAGGGGGGAATAGAGATAGCTGGGGTTTTGTAGCCAAAACAAAATACTTTCTCCTGGGAACCAAGGACATTCTCACACTTGGTCAGAGAGAGAGAGAGGAGGCGTGATGTTACCAGGCGGCACCCTGATTGGACCCTGTGACTGATCGCTTGAGGAAGAGGAAAAACTTTCAATTAGGTGAAAACTGTGGGAAACATCAGAGTCAGTTTTCACCAGCACTGTGCCAATATGATATATCCAATAAAACTATTCCTTGAGGAATCTACCTGCCTCGGAGTTTTGTTTGCTATGGCTCTATTACTTGGAACCCTGACAGTTAGGGATTCCCACCTCAGGGCGATACACCCGGCCTACACCTCCCCCACCTCAAATGCAGCAAGATATGAGGCCGCTCACCGGCTTGTATTCTGGAAGCCACTCGGGAATGTTCAGGTTGTTGATCTCAGAGGCGATCTTCTTTCGGTGTCCCGGCTTGGTAACCCCAATGGCCGTCAGGTCCTAAATCAAAAAGAATTATTCGAGTCCCAGAAAGCAACAGGCACACATTAAAAACCTCAAAAGCATTTGGAATCAATAGAATACTTGTAGATCAGGATTGAATTGTGGGGTCCTTGGTGCTCCCTGACCTTGGTTGTTTTCTTGCAGACGTTTCATGACCCAACTAGGTAAGCTCATCAGTGCTGCAAGACAGGAGGGTTTGCTTCTCATCTTTTTTTATATATACTAGTGGCTTGCCCTGTCATTGTCGGTCAGAGTGTTGTTGTTGGTTCCTTGATTAGGGTGTTGTTTACTGATTATCTGAGTTGGTAATTCCTTGATTGGGATATTGCTTTTTTTATTGTTGGTCTAGTGCAGGGGTCAGCAACCTTGAACACTCAAAGAACCACAAAGGTCCTAACCAAAAGCCCCCTGTTCAATTCTGGAGCCAACCGGAAGTCCAGTTACCCCACCATAGAGTCTCCTACTAGTGTGGCGTCCTTTTTCCTCTGCTGACCGGAAGTCCGGTTCCCCCACCATAGAGTCTCCTCCTAGCGCGGCATCCTTTTTCCTCTACCTGTCCTAACCGAAAGCCCTATTAATTGTGGCGCCGACTGGTGACGGAGTCGCAGCACAGGGATGAAAGAGCTACATGCGGCTCCAGAGCCGTGGATTGCTGACCCCTGGTCTAGTGTTAATCCTGATGTTAATCTCTGCTCATCTGGCTGTTGATTGTTGGCAAGGAGGTGTTTTGGGTTTTTTGTTTCCTTTTTGGCTTTTTGATGGTCTCATTTGACTGGTGTGTAGATGTTGTTTATCTCTATGTGTCTGTTGATGGCTGATTTGTCTGAGTGCCAGGCTTTCAGGAATTGTGTAGCGCAGGGGCCTTTCTAGCTTGGCAAACCAGCAGGGGGGAGGGGATGGTTCTCTGTGAGCGGTGGGTGGGTGTACAAATGTGCACAACTCCATTTGTACAAGTGCCTGCTCTGCTCATGCAAATAGAAATTCGCACATGAGCGAGCCACCCGCCACTTGTGCAAGTAGAGCTACAGGCCTATGCACGCTCACCCTCTGCTTGTATGGCCCGGTTCTGAAATGGGCCACAGCCTGGGGATTGGGGACCCCTGCTCTAGCATTTTTGGACTAAGCTTGGTCTGGGAATGGCTGTGGAGGCCCAACCACATAGAAAATAAAGCTGCACCATCACCATATACATGGAGTAAGGCAAAGTCAAGCTGGCTCTTGGGATGTCACGTTGTTTCATGGCCTTTTCAGGATGCTTGTTCACTTCCCAGCCTAGCCAACGACTTTCACAGCCTTTCATTAGCCTGGAAAGCAGTGGTAGGTTGGCCCCGGTTCGGACCGGGAGCAAGAACCAGTAGTAAAATCGGTGACCCAGATGTCATCAGAAGTGATCTGCGCATGCACGGGCACGATGCAAACCAGTAGTAAATGTAAGTAGAACCCACCCCTGCTGGAAAGGCCACATTTCCAACGTCTGGCCGTGGTCTCCAGAGGATAAGGTCTTTATTCTTCACACCCTTGTCCAAATTTGTCCCTGCCTCCCTACCGCCCAGAGTCCCTTGGGTGAGGTGGGCTCCAACTGGCGCAGAGTGCGGCCACGCGGGTGGTTATGGGAGCGACGTGGAGTTCCCATGTAACACCTCTCCTGCGCGAGCTGCACTGGCTCCCGGTGGTCTTCCGGGTGCGCTTCAAGGTTTTGGTTATCACCTTTAAAGCGCTCCATGGCTTAGGGCCAGGGTACCTACGAGACCGTCTGCTGCTACGGATAACCTCCCACTGGTCAATACGCTCTCACAGAGAGGGCCTCCTCAGGGTGCTGTCGGCCAAACAATGTCGACTGGCGGCCCCTAGGGGGAGAGCCTTCTCTGTGGGGGCACCTATGATCTGGAACGAGCTTCCCCCGGAGATACGGAGGATCCCGGATCTGCGCACCTTCTGTTGCGTGCTCAAGACTTTCTTATTTCATCAAGCTGGCCTGGCCTAAACCTTCTCCCCTTTTAAATGTAAATTTTAATTTTTTTTTAAATTATTGGGTATTTTAAATTTGTCTCAGCCAAATTATTTAATTTGTTTTTATTCTATTTTAAATTTTGTATCTATGTGTTTTATTCTGTGGCTGTTCACCGCCCTGAGTCCTTCGGGAGTAGGGCGGTATAGAAATCCAATTAAAATAAATAAATAAATAAATAAATAATAAAATAAAATAAAATAAAATAAAATAAAATAAAATAAAATAAAATAAAAAAATAAAATAAAATAAAATAAAATAAAATAAAATAAAATAAAATAAATAAAATAAATAAAATAAATAAAATAAATAAAATAAAATCCCCATTTACTTTTTCAGTCTTCTGTCCCTCTTTATTCTTGACCAATGAGTGACTGAATACATTAGGCCAGATTTTTGCCTTTCTGTTTTTGCTTTAGCAACATTTCTTATTTACATCTTTCAAAATGTTGGGGCTTCATGACTCTTTCAGTCTATTATTCTTAAAACATATTTACAATGGTTTAGCTTCTAGCATGGGACATCATGTGGTCTTCCATCCCAATTTTAAGCTGACCTGATTCTCCTTAGATTCTGATACCAAACAAGCTCAGAGAAGGGTAGCTATGCAGTGTCCCCTGTCACTTCTTTTCAGGGTCTGGGCCCCCCACCCACTCTCCCACCCACCCAGGCATGTTACAACCAAATTATTTGCAGGAGCACCACTTCAGGTGACATCTCCTAGCTGACCATGGTTGATCTTGTGAAAGTTAAGAAGAGTTAAATCCAGATGGAGGACAACTAGTCAGTTCTAGAACTACCGGCTAGGCTGGGAAACCAAAACACATCACAAAAAGTGTTGGCAGAGGGCATAACGCTACTTGCCAAAAAATCTGCTCGGGTGGATTTTGCAAATCGCCAGGAATGAATCGGAACTCAAGGAAGATTTTTTTTCCCTCCAAGAATGACTCATGTTCTATTTAAGTTTTTTAAAAACAGACTTCATAAGCTCACTTTGGAGAGGAACAGAAGGTGCCTAAGAAAGGAAATTAAGCCTCTTACAATCATACCGTGTTTTCCCGAAAATACGACCTATCCCGAAAATAAGCCCTAGCTTGATTTTACATGTGCGCCTAATATAAGCCCTACCTCAAAATTAAGCCCTAGTTAAGACCCTGCCCACCCCATCCCACCATCTGGTTGTACTAGGTGGGGCAAAGCGCATGCATAAAAATCAAGCTAGGGCGGACGGGAGCTGCCCCACACACCCGCTTACCTTAGCACCACCACAGCCAGGCCTCCCATATCCTGACACCTGTTGTGCTGCTGTCTGACTTCTACAGCCACTTGCTGCCAGATGCCGCATGGTGCATTGAGCCAGTGCCGCCGCTCGCGGCTGGAGGCAACATGGCACATTGCACCGGTGCTACTGCTCATGCATACAATGGCACAACACACCATGTGCTCTCCTGCCACAAGCAGAAGCACTGGCGCGATGCGCCACATGGCATCTGGCTGCAAGTGGCTGCAGAAGAAGTCAGGCAGCAGCGTGACAGGTGTCGGGCATGGGAGTTCTGGCTGCGATGGTTCTAAGGTAAGCGTGTAAGACTTCCCCCCAAAATAAGACCTGGTGCATTGGGGCCTAAAAGAAAATAAGACCGGGTCTTGTTTTCGAAGAAACATGGTAATTAGTAATGGTAGAGGTTTCTCCTGTCCAGTCGTGTCTAACTCGGGGGGGGGCAGGGGGCTCATCTCCGTTTCTTAGCTGAGGGAGCCAGCATTGTCAGACGACATTTCTGCGGTCATGTGGCCAGCATGACAACATATCGCAGCACAGAGCATATGGCAAAACATGGAACACAGTTGCCCTTCCACCGAAGAGGTACCTATTTATCTACTCCCATTTTCATGCTTTCAAACTGCTAGGTGGGCAGGAGCTGGGGCAAGAACTGGAGTCTACCCCATTGCATGGTGTTTGGGTCTCGAACCTGGGCTGTGAGCTTTCAACTGATGAACTTTTCAGCTTCCTAACCCCTGATTCATTGCGCCCCAACAATCATCATAATACCTGCACTCTTAAAATGGGGAAACCTTTTCTTCCTTCCTACAGTTCCAGTGACAGGTATCGGAGCTAGGAGCGAGTGCCAGGCGAGTCGACAAAAACCAGGATGGAAGTATCCAGCATTAAAAACAGGCAGAATTTTGATTCTGCCCCTGTGGCCACCATCCTGCCTTTTTTAAAACCACCCTTTGTGGGATACCTGGGCATTAGGAGGCCGTTCCTCTTTTTTCCTGCCGAACAAATGAGTTTAAAAGGTCTCCAAAGAACAAAGTACATCCAAGAACTGGGTTGGTCGGCTGCAATTTTGTTCCTTATTCATCATTTTGAGTGGAGATGCTCCCACCCAAGTAGTCGCTGGTTACGGTCAACACATTTATCTGAGGCGCGTTAGCTTTGCTTTTTTAAAATTCTCACTTCTAACGTTTAAAAATAGAACAGTTCTTTTAGAAATCGTATCAGGATTCTCCCTCCACTCCGCCAGCCCCTTCCTGAACTGAGCGCTGAGCGGCCAACTCCTTCGTCCTCCCACCTCCCCACCCCCACCCCGATTTTCTCAGCAAGAGCCCTCACCTCGGGGGTCATCCGGCTGATCGTGGGAATGTCATAACCAGCGTTGATGAAGTTGGAGGCGTAGAGTTGCAGCTGAAACTTGTACAGCCACTGGTAGACGGCCTCTGAGCTCTGGGTGGGAAGAGGGGGCCAGGTCATTATTTACAGGTATTACGTCTCTTTAGAAAACCCAGAATCCCCTGCCTGAATGCCTGACGGAGGGAGGTTTTGATCACAGCAGTTCTTATTTTTTTCCCTATCCTTAATGATGTTTGTGGTCTTCCTTCCAGCCTCGTCACTAAGATCCCCGTCACTATTTTGGGACCTCTTCCTACCTGCAGAATCTGTCTCCTTGCAAGAAAGCCACCTATTTCTAAGACCAGCTGCATTTTCCTCCTCTTCCTTCCTTCCTTCCTTTCCCCATTTATCTCATTCAGTCTGAGGAAGGGGTTTAATAAACCTGAAAAGGCAACCATTTTAAAAAAATGGGTCTCATAAATGGAATCGTATCCTACAGCTCTGGCCAGCTCTGTCCTTTTCTGCAGCATCTCGACTGTCTCATGAAAAACAGGTGAAGCCGAGACAAGCAAAGACAGCATCCTTCCCCAGATTACCCACCACAAGCAGGCAAGTGGGGCACAGCCAAGTTCCTCTGGGGGGAGGGGAAGATCGAGGTAAAGGAAGAGCTGCCCCCCTGGACACTGCCAGCTACAAAGCGGCAACCCTGCCTTGCTTTTGGGTGCTCCTCCAAATTTTTGCAGCCCAGAGATGGCATCCTTAACCAAGCTCTCCCCTCCCCCATCTCCTCTCCTTTCCTTTACTATAGATTGGAAAAGTCAGTTTGTACATAAAAGAGCTGCCAGCTCAATTCCAGAAGAGAACCAAGGCTTGATCTGAGCCATGTCCAGCCTGTCTCTGAACTCTACCAGGCCACGTTTTTTGCCAGCTCATTTTCCCCAGGTTTTATTCGGAATTCCAAAATGAAGGAGACTTGAGGCGGGAAGTTACCTGGTAGCTTAGCAGACTGATAGCATTGTGATTAACACCAGCTGTCTGCAATTACTGTAAGTTCGAATCTCACCAGGCTCAAGGTTGACTCAGCCTTCCATCCTTTCTAAGGTAGGTTAAATGAGGACCCAGTTTGTGGGGGCAATAAGCTGACTTTGTATAAATATACAAAAGTATGAAGGCTATTGCTTAACGCATTGTAAGCCGCCCTGAGTCTCCGGAGAAGGGCAGCATATAAATCAAGTTAAAAAAAAAAAGTGGAGAACAAGGAGGACAAAATGGGTGCTTTTAAATACCTTCAACCCTCATCTGTCCCTCAAAACACTCCCATCCTCCCCTATAAGTCCAACCAAAAAGATTGCAGCTTGCTGCCCCCCACCTCCCCACCCAAGGAATGCCGTGGGCTGCAGGGACCCTCAGGGCACTCTTGTCCAGCTCTGTCCTGCTCCACCTGCTTCAGAAGCTGCTCAGGGATGCCCAAACTTGCCTTCCCCTCGGACTGCGGCTCCACCTTCTTGACCTGCTGCTCCCCATATGACTGGCTGGGGTACGGTGCGCTGCCCAATCCTGGGGTCCTGGAAGAACCTGTCACAGAGCAGGCAGGAATTCTCAGCGCATCAGAACATTAGAAGGAGCTTCACGTGCCAAAAAGGCCCTGGCTACCCCATGGGCACATTCCCTGGCAGGGCAAGATGGCCGGCCACAGGACATTGGGAGAAACGGACTAGTGTGCAGGTGCCACAGCACAGGTGGCTTGTCTGAGTGTGGGTCCCTGTCAGCCTCTCACACCTGGACCTGCGCAGGTGCTCTGTTTCCTTTCAAGCCAGAGAAGAGGCAAAGGGGAGATGGGAGACCCAGCTGCACTCGGGTAGCATCTTCCTCCCACCAAACAGGTAGTAGAAGATCAAGATGGCAGCCAAGGTGACCTTGATGTCCCCCAAATCATGTTCTGCTATCAAACCCTCAACAAGGATTCCAACCCACTTCCAGCCCAGCTAAGACGCAAGGTCTCCGGCTGGATCCAAGGGCTACCAAGACCTCCGGCATTAGGCTGGCAACCACCCCTTCAACCTTGGGAGGGAGGAAGACCGTAAGCGGGTCCAGAGATTTCCAGCTTTGTGACTCCAGAAAAGGGCAGCTCCAAAGCTGTTGCACAGACAACACAATTCCACAACGCGGCCAGCATCTCGGGAGAACAACCCTGAACAGCACAGATCAGAGCAGCCCGGTGGCTGCCTTCTGCCCCTCACTCCAAATCAAGAAAGCCCCTTCCCCAAGTGAGGGTCTTGACACACCATCCAAGATCTCAAGACGGAGGGCACTGCAGAAAGCAGCCTTTGCTGACAACCCCCCCCCCCTCAAACCCCCCCTGCCACCTGGGAGCTCTTGAAATGATCCATCGAGGGGAAAAGCGAGGAGCAGAGCAGCTCCTCACTCTTGGGGGGGGGGAAATGACAGTCCGAACCCAATCAAAGGGGGGGGGGGTAGTAACACCAACAGGATGGGGGGGAGACAGACCGTCCTGCGACCAACCGCGCTCTTCGCACAGAAGGCAGCTTGCATGTTCAACAGAGGCGGGGGGGGGGGAGAGCTGTCTTGTTTTCCCTTGTCCATCGTGCCCTCCCCCAGTGCTCCCCACTAACCGAAGCAAGCGAAGGGCTGGCAGCAGCAGCAGAAGGAGAGGGTCATGTTCTCCAGGAGAAGCCGCTGGTCCTGGAAATAAGAAAGGCTCCCGTGGGGAGAGAAGGACCAGCTGTCCTCCGGAGCATCCACGCACCTGCGGGTGTCTCCACCGCCTTGGCAGGCCCGTCGCTCACAGCAGATTCTTGCACAGACGCCTTCTGGGAAAGGACAGTTGCCAGCAGCTGAGAAATTGGGGGAGGAACAGCAAGAAAGCGTTAATCAGAAAAGAGCGGCAGGCGAGGGGGGGGGCAGAATAAAAAAAACAGGGACTCGGGAAGCCTGGAGCCAGCCGAGGGAGAATCAGGTGTTTTTCTCCCAGAACTGTGACTCAGTTGGCAAAAGTGGCAAGCTGCAGCACGGAGAGCAAAACGGGTGGCACAATGGCGCTGCCTGCTTGGCATTCGTGGCTGCAGCCGAGCCAGCTTGAAAAGAGAATTCTGGTGCAGGCAGGCCGCAAAAGGGAGATTTGGGAGCTAGCGGCCTGCCCCTCCTCCTCCTGGCCCAGTTTCCCCAGGGAAGGAAGGAGCCCCCTGGGTCACTGGCCAAGCGCATGGCATCGGAAGGGGCGAGCAATCCAATCTGCAACCACGAGGGGGCAGTAGAAGACCAAGCAACGCCGAGGATGCCTAGCTACCTTGTTTGTTTTTGTTTGTAAAATTTATTGGCTGCCCATCTTGCCCTGGGCAGCTTACAGTCTTAAAAAGATTAAAAATATATAACTAGACAAAGGCCATTGGGTGAGACTTGGGCTGGAGAGCTCCAGATTTAGTTCTGTGGCACATCCAGCCCTTTGGGGAGCAGGGACTCGGGCTTACCTTCACGCCTTCTGAACCGGGGTGAAGGGCCCCATGGCCTCCGCTTCCAGTGCTCTGGCCGCTGCCCGAGCTCCGTCCACTGGTGATGCTTCCAGTGCTGCCCACGCTGCTGCGGTCGCCTCCTAGCGGGGGGGGGGAGGGGAAGGCAGTTGGCAGGACAAAGCAAGGGCAGCTCCATCCTACGACCGGCAGCTTTGCTCAGGACTGCTGGCACCCACAACCAAGGACCGGCCGGGATCCCGCATGCCTGTTTTCTGGCCACCCCTATCATGCTGCTGAAATGCAGGCAAGCACCAGATAACAGGTAAAATTGTTGTCCACCCAAAACAGGCACATGGACCAAAATATATATATATCCCTGTTCAGAAAACCCCATTAAACCAAACGCTATCGGAAAGTCTTGAAGCCTTAAATCAGAGGTCTTCAAACTTGGCAGCTTTAAGACTTGTGGACTTCAACTCCCAGAATTCCTCAGCCAGCTTTGCTTGGAATTCCAAGCTTTGCTGGCTGAGGAATTCTGGGAATTGAAGTCCACAAGTCTTAAAGTTGCCACAGTTGGATAGCTGGCTGGAGAATGCTGGGAGTTGAAGTCCACAAGTCTTAAAGCTGCCATGTTTGAAGACCTCTGCCTTAAATAAAGGGGAAAAAATCCCCCCATCAACTGCTAATTCAACTCTATCCTTATTTCCTGTAGGATATCTTAAAATGTTTCCGTAAAGCTCCTTTCTTGAAGTGGACGTTATAGGACAGTGATGGCTAACCTTTTTGCTGTCGCGTGCCAAAAATGGGAGCGCTGGGGGGGGGTCACGCGCTCGTGTGCCCACACCCATAATTCAATGCCCCCCCAGTGCCCCACGTGCATGCACGCATGACCCCCCATATACGCGTGCTCCCCTGCTTTTGGCACGCGATGGCAAAAAGGTTACCTGTGGGCCCGGTAGGCCTGCTTTTCTCTCTCCTCAGGCTCCAGAGGCTTTCTTGGAGCCTGGGGAGGGCAAAAGCTGCCTTTCCCATCCCCCTGGAGGCCCTCTGGAAGCTGGAAACGGCCTGTTTCCTGATTTCCGGTGAGACTGCAAGGCCTAAAAATCAGCTGGCTAGCGCAAACATGCGCGCTGGAGCTGAGCTATGGCAATGCTCGCATGCCCACAGATATGGCTCCGCGTGCCACCTGTGGAACGCGTGCCATAGGTTTGCCATCACGGTTATAGGAGGAAAACCAGGCACCTTCCTCTACAGTTAGTCGGAGATCAGGAGGCGCCTGGCAGCATTTTATCCAGTTCACAAACTTCATTCAGAGGCAGAAATTTTTCCGAGCTGCAGCTCCTCCTGACTTCTTCGTTTTGGGGTCTTGACTTGCCATCCCTCACTTTGTATAGAGCTCCAGGTTGGAGAGAGGGATATTAACAGTAACCAAGTTGGAAGGGACCTTGGAGGCCATCTAGTCAAACCCCCTGCTCACGCAGGAGACTTATACTAGGGATTCGAACTGCCGACCTTTCTGATCGACAAGCTCAGTGTCTTAGGCACTGAGCCACCTAGCCAGGCTATTAAAGGAGGGGTTGTGCTTGCCCCACTCCCCAAAAGGCTCCTCTCATCTCCAGTTCAACCTCCTTGGGGAACGGCTGATACAACAATTCTCCATGACACTCACCTCCCACCTTGCATCATGTGTTTGCCTCTCCCCATCAGCCAGCCACTGCCCAAACTCCCCACACGGCCTCCCCTCAGGGGAACACACTCCCACCCCACGCCCAGCCAGTCTCTCGGGATGCCCCTTGAATCCCTGCAGCCAGCTTGTCCCCCCCGCCCCCCCTTCTCCTCCTACCTGCGAAGGGTTTCCGGAGCACCCAGATTTCTTCTGCGGGGGCTGGCGTTGTTGCAGAGCTGCCTGGGGACAAGTGGGACGGGCTGGCATCCGACCCCCGGGAGCCTTTGAGGTCAAAGATAGCACCACGATCCAGAAAAGGGAGGGAGAGAAAAAGAGAGAGAAAGAAGTGAGAGAAGAAGACAATGTTGCATGACAAAGAGGGTTTTTTTGGGAAGTTTCGGCAGCATCCTCTGGACCCCAAACCAAGCCCCAGACAGGAGGGAGTAACTTGTCGGAGAGGGTCTTGGCTTTTGCCACTATTTTTGACCTCACAAAGTCCAAGAGAGTCAATATAAGAGCCGTGGTGGTGCAGTGGCTAGAATGCAGTATTGCAGGCTAATTCTGCCCACTGCCCGCAGTTCGATCCTGACCAGCTCAAGGTTGACTCAGCCTTCCGTCCTTCCAAGGTCAGTAAAATGAAGACCCAGATTGTTGGGGGCAAGAGGCTGACTCTGTCACCCGCTTAGAGAAGGCTGTAAAGCACTACAAAGTGGTATATAAGTCTAAGGGCTATTGCTATTTGCAAAGGGTGAAGTCCAGCTTGGCTAATGCTGCTCCACTGGCATCCAGGCTGCCCACATCATACTTGTGGCTGTTGGGACCAGGGCAGTAGTTCTCAACCTTTTCTTCACCATAGACCCCATTTAAATACCATTTTTGGCACGGACCATGGCCACAGACCTCCAAAATTTAAATCATAACATTTCTTCAAGCCTTCGTGGACCCCATGACGACATCAGCCCACCCCCCACCCCCGGTCCACAGACCATAGTTTGAGAACAGTAAATTAAGGGATCTTGACCACGGGGAGGGGTCTGCAAAGGCTACAGTCACTTAAGACTTGTGGACTCCAACTCCCAGAATTCCTCAGCCAGCCATGTAGGTAACTTTCTCAATAGATGGTGGGTATGCAGTAAGCGTAATATATCTTGACTTCAGCAAAGGGAAACAAAGGGAAACAAAGAGCTGGCTGAGGAATTCTGGGAGTTGAAGTCCACAAGTCTTAAAGTTGCCAAGGTTGGAGACCCCTGACCTAATCCATACTTTAGATAGCTGATGGTTTCCCTAATCTGCTCCTTGTGGCTTGCTCTGCACACCTGAAGCTCAGCTGTCGTGGCTGACAAGACACTGATTAAAAAGCCACATCACCAAGCTCATTTTTTTTTAAAGCAGGAAAACCAACAGTGTGAAAAAGTCCTTTCTTGACTCCCCTGTAGTCAGTCAAAGGCTCTTGGGGAAGAAAAACTGATATCTCGGGCCAATGGCGTTTTGTGAGCTGAATACAGTGGCCGTCCTGATTGTGTTTCTGGGGGCACTGAGCGCCCCTGGAAGAGGATGCAGACCCAAGGGAGAAGCCCATCCCACGACTGTGGAGCCTGGCAAGGCAATGGGGACTCCCATCAAGTTCCTCCCCCCCAAAAAAAGAGCGCCTGTAGCCACACTACTGCAAGTGCTATGCTCCAAATCAGTTCTGATGGAAAAACCCAGAGTTGAGTAATGCTACACCAGAAGGGAGTTTGATTCACTTCCTCTCGTGCTCCAGCCTGCCTTCCTGGTGTGGCACCATCCAGATGTGCTGGCATTTTGGGTGTTGCAGTCCCAATGTAAATGGATGCAGCAGGATGGGAGCTCTAAAACATCAGAGGCCCAACCTCTGGGGACTGAGCTGGCTGGTAAAGAGGAGGAAAAGAGCTGTCTGCAAGGAGTGTAAATCCTTCCATTCCCCACCATCCAGAGCTGAAGAAGCTTCTTGGATGAAAAGCGAAACGTCTTCAAAGAAAAATTAGGAAGTCCAGTTGCGTCTTGAAAAAGCACCCTTGGGACAACCGTGACCTGGATGATGGAGAATCTCCGTAGACATTCAGGACAGTGGTGAAATCCATTTTTTTTACTACCAGTTCTGTGGGTGTGGCTTGGTGGGCGTGGTGTGGCTTGGTGGGTGTGGCAAGGGAAGGATACTGCAAAATCTCCATTCCCACCCCACTCCAGGGAAAGGATACCGCAAAATCCCCAGTCCCTCCCCACTCCTGGGAGAAGGATATTGCAAAATCTCCATTCCCACCCTGGGACCAGCCAGAGGTGGCATTTGCTGGTTCTCTGAACTGCTCAAAATTTCCACTACCGGTTCTCCAGAACCTGTCAGAACCTGCTGGATTTCACCCCTGATTCAGGAGGAAAAGAGGGTTTTCTGTCTATTCTTACGGAAAGTCCACAATGGGGGAACCCTGGTGCAACCTGTATTAATTAAAACAGTGTTTCTCAAACTTGGCCACTCGAAGATGGGTGGACTGAAGCTGAAGCTCCCCGAATTCTCCAGCCAGCAAAGCTGCCATTTTGCTAGCTACGCAATGCAAGCTGATAGCCTGACATTAGCAAGTGGTGGGGGGGGAACGGAGGGAGGACAGATTGGAACGTAGGGAGGAATTGGGGGAGGGGAGGATCGGAATCATGCTGGGCCAGGCCGAAGCATGAGATGCACCAACCAGCCCAAGGTCAACCATCGGAATGCAGAGCTGGAAAGCACATGAATTGAGGGTCCATTACCCAAGCAATATATGAGCACCTAATTGGACAGTGACTAATAACGGGGATAGCCGGGGAAAAGGGAAAGTTAATTGTACTGTTTTGCACGCGAAAACACCAGATCCGGTTTCACTACTTCTGTAACCACCTTTAGTAAAGAAGACTCCTGGTGAACAATAGGCCAGGTATCCTTCTTTGCTAGATGACGAGTGGGACGGTTGACATTACACATCTTCAAGTTGTCAAGTTTGAGAACACTGGATTAAACACTTGTGAAAACAAGACCCCAAATCCTTGAAGAAGCATCCAGGGCCTGCAAGGGTTGGCTCGGGTAGTGGAAGGTCAGGGAAGGGAGATGACAAAATGATAAAAGGAAACAAAACAGAAGCCAAGGCTTACACACTTGCTCTCACACCCCTTCTCTTCTCCCGGGATGTCCGCAGGGCATGGCCAAGGAACTCAAGAGAGCCATGACGGCATAACAAGCAGAGAGATATTGATTGCACCATGGTGGTGCCATCTTGACTTTTCTGACCATCCTCTGCAGTCTCTGCCTTCTCCTATTTCTCAAACTACACACTCCAAATGCCTTCCCCAGCCACTTCCTGTATGTGCCTCCAAATTCAGTTTTCTCCTGGAAGTAATTTCTGGAGTAATTCCTGGCCCTCCACCCTCCACCCCATCTGCATCTACTATTCTCAGCTGGGCAAAATGATCTAGATAGCTGGCCCTTGGTTTAGCCACCCAGTAACTGCTCATACATAATTTAATTTTATCGATAATTTTATTCATCACTCATGCTGTGTTTTTAAAATAATTCACGGCTCTCGTGTTTTATATTTTGATAGACATTTTATATGCCGTTTTGTCATTTATTTATGCATTAATGCTATATTTTGTTATACCATACAACATATACTGTATATGATAGATAGATAGATAGATAGATAGATAGATAGATAGATAGATAGATAGATAGATAGATAGATA